CCTAACCCTAACCCTAACCCTAACCCTAACCCTAACCCTAACCCTAACCCTAACCCTAACCCTAACCCTAACCCTAACCCTAACCCTAACCCTAACCCTAACCCTAACCCTAACCCTAACCCTAACCCTAACCCTAACCCTAACCCTAACAAGTGACAGCTTTACACAATCTCTCCGTAGATTTATAGCCGCAGTCATCAGTGGAGTAATGCCCTCTAGATTTCCGCAACAGCCAGTTGAAATGATGCTGTTCCATACACACTCCGGACATTGACATTTATGCTAGTCTCTTTTAGGAGCATCTAGACAACACTTTTGTGGCCGTAACACACGGCGGCATGCAAGGCTGTCCAGCCCTCATTGTTGGGTATATTTAAGCACATGTTAATGTTCGGAGATGCAGGGAACATCTTCACAATGTCTGCATTTCCCCTCTTTGCTGCATTAAAAATTGGCGTGTTGCCGCACCGGTCCTGGATAGCGGGATGGATTTTTTCATGCGCAAGACGCATTCTGGTGACCTCGATATCCTGCTCCGACACTGCGAGATGCCCAAGAACCATTTCCAGAGCTGTATCATGAAAGAAATCCATGGCTCTATGAAGTGGGCCTTCTCCATCCCGATTGTGCTCATTGATATCGATATGACCACGGTTGAGGAGGACTTGTAGGATATCTGTGAACTTCCTGTCAGGAGCCATATGAACTGCTCTTCGTCCTTTTACAGTGGACCGAGCATTGATGTCTCGATAATCTGTCTTCAAGACTATCGATTTGACAGTGTCAGAGAGACCGTAGTCAACAGCAGCAAGCAGGTAAGGGCCTTCATTAGAACCTCTCGCCCTCACCATATGGATACCAACGTGCTTGGTTTAATGGGTCACTTGTAGAGGTTGCAAAGGTGCAAGCAAAGTCAATCATCAGTTTAAATGGATCCGCTGATATTGCCTTCGTGATTGAAGGTCTCCGTAGATAAGGGGCCGTAGTGATTTGGATCTGTAAAGATAGTGCCATCCAAAAGATATAGGGTTCCAGTTATAGAACTTTGTTCACGACATTAGAGCGCTATCTTCCTTCTGCTCAAGCAGTCGTTTAGTTGCCGTAGTTAGTCGCCATTGAGCAAACAGGTGAAGGTGGGTCAACATCGAACGGTTTGATGGAATCGATTCCGCATCTCCAACACCTGTGGCAGATTGATACAGAGCTAGTATTTCCACGATTTGAGCATGTTTAGATTTCGTATTTGGAGTGTAGTAAAAGTAGTCGCAAAGATCTTCTTGAGATACGCCGGAGAATTTACTGGAACAGGCATGCTAACCCCAGTGAGTGGCGGCGTAAGACATGAATGGATGACTCACTTCCAACTCATTGAGATATGCTATGTAGTCTTCTTTGCTACGACAGTGAGTAGGTAGTTGATCACGGAGATCCATGAGGAATTGACTGATTTGTTCGGTTGCAAGATAGCGCACGCATATCCTCGCCAACATATAATGATGACTGAGAGTTGGATTTTCGGTTGGAGAGCTTTGAGTAGACTCGTCTGACACAGTGCTCTGGAGCTTATTCAAGCCCCATGTTATAAAGAAATCTTTGGCGGTTTGGTGGATAAACTGAAGTGTGCCACTGTGAGTTATTTCCCGAAGCTCATTGCCAGATGATAAAGTTTGTCCCGAAATTCTGTATCATCTGAGCCCAAGCACGCGGGCTTCCGAACTTGCTTTAAAAGTAGAAAAGATGACCATAAAAATGATCTTTAGACAAGGTATCTCGTAGTTGTGGTATACTGAGTGGTCTCTTTGCGAAGCAAATCCATTGCACGGTCCGAAAGAGCAATGGTCTATCTTAAGGACGTACTTTTTCAAGAATCGTCATATATAGTTCCCCCTAAGTCCTCTGGACATCATCTATGTCTTGCATAATTTCGTTGTCATTGTCAGCAAAAAAGCCTTCCTGATATTATTTTCTCTGACACTAGGCGAGCCCGGAAAAAAACACCCTCAGCCCTGGCAATAATCATTCTGAGGGCTCTTTCCGGTAACTCAGATCCAAACTCTTTCCGCAGATAGGTTTCGATGTCAGGCTGGTTATACAGATGAACCTGGACAGAGTCTATCATTTCCACGTGGAGTTTTGGAAAGTCGCGACATGCTAAGCATATGCGCAACTTGAATTCATAACTTTTCCGCATAATTTCCTTCAGCTTTTCATCAATTGTCCGAATGAGCTGTTTGCAGCAAGCTGAGCCGAGCTCGCGATACTTTGAAAGGCTGATATCGAGAAGCTTATCAGCGCCGTCGCCTTCGATCTCATCCAAGGCATCAATAACGTATTCAGACATCCCCCTTCCGTAAAGCAGTTGCACAGGGGACCAGAGATATTCCTCACACTCAGATATGTGCCATCCGGGATAAATGGGTTTTGGATCCAAAGGGCGGCGTTTTTGAAGACTTTTTTTTTGATAGTAGAAGCCAAGCTTTGTGGAACATCCCCAGGGACTTGGTCAATGAGCTGGTAAAGCAAGGCCCGATACATACTCAACTGTAACTTTTGTAGTGGCTTGGGGTGGTCTTGGACACGAAACTGTCCCCATTGACCCAAGCCGCCGCCAGAGCTGCAGCCACGGCGTCTACAGTGGGCCTGATCAAAAGACTGTCAAACACCAAAATTAGGGGCCCTCCCAAAGCTGGCCCCGTCATGTTTAACATGGCCGTGGTGCCCTCCCTCTTATATGGCCTGGTACAAATGGACATCGGCCATTTCAGAGCTGGAATCAGGGGACGACTAATCCCATCAAATCCAGGAGCAATCTGGGCAGCCCTGGCTAAGGTCGCACACGCTGCTCTGAGGGCTATTTTTCCGGTGTGGCGTACTAACCAACCCCATGGTTGTGGTGGATAGCCGGGATCTACTCCCAGTACTTGCTGGAGCGGGAAAGAGAGAGATGGCGAGCTCGAGTTCGAACCTTACCGCCCGACCACCCCCTCTGGAGGAGACTCCAGTCACCATACAAAGGCTGGTCTCGCCTACACCAATTAGCCGCCGACGCCCAACCGGGCCTTGTCTGGGAGCCCCGGCGACCCGGGCTTCGGGCTTGGCTAGGGTTACCCCCAAGTCCTCTCAAACCACGGAAGATCCCACCCCCTGACTTAGCATCATGGTGGCGGTCGAACAAGCCTCAGTCCAGCCTGTGGGATGGCCCTTCAGCTAAACCCTTCCTCGCTCTCTTCGAAAAAAAGTGCCTGGCTAGATGAGTCACGGAGGGATCTGGACACGGAGACTTCCTAGAGTACCATGTCAGGTCCAACCACCCCCCGAGTGCTTTTAAAACCTGCCATTGTGGTTCGATAGCTTCCAGATGCCATTTTCTGAGATGTCCCCTCGTGTCCTTCAATAACCCTATGGCAGGGCGTCTGGACCCCAGAGCCTTTTGGTACTCTCACCAACTTTTTGAGAACAAGAGAGTACGACTCAAGCTTCACGGCTCCGCACGAGATGAACAGACGGGCTAACAATTCCCACCTTGCGCCGCCCCTGTCTCCTCTCCTCGCTTGACACAACGCCCCCAAAAACCGTCACCCTCCCAGAGACTCACAATCAGATTCAAAAATGTCTAGCTTGGATATTCAAATTCCGGGGATTCTCCCCACCTAGCCCATTCCCCATTCTCATTTATGATATCCCCTCGCAGCACCACACCGTTTTTCCCTTTTTTGGGTTTTCCCGCGTGTATATAGTATGGTTTAGGCAACCTGTAATCACCTGTTGCCCGCCGCCGTCGTGGGCACGACCAAGCACCCTCAAGGGTGAAACGTGTCGAAAATACAGTTCAATTCAACTCAATTCAACTCCTAACCGACTCCCACCGAAGCACCTCCCCATGGCCCGATTCGGAGGACGGCCGACCTACCTACTATGTACCCTCCTCCCCCGGCCCCGGCTAGCTTCGCCTCTCGGGAGGAGCTAGAACAGTTCGCTTGGGCGGTTTATGACGTCCTAGCCGGTGTGGCGGGGCGCTTTTCCATTCGACCCGGCAAGCACAATAAGAGCGCCTCGTGGTGGTCGGAGGGACTTGCCACAGCCAGGGAGACCGACCCGGTGGTATATCGAAAGCTCTGCAAGGAGGCTAGAGTCAACTTCTACAAGGAAAGAATCTCCACTGCCACCTCCTCGGCAGAGTGGGGAAGGATACTGAGGTGGCGCAAAGATGCCCCTGACAACAGACCAATGGTTATGATCGTCGACGGTAGGGTAGTGTCGGACACGGAGCAGGTGGCAGCGTACCTAGCTACCCAGGCCTTTCGGCCTGCCGGGGCTCAGGAGGGCCCCCGCCCGGCCTGGCTCGGCCCCCGCTACCCCTTGAATGGCCGACGCGGCTGGCTGCCCCACTCAGTGATGAGGAGCTCAAGGACGCCTTCTTCGGAGCCTTGTCTAACACTCCCGGTCCGGACGGGGTGCCATTAGCCTTCCTCAGACACGCTTGGGAGCTCGTCCGCCCGGCAGCTCGAGCTATCACCGAAGGCTGCATGGCGTTGGGCGTCTTTCCCCAAGCTTTCAGGCAGGCAACTGTCATTACCCTATCGAAACCTGGCAGGGACCCTCGGTCGTACAAAGGCTGGCGGCCTATTACCCTTTTGTCGACCTTCGGCAAGGGAGTGGAGAGGCTCCTGGCCCGGCGGATGACTGCGGCGGCGCTGTGCTCGGGTTTGCTTCCCCTAAGCGTGGCCGGAGCCATCCCGTCCAGATCGGCACTGGACCTCGTTCAGTCGCTCGTCCACGATGCGGAGACCATGGCAAGACAAGGCTACCACGGCCTCTTCGTCACTCTAGATATCGACTCGGCCTACCCCTCGGTTCAGCCGTCAATCCAATTCCAATTCCAATTCCAAATCCTTGTCGGCCTTCTCGAACAGAGTATGGAAAGACGCCTTGATCTGGGCGTGCGAGAACGATGAGCTCTGAGAGGCTAAGAGCCCAATATGCTTCGTTTAAACTAAATTCACTCTCACCTAGCTCCCTGAATTTCTATTGAATGGCTGGCCTGTTAGGCAGCCATCCCAAAAGTCTGCAACAAAAAGTGCTGGCATCTCGGCAGAAGGAAGGAGTAGACTAGCAGTTTTAGGAAGATGATAAAGGAGGGGAAGGAACCACTCACCTAACAATACTAACTGGTAATTCTCATTGGGAACACCAGTGATACACAGACACCCATGTATATCCGGACGTCAAAAATGTACTGCAAGTGGAAACTCAACAGCAAGCAGTGATTCGAAACAGATGGCGAGTGGATGGGAATCTGAAGCGAATAAGTACGCATGATCTGCCTACAAACAAATGACCAATAAACACCTAGTCTCTTGCGGCCCTATTTTCCTGGCCAGCTACCGACGAAGAACTCTCTGTAGCTGCGGGAGCTTCAGTCTCCTGGCCACTCTGTACCTTCGTGATCAACGATCTAGACCCATCTTCTGCAACCGTCTCTTCGTCCCTCGCCGCCGCAGCCGCTGCTGTTGCTTTAGACCTCTTATACAGCTTCCAGAAGCACCAACCCAGGAGCGCAACAAGCAGTACGCCGCCTATGACTCCAAAAGCGATGCCAACGTTACGGCGAGTCTGGTCGAGCTTGTAGCCAGCGCGAATGCACTCATTTTTGCTCGCTCCACAATAAATCTTAGATGATGGGATTGTGGCGCCGTAGTTCTTGAAATAGACAATCTCTGGGGCCGGGGGCTCTGCATCTGGGGAAGGAAACTTGACGGGAGCGAAGCCAACTTCCCCGTTGACATTGTCGAAGACCATGTATGTGTGACGAAGAAGCGAGCTCCCAATCCTGTAAAACCAAGGCTCAGAGTCCTTCTGCACGCCAAAGAAGCAAGTGTTGTTGCCTCTAAGATCCTCAGAATAGTAGGTGCCTGTGTCATTGATATGATGGGAATAGAGGGGAATTATGTCTGTCACGGGTATTATGAGGTCAGAAACCTCAACAGTGAGCACAGGGCCTTTTTCACCCTCCAGCTGCAAAGAGAATTTTGCCTTTTTTGACTGGCCAGCATCGCAAGGAACCGTAAAGCGTTGCAACGTCTCGTTATACCGAGCGCCGACAATCTCTGCCATCCAGTCTGCAATGAAAGGAGGGAGATAAGAAAATCGGTTACTAATCGTTAAGATGGCTATGTAACTCCTTTTGCCCTCAGGGTCAGCCAGATTGGGGTCGGGAGGAGGAGTTAGCTTCTCCCCCGACTCCATGATGCCACTAAAGGAGGTGATATAAATGTTATAGGAGTTGCCAACAACCATACGAGTGAGCTTCCCCTCGTACCGAGATTTGTCGATAGCCCCAAAGAGCACAGAGCCAGTGGTCCCTTCAGGGTTGTCAAGCCAGACGCTGAATGCATTGGTGGGAATCCGTCCAGAAGACACAAGACGTTCCATAAAGCTGGGGTAGCCTTCTTCCAAAAGCCAGCCGGTGCGGTTTTTGAGTCCTAGAACACCAATCCATCGACGCCCCGAGTGCTGCAAAACCATAGGATAATCATCCATAACGATGTCTCCGGCTTCCAGGCGGTCTGTGAAATTCATTCCGTTTATATTGCCACCGTTGTCTTCGAGAACGCCCTCAGAAATTTCATGAAACCACTGGAACCATGCGGTATTTTGGTCATTCGGTGTCCGATCCACGTATGTCTTCGATAGGGAGGAATTAAAACTTCCCCAACGACAAACCGATGGAAAAGGCTTAATGTTGTGGTGGCCGTTGTCTAACTTGTTCTCGTGGTATCCCGCAGCATCGCAATATTTTGAGTCCGCATTGGGAACCCAGGTGTGGTAATGGATAGTCGAGATGATCATCGGCAGACTCTGACCTGGTGTGCCTATCGTGACGTTGACAACATGTGTCCATTCCGGCAGCGAGGTGAGTGGTAGTTGCAAGGGAGTGAAATCATCGGATCGCTTTGCATGGGCAGCGGCAAAAGCTGCCCCAAGGAAACAAACAGCAACTGTTGATAGGGAAAACTTGCTCGACATCTTGTTGTTAAGGCATTTAGTGAAAGTTGGAAACGTTGTGACTGTGTAATGCGACTAAGGAAATGAGTGAGAAGAAACACAAACCAGTGCGAAGAGTGACGTCCTACTTGAACGGAGGAAGAACGACCAACATATGTCTCTTTCAACTGAGATCAACGAGTGCATGTGTTGGTTGAGGTTGGCCTTGGAAAGTGAGTGGCAAGAGACACAAATCAGGCGCAACAAAAAGGTGACACGAGAGTCTAATGAGTGCCACTGCAAGTTTATAACCTGGCCAGCTCGATTGATCTGGCTAATTCCGCCCTGCATGTTGGGACGATCTTCGAACCCTGCGTATGAATGTAACAATACAATACTCCCCTTGATTGGTCGTTGGCGCAAGACTTTGTTCCGGATCAGGGTGTGCCCAACGACGTTAAAACTCAACCACAGAACATAACCACTTTCATTAGGGCAGGAAAGTACAGCCAATAACTACCATTTGTCGCTTCATCAAGCCAACTAGCCTTTGACCCAAACCTGCTGATCCAAAAGAAAATCGCCAGTTACAGTTCAACTCTTGGTCATTTGTCAGAGCGGTTCTTGATAACAAGGGCTAACGCAACGACTTCGATATCTTGTGGAAGATATGAAGTCGTTGGAAGAATACTTTGGCAATAATACTTAAAGAATGATCCTTTGTAATCGACTGTGTTTTTCTTCACTTTCGATCGAGGTTTGGTCGACAAAGATTATGGCTGTGGAAAGGAGTCTTAAACCCCCCCCTGTCAGAAGTCTCGCGCTAACAAACAAGCAAGGATTGAACTGTACAGTTTCGGGATGACCAAGACCCCTGTCCAAACTTTCGTGCTAACGACTAAAAAAGGAAGTGAAGCATAGCTGTTGGTTCCTGCAACGCACGCTAGGGGTGACCGGAGGCCCGATGTTGCATTCCATTAACACAGCATGACTCCATTATTGATCTCCTGATTGGCAACCCATCATGCCAGGGAAATGACACAGCCAAGGCCCACCATACTGTAAGCAGGCCGGTTCTGGAAGTTGAGAAGTTTAAGGTTGTGTTCCAGCCATGAAAACTCAAGGGCACAAAAGACTGGTGAAGAAGCTCCTAGACTCATAGACAATGTTGAAGTGGCTGGGTGGATGCTGAGAACAGAAATAGGGTATTTCAATAATGAGTCTATCCTGGCTACGTAGATCACGATTACAATATGGCAGCCATGTGACAGTTTTTATTCTTATTATTCTATTTTACGACCGCGTCCACCCCTGAGGGTGCTTGGTCGTGCCACGACGGCGTGGGGCAAGAGGTGATTATGGGTTACCTAAACTACACTATATACACGTGGGAAAATCCAAAAAGGAAAAAACCGCTGTGTTGCTGCGATGGGATATCATAAATGAGAATGGGGAATGGGCTAAGTGGGGAGGAACCCATGAATTAGAATATCCAAACTAGACCATTTTGAATCTGATTGTGAGTCGCTGGGGGGGTGAAGGTTTTGGGGTGTTGTATAAAGCGAGGAGAGGAGACAGGGCGGCGTAGGGTTGGAGGAAGCACGTGAGCGTCAAAGGCTTATTGAAAAGCACAAGGTGAAGAACACTGCCAGTGAACGGAAGATAAAGCATACGACAAAGCTTTGTCCCAGTTGTTGAGCCCCAATTTTGAAGAATCAAAGCTGGAATGTCGTTATGAAATGCTGAAGGAGTTAGATTGTGAGAGACATGGTGACTGCCTCATTCTATAAGAAAATTAGATAAAATGACAACACTGTATGTTCATGCCAAGCATTGCCCCCTTCATTCCTACACCCTTGTCAAAGGATAAGAGTAGCATTTCTACAGGATCTCGTCACCTGTACATCCGATGCCTGGTGCCGCAACCTCAAACGCGTACACATCGAGTGCAAAGTATTGCAGCGTATCACTGTCGATAACTGACTTTGATGGATCAGTTTTAGCCAAAGCCAAGACACTGTTGTAATCCTCAGTGAAGTGATCGACAATGCCCTCGCTGATTTGTGGGACATGGAAGATCCGGTGAAGCAGGTCAGATGCCCAGAAGGTGTTCGTCGGTGAGCGAGCCACTGTGTAACCCAGGCCACACATTGAGTCAAGCCACCGGCGAGCTGCAAATGACCGTGGACAGATGACCGTTTCTTGAGTGGCATTCTCACCACGCCAGTGTCCAGCCCAGCCTGTCACTTTGGTTATCATTGAAGTCCAACTTGCTGGGATCAGGGAAGCATGATATAAAAGACTTGCCTTCCTGTGTAGCACAATTGCGGTCTGGATCGTCACAGCGGAAGGTCATATGGCCGCGGTCGGCCCAGGCAACACGAGCGAACCAACCAAGCACAGGTGCCGTGGTGCTATTACCAAAGTACTTCTTGAAAAAGGGTGACTCCTGACCTTCACGCAGGAGGTGATCGTAGGCATGCTGGGCAAGTTCGACCGTCTCCCAAAGAGCGCGAGAGAGTTGACGCTGGAGGGTAGTGTTACAAGACGAGTGGATGGGATACGGCGGGGCAACATTATTCTGGATAGTTGCTGGTGGAGGCGAAGTGCTGGAGTGTGAACTAAGGACGAGGCTGGCGACAACGGTTGACGTTGATCTAACGGGAACTGCCAATGATTTCCCTAGAAGGCAGACAAAAAGGAGAGTTGGAATGCGGAGACGCATGGTACTCGATCAAGAAGCAAGCCACAATTTAGGGTAAATGTCAAGATAGAACGCTTAACCGCGATTTTGTTGTCGATCATATTTGCTGGAATGCGCTTGGGAAGGGAACCTTAGACCCTTAAATAGTTTAGTATGAAAGGATCCCTAGCCGGTATGATTTCGAAGTGACTGTCTGTTGAAAGCTTGAAGCAGGAGTCTGAGAACCTTTACGGCTGCATTGCTCCCCCACGCAATAACAACGTCAAGATAAAATGCCGAGTCATTGGTTGACTCCCATGCGAACCTTGATGGCCATTTTGCTACCTCGACCAAGAAATGCAAGCAATACGGTGTGACCGGCTTTTTGAACAGCCTCCAGCATCTGTGATGACAAGAGAACGAGCACACTGGGGAGTAGTATCTATGGGGTCGATTGGAATTGGAATTGGATTGTATTTTCGACCGGCTTCACCCCTGGGGTTGCTGGGTTGTACTCACAACGACGGCGAGCAATAGCTACACTACTATACCCTATATACATGTCACACTGGGAAAACCCTGAGAGGGTAAAAACCTTTGCGGAAGAAGGTATGGGGGGGATGGGTCTCCGGGAAGGGCAAAGACCTACTCCCGCAGAGCAAGTGGGATTTGGATCTCCAGCTCCGATACCGACTCCTCGAGTCGGTGTCGGGCTCTCTGTCTTCGCGGCGCTGGACCCGCACGCGAAAGGGGGAACGAGGGGGCCGTAACGTCGGAATGGGTTGTCCTGTGGCCGTGTCGAACGCTTGACGCAGGAGCTCGATCTGGAAGGCTCTAGATTGATTTGATTTGATTTGATTTGATTTTTCGACCGTTTCACCACTGGGGGTGCTAAGTCATGCCCACGGCGCCGGCGAACAAGAGCCATCTAAGATATATTAATTACACGTGACGCGTCACTGGGCAGGGTTCGCAGGCTGCCTCTAGAGTTCGGCCCGGGAGACTCTAGATTTAAAAAGTTGGAAGGAGGACCAGAAAGCCCTAAGAGTCCATCCTTCCCGCGAGTGGGTTGTCAAGGGAAACAAGAGGGCAAGAGGAGAAGTGTCCCCTGGAAGCCACCGCCCCGCAGGGGCACTTTTTGACAGCCTCTGGGGGATGGTTGAAGCGCGTGTGATATTCTAAGAAGTCGCCGTGGCCAGAGACTTCCGCCAACCAGCGCGAGAGGCATTGATGGGAGAACCTCTTAAGGAATGGTTTAGCACTGTGCCCAGCCCAGCAGCCCGAGGGGGGTTTGTTAGTGCGCCAGCTACGCATGTCCGGGGGAGGCACTCGCCATTTCTTGGGAAGGACAGGAGGAGGCCGAGCCACGCCCTGATCCCTAGGTGCTTTGGCTCCCATAAGGGCTTAGCCCTGAGCCCGCGGGCCGCTTGGTGTAGACGAGACCAGCCCCGGAAAGGGAGTCGGGCAAGCCTAATCCAAAGGTGGTTGGCCGGCAGCATCTCTGCGCGAGCTCTCCACCTTGCTCGCTCTGTCCAGCAGGTACTCTGAATAGAGGCAAGCTAGCCACCAGAGCCACGCGGTCGGGATCGTCCGCCACACCGGGAACATCACTCTGAGTTCCGCGTTCGCGACCTTGGTGAGAGACGATCACACCGGCGTAAGTCTAAATGGGACTAAGCGGCCGTTAACCGCGGCCCTGGTAGGGCCGGTTATCGAGTTGGACCATGCCATACAGAAGGGAAGGGGTGACGATCGCGTCGAATATCTTGGGGCCGGCCGAGGGGGGAAAGCCCCGGAGCCCCGTGTTGGATAAGCGCTCGACCAGCCCCACCACCGATGCTGTCGTCGCCGCCCTCACAGCTGCTTGGGTCGCAGGGCTGAGCTTGGGGTCCAGGGAAACTCCAAGTCACTTGACGGACTTACCGGGGAGGAAGGACGTCCTCTCCACCTGGGTCGAGATCGTTGTGGGGTCGATCCTGCCACGCCCCAGTGCTGCGGAGGGAATGTAGAGGACCTCAGTCTTGTTCGGGTCGACCCTGAGGCCGAGCCCTCGGGCCTTAGTGCACAGCTGATTGACCCTAAGAGATGCCTGGTGGGCCAGTTGTATTGGGTGTTTGCTCCACGACAGTTGCGCATGGTCGTTCATGTACATGAAGGCGGTCCCTTGTTGTGAGGGGGTAATGATCGGTAGCGAGTACAGGACGAAAAGGATCGGGGACCATGGGGAGCCTTGTGGGAGGCCCGTGTCCGAGCGGAAGGACGATTGAGCCCATCGGAAAGAGAAGCAACGGTCCTGGCAAAAATCCGCCGCCGCTTCACACAGCCAGCGTGGCCAGCCTTGGTCTCTCAGGACCTCGCGAAGGATTGACGGCTGAACCGAGGGGTAGGCCGAGTCGACGTCTAGAGTGATGAGGAGGCCGTGGTAGCCTTCTCTTGCCATGGTCTCCGCATCATGGACGAGTGACTGGACAAGATTCGGTGCCGACTATAACCATGTAATTAGCAGAAAATAGTAGTGAGCATAGCTCCTGGACGCCCGAGCCTTAACAGTAAGCTGTCCACGGCTGATTCCGAGTTTTGTACTGTTCTGAATGCCAGGGACTGAAACTGAGTATATTGCAGCCATCTTGGCATTTCTAGCAAAGCTTCGTTTCACCTGAGGCACAAAAGCATCAGCCAGTTGCCCAGTTAAATAACAGCCTTGACGTCTCATCGATGATCTCCTCGACTTCGATAGAGTGAACGAGTTTAACAATTTTGTATGTGATCAAATTACAGTCCTTCCACCAGCATCATAAACGACGAAGCTAAACGGATTAGTCAGAGTATTGGCCAAAATCTAATACGGATCAAATTAATCCGTGTTTGTCGCCTATATCAAATCAATGTGAATATAAGAGATGGAGAGCATAAATGGCAACAGCCTCAGGCTCTGATACTTGACCCCTATATCACCAGAGACAGCCCATGTACATTTCATTATTCTTTCGATAGATACTGCTCAGGTGCTGCGGACTTCTGTCCTTTGTGCTGCCCCCTACTATGGGAAGTTGTCCATGCCATTTAGAAGAGTTTGGTAGCGGGATGATCAAGGGGCGTTATACCTACCAACATTTGGCTTACTCCCGAGTTATGCAGCATCCTACGGTTATGTCAGTTATGATATCTTGTATGGGTTAGGTAATGATGGTGACGAAATGGGAGTTATACCTTGGGGGTAGGGCACATCAAGCTCACTTTCGATCGGAGTAAATGTTGCGAAGACGAGCGAGAAGAATGCTGGGTAAGTTATCCCACATCCCCTTGAGTGTGCAATGGGTACTCAACTAGGAAAGTTTTGAAGATTCTAGCATAGTGTCACCGTCTGCGAGCGATCGAGCGAAGTTGATGAGCAACTCCCAAAACGGACAAGAAGCACCGGAATATGTGCCATCTGTTCGAGGAGAAAGCCTTGACCAAGTTCCCGGCAACACTGACCACAAAACGCTGCAGTCATGACGTCAATATACGTCTCTCCTGCGTTGCCGAGTCGATTCGGGCAGACCATAGGAATTGAATATGGAATGATATCCGTTGTCCAGGATACCGATCGAATTTACAGACGCATGATATCCAACGATTCGCAGATCCAAACACATGCGATCGGCGTGTGCTCGCAGCTCGCGGAGCCCCTGACCATCAACGCCATGGATCTATGAGGATATGCTAGGTCTGAAGAAGATGCAACTGACTTTCTAACTGGCATTGGAGACTACTATACATTGGCTCTGAGTTCTGTGGTACCGAAATCCCCAGAGTTTCGCTCGTGCACCTCGGCTTGCGACTACGGACAAATGGTTGTTAGCGGAGTCAAGCAACCAATATGGGCTTGTTTGATATGTGGTCGATGTTCCTGTTACAATTATCGAGTCCCGTTGCATGAAAGTTTAACATACACCGAATATAACGAGCAAATAACAAACCGAGATACATTCCCTCATGAACAACAATATAGTTGGTTGGATGAAGAGGCTCCAAGCACGGCAGGGCGAATGGCGGAAGAAGAACCTAGCGAACAGACAATTTGTAGAACAGCAAAACCATGCCTGGGATGTAGTGCTTCTATCGATAAGAACAGAAATTCGTATGTTGACTTTTTGCGTGGCATCGAACACTTCGGCCGAGCACTAGTTCGATACTAACATGGTAAATAGTGCCCATATGACATATAAGCGCCCTTCCTACAGCAATTCTATTTTTAACGTGCAAATGCTTTGTTTTGGGTCAGCCAGAGCTGAAGGTGACTGACACGTATCATCTCTCAAGCTCAGGCACGAAGTGCCGGCATGAGTTTTGCTGGGTTGCAATGCTCAATAGAGAGCGGGGCATAGCTTCAGTACCTTGGTTTAGGTTATCACATTGTAACTCGTGTACCAAGGATCAGGTCAAAATTATATAGGTTAGGTACTTCAATCCTTAATCAACCGCGCTCATGATGGAGCAGTCACTTATAAGGTATTCGGTCAAAAAAAGCGCGCGGTGAGCTCCCAATGATTGAGGCGACAGTCTTCCACCGTATTACCTGGATCCCCATTACTGTATAGAGATTATGATCAAACAACGACATTACATCTCGCTAAAGGAATAGAATAGACACCAAAGAGAAGAAGGAATGTAGGAATGGAAAAAGGAAGAAAGGAAACGGAGAACAAAAGAAGGACGAGAAGACGAAAAGGAAAATGTGGGAACAAAAGAATAGAAGGAAGTATATATAATGAAAGAAGAGAAAGTATTACAAGAAGAAATTATAAGAACAAGGAAAAGTGGGAGATATACTTCTCAGTTACCAGATATTGTCAAAAGCAAGTATAAAACTTTAGCAGATGTTAAGGGATGAGGGTTAGTATTGTAAGTTCTACGGCATTACGGGCCCAAAACCTACGGTACGAAGATACTTCCCTAATTAAGAAGCCTAGTCGCTGGTTAACACCGACAAGGCGAGGGCTTATGTCCAGCGTACTATCGACCTTCGCGACAAGAGAATGAGCGCCTACTTTGGAGACCACAAACTATTTCACTTTTTTTCGAGTATATGTCAGAGTGACCCGTTCTTTGATGAAAACATCAGTGTTCGTACATGAGACTCGACTGTGTATACCTCTCATTGTATGGTGGTTAAGACTTAGCCCCAAACTGTCGTTGGTAACACTGGGAGAGCAGAAACCTAATGTCTTGGCGCCGCCAGATTACATAATCTCACTCCCTGCGAGACTTCGCAAAGCAGAATACATTTATAACTGCATATGGTCCGCTTCACAAGTATTTCGGACCTCGAATTCCATGCTTGACTACGGAGCTGCATGGGAATTTCGTCCATGTTAACTTCTTACATAAAGTCACAATTGAACGTATTCCCAAAATCAGGCGCCAACTCGACTCGCAGGCAGCCTCGGGTTGGCAAACCAGCTTTGCTTGTTGTTTTGGCAGGGGCTGAACGGATAATTACTTATCAGGCATTCCATGTGGTGGTCATCCTACTTTCCGGAGCATGACTAATGCTGCAGCTACGGATCCGCACAACACGCCAAGGTGTCGGCAACTTGCTGCTCGAAGATGCCTTCGTGGACCTTTACCTACTTTTCCTCGATTCGGGACCTCGAGGTTGGGGGCTTTGGGCGGGAGAGAGCGTCAGCAATCCCGTTTGCCACATCCACTCGAGCGGGTCCCATACCGCATTGTGCGAGGACCGACCATTCCCTCATTATTTGGCCTTCTCTCGTTATCGCACTCCGGCCAACCCCGTCGCAAGATACCAACAAGGCTACAGTAGGCTGGCATGCACTGCCGACACGACCATCCCATACCTGTCATTCGACGATTAGTAACAGGCAATTTCATATCCGCAAACACAGTGTGCATGTCCCTGCATCGTGCTCTGCATTGCTGCTAAAAGCTTCCGTCGGTTGGTGCCGGGCCCGTCTTGCAGTGCTTATCCGTAGTGCAGGGTCGTTGCTCAGGTGAACCCCTCACTACCCACACAGGCCCAGGCAGGTGCTTGGCTTTATCGGTCACCAGCCTGGGAGCCCGCTCACTTGTTGGTGCCCCGCCCAACTGGCGCGGTGCAAATCTGGCAGCCCCTCCACTCTTGCTCCAGGCGGGCGCTGGAGTCCAGGGCGGTGCGCCGGCCCAAAACCCGCAGCCCGCAAGCGAGCGACGAGAGTGCACATTCGTCCTCCCGCCGCATCCAACTCTGTCCTCCAGCCGTCGAACGGAGTCATGGCAACATCCCAGCTGGGCGAACATCGCCATATGCGCAACGGCAGTCTAAACATCCCATCACAGCAGAGCCGCCACGGCGGCGTCGTGGCGCCCATGCCCGGACCAGGCCATCGCTTTGACGGGCCTCGGAGCCCGCCCAGTACGTGTCCATCACACCTATCCTCCCCGCCAAAGCCTTTTTACCAGCAGGCGTCGGCGCCGACGGAGATGCCGCCATCGCCGCCTGCCGCCAACCGTTTCTACGCCTGTCCCATACCGCCGTGATCGCTGACTTTTGGGCTTGTGCCTGCCCCTACCACCGCCGACAGATACCTCTCATGTTCCCTGCAAATTCTATCGCCAGGGAGCCTGCCAAGCGGGAAATGCCTGTCCCTTCAGCCACGATCTCAACGCGGCATCTGAAACTATCTGCAAGTACTTTGCAAAGGTGCGTGGTTGACGAGTTTGAGGCCGTCCTTCGCCGTGGGCTCGTCATGAGTACATGGATTAAGGCATCGGTCTGCCGGGCATCAGCATCAGGCACGTCGACGGTGGCCGAGGGCCGACATTGGAATGTCTGGAGCATGGTTGTACTGATTCGCGTGCCACATGGTCCAGGGCAACTGCAAATTTGGCCCAAAATGTGCCAACGTCCATGTGCTCCCCGACGGCCGCCGTGTCAACTATAGCAAGAACGGTGTGACGATAGGACCGCCCCCCGTGCCTCTAGGCGTCCGGGTCAGCCCGCTGGCCTACCACCAGCCGTCGAACAGCGCGCTTACCAACTCCTTTTTGCGAGCCGATGCCATCCCCACGTACCACCCCCCACCCCCTCCTCCGCCCGCGGCCACGTACGGCTTGCAGGACGATCGTTTTGGCTCTCAGCTCGGCCCTCAGCCGGGTGCAGATAATAATGTCCCTACAATCGACACAACCTTCACTTCGAATCCCCCTTCGGTTTACGGATCTCCGCGCGATGAAGACACCGGCCGTCTCTCTATGGGCCTCTCCCCGGCGGTGAAGGGGCTTTCTGTGATGGATGCCCCGCTCCCCGCTTCATTCGATAGCAACGGCATCTCGCATGCCGCTCGGTATGGGCCGTGGCCAGCCTCTGTGCCCTCCAAGTTCGGCTTGGAGTCGCCCTCTCCATCGCTCAGCGCTGCGCGTGAAGGCCGCACTTCCGAGACACTCAAGATGCTCCACACTTCTGCATTTGGCAGCAGTGACCATCTTCCTCCTTCTGCCATTGGCATAGGTGATGTTAATGGGTTTGGTGGCAGCAGTCCTGCTCTTGGTTCTGCTACTCTAGGCTCTGGCCTGGGCAGTGACGACTTCTTTGGGAAGCGCTCACTGCACAGCAGCTCACTGCGGTATGCCAAGCCGAGGCTGATGAGCAGCAGTGTGCCCAAGATCGACCGCGATTGGGAGCCTGAGTTCATGTTTGAGGAGGATTATGTCCCCGGATCTCTTGCCAACGAGGTGCTTACCCCGGCTGAGAAGGCAAGGAGAGGCTCGAGCAGCATGCGTATCTTTGACACGCCTGATCCCGTCAGTACCGGTGAATCGCTGCCAATTTCTATGACTAAGTTTGGTAGTCCTCTGGGACAGAGTCCGAGTCGCTGGACCTCGCTTTTCCAGAAACAAAAGGAGGAGGAAATGGAGCTCGGTGGCTCTCGCTCCCTGAAGCATATTGCTGCCTTCGGTCATGTCGGCAGTCCTCTGCGCAATTCTAGCCTCGCAACCGCTTTTACTGCTGAGGAGGACGATGCTCGTGATGCGGGCACTGACTCAGTTTCCGCATTAACTCGTCAGCTGCGGGAGACTCACCTGGCTCCTGCCGGCTCCGGTATTTCCAGCCCTCTTCCGAATCCCATCGGACCTCGCACTATCAAATCAAACGGCGCGACTACCCCCAACGTCGGAGTCATCGGGGAGAAGGAACACGGTTTAGAGCGTCACATCACCAGTCCGACTGTGACCCCGAGTGTGACGACCAAGTTCTCTAGCCAGATCGACGAGGAGGATTCTGTGTTCAGAATGGAAGAGGAGGACGAAGCCCAGCTGCGGGCCAAGAAGAGCAGTACCAGCACTAATCCTTCTGCTGCTGGCGCGACCAGCCCGCTCAGCAGCGGATGGAGCTACGCCAGCGTGGTTGCTAACAGCAGCAGTGGCGCTCTGACTCAGTCTGCCTCTGCTGCCACTCCTGAGGCGACTTCTGAGACAAAGTAATGAGACGATGAGAACTACCGAAACAAACAAAATAGTTTTGGATTAAAAACTTCAGAAACGGCATGATAGGGGATCGGTATAAGGGATTCCACTGGTTCTTGGAAAAGGAATGCATTGGTGATCGGGTGTCAGTGGCCAAGCTCTCACGTTGACATGTGGCTGTTTTGAGCTTCCCAGGGCCTTGGATATGGCGTTGGTATGTATGAGGCGTTAGTGGTTAGGACAACCAGAGTTTCTCACTCTCTGCACAAATACGTACTCCGTCTCGATAGTGGATTTCTAGTATGTTGTGCGATACTAGTTGTGGTTGGCCTTGCCTTTCATTTATGAGTACTGGATATTCTTTTTCTGGATATGGACGGTGTGGTTTGGTGGTCTATGAGAAACAAGGTCGATAGCAATGCAAAAAATTTGTCCACTCCATCCAAGTTCTTGTGTCGGATCTTATGGGTGTTTGATCTTGGTGGATCGATTAGCAGACGGGGCTGATGCATGATCTTCATGGACTGAATATCCTAGTATCCCCCCAAGCTGGACATATACACAGACAGCGTTGCTTTCTGAACACATAGTAAGAGTCATTGGTGACATGCAAGCCTTGTGCCACATCACATCGCAGCTTTTAGAATGATTAGTTGGCGGAGGGTTTGCTTCACGGCTGGAAGTGGGAGAGAAAAGCGTATGCACCAATCAGGGAGCCAGACAATAATAAGATCCTGCGGCAGACTCGCATCATACACCAGGCCTATGCCTTCGTATTCCGGCAGGACATGGTAGCTTCATACACAACACACTGTCCCATCCATGCTGGCCCCCAACTTCATCAGCATTATGACCGCCCACAAGCCGAATAAACCGTCTAATCCCAAGGAAACGTTGGCATGCCGAGTGATGCGTCATTGTCAAATATTGTACATACATAACAATAAACAGATTCAGTGGGCGTCGGGCTGGCGGAGGATGTACTCAATAGCCTTGTCGACTGTTGTTGAGGGGGTGTTGTCAGCAGGTGAAAAGGCCTGGCAAAGAGAGGGGGAGCGGCTTGGGGAGGGGCATAAGGAAGGGCTCCTTGCTGGGAAAACATACCGCTGTGGATCTGGTCGGCATCCTTGTCCGGAATCTCAATGCTGAACTCCTGTTACGAACGAGTAAGCGGATGTCGAACACGTTTCTACCACTGCAGGCGATCCGGTTGCCGCGAAGCATGGAATGGGCGGGTTGTCTCGTACCTCCTCAATAGCCATTACAACCTCCACTGTGTCCAAGCTGTCCAGACCCAGGTCGTTGGCGAAGTGCGCTGTCTCGGTAATCTATCGAACATGTCGCGGTTAGGGCTGGAAAGGAGGTTAACTGGTGGAGAAACATCGGAGACTCACGTTATTAGGGTCGTTGACCTGTTGCGAGAAATGTCAGCTTCAGCTCAGGATACAACACAAGCTTTGCACTGCAAAAGCACAACAAGGACGACCTGGATGCTGAAGCAGCATGGCCATGGTAGCACGAAATCGCATCCCTTCACCGTGCCAGCCGGCGGAGAGCATCCTGTTCCCTCAAGAGTCGCCACCACTAACGCACCTTGTCGAAGCCAGCGAGGAGAGACTTGATCCGCTCGTAAACCTCAACCTTCTGAAGACCCTCATTCGAGGCGTAGCACCGGATTACTTGCCATGAGGCAGTTTTGGGGATGAAAGAAGTAACTCGGGAAACAGGGGCGACGGCGAATTTCTTAGCAGCAGCCGGGGGGATCGAACGGATAGTGGTCCGGGTCGCAGCAGCGGCAGAGCGAAGGACGGCAGAGCGGAACATTTTGGGCAGCGTGTCAGGTGGTTGGATAATAAACGGCCGTTGAAATCGCAATTGGACCAGCACGACGCGACTTCGGCGCGGAAATCAGGGGGTTTGACGGCGGGTTTGACAGGCTGACAGGAAGAGGCAGAAGATAAATTTCTCGCCAAGCGTCGGGATGCTTTGGAGCGCTGGAGAGCTCGGAGCCCCAGGCCCAAAGGTTTCCAATACCGGGTGGGTCTGTGCTTTAATCACGTGACTGCGCCAGCCGGGAACAACAAGAGCTGCGATACTTCGTTATCAAGGCGCCAACAAATGAAACAATGGTGAATTTTCGAGCCACGCAGCCACCGGAGAATTATGTACAATTCGGTCTACATGTGTATCATTTATGGCCAGAAAGTCATTTTCTCAGATTGTACTACAGCCGAAACATCTACCATTCTATCTGTAAGGAGCATCCGCACGAATGGCAGCTGCCAGTTCTGGCTCCCACTTGTCACCATTGGCCAAGAGTTTCTCTGTCTCAATGTTAGCGAACAGCAAAAGATGGCAGTGCACATCGTGTTGGAAAGCTTACCCTTGTTGTACAGTAGCTCCTCACGGGTCTCAGTGGCGTACTCGGCATTGGGAGACTCGACGATGGCATCAACAGGGCAAGACTCCTGGCAGAAGCCGCAGTAAATGCACTTTGTCATGTCGATATCGTAGCGAGTTGTCCTCCTGGAACCATCGGCACGCTCCTCAGCTTCAATGGTGATGGCCTGGGCGGGGCAAACAGCCTCGCACAGCTTGCAAGCAATGCATCTCTCCTCACCGGAGGGATAGCGGCGCAGAGCGTGCTCGCCACGGAACCTGGGGGAAATAGGGCCCTGAAGGTTGTGTCAGCCATCCTGCTTTCTCTATGTATCATAACCCCTGACACCAATCCTGCTTGTGCCCATTAATCCCGGCAGGACAGCCGACCCTGTTGGTTAGATAAAATCATTACAAACCTTCTCGAAGGGATAGTAGATTGTATAACTGCCCAAGTGTCAGCATATGTTCCAGTTCGGCAGAGAACCAAGGCCAGAAACAGCAAAGAAGGGCGTAACTCACGGTGGCCGGAAGAACTGCTCCAGCAGCACATACATGCCGCGAAGCATCTCGGTCATGAGGAAGTACTTGCCGACTTTGTCGATCGTGCTCTCGCTCTCCTCATCCCAATTCTTGGGGGGCGGCAGGCGGAAATTCTTAGGCGGGGGGCCAGCGGGCGTGGCGTAGGTTCTTCTCGCGATAAGGGCTTGGATGGGCAGAGTGCGGACGAGAGTCGAGGGAACCCGCGCGAGCGGGAGCTGGCGAGTGACCAGCAAAGCGGCTGGTGTGGGGAGCATTGTGGAGGGGATGCGACTCGACGCGACGATCGTGTAGTCGGAAGGTAGAGCACGAGCTGATGGGTTATCGTTGTCGTTTTCGCGCACGATCAATGAGAGCTCAACTGCGCGAAATCGGGTTGACGATGCAGTTGGTAGCCGTAATCACTGTCCTGGACCAGTTGGTGTGATCCGGAAGGCCTATTCCCGAAAAGCAAGAGCAGAGAGAAGAGACGACAGTGGCAATGCCTGGCGAGCTGCTCTGCTGCTCCCGACGGCTTTGACGTCTTGCTCGAAACTGCCTTACTGCTCGGGAAATCCGGTGGAGCCCCACGATTGTATCCAATGAATCGTGAATGTCCGTAGGTGGATAGGTAAGTCACGTGAGCATGTCAGGGTAAAGACAAGTCGAGCTGCTCGTGCTTTGCTGAATCATCACGACCCCGCTTTAGCTCGGCCTGAGCTTTTGCGCTGGTACCGTACGTATGTTTCAAAAAGAGAGTCAGGTGCAGTTTGGAGTGCATTATGCCCCCGATTATCATCCTTTAGATTGCATCTCTATCTCTCTCTTTTATTGCTCGCCCATCTGCTCAAAATGTGCGCTCCCAAGAAGTCCACCATACGCCAATATTTGCTGCCACCACCAGATCCAACATTTTCAAACCTTCGTCATGGATGATCAGCTTACCTAGCTTTGCTCTCCGTCCTCGCGACCCGCCACCTGCATGTTCCCTCCCCAAGCTCAAATCTAGTCCTGCACTGTCGCCATTATCGTCGTAGTCATCGTCATCATCCCATTCGTCATCAGTGTCTGCATGTGCCCGCGGTTTCTGATGTAACAGCTTGCTGAACTGCTCCGACAGCTGGTTTGTCTTGATCGCCCCTATGTCGCGGCTGCTCGTTCTCTGGTGTGACTTGCTTGGGAGATTGAACCGCAACTCGCTTACTAGCTTGGCGCCTAACAAAGCGGAAGACAGCTCGTCCCCGCGCGAGCGTCCCATTGCCTGCGCATCGCGAATGTGGTGGGCAAGCTCGCGGGGGTCAAGCTTCGAGTTGGCGGCGGTATCCAGAATGTGCCTGCATTTGAGGCTTCGCCCATTGCTGCTTGTCCGGAATTCGCATCTGCCACCCCATGGACTCACAAAGACGTAACCCTTTGGTTTAAGCCCCGGCCCCGGCTCTGTGATGAGAGGGGCAGAGGCAGATCCGTCAATAGAATCGATCGACATGATGGTGGATGCGCTGCCATGTCGAATGTGAAAAGACTTTGGGCCAGACGAATCCTCCAGCGGAGACCCAATTGGGACGCCAACAGAGCCATCCCGCCGGTGGAAAGCTTTCATGAAACTGCTTCTCCAACTCGGGCCGTATGACATCAAAACCTGGCGAGAGAAGCCTTCTTCCCGGCCTACAGGCTTCAATAACAGCTTTGGTTTGAGTGCTGGAATGGTTACCTCATTTGAGCCGTCTGCTGCTACTTGCAACGGATGCTGACGAAGTAAATCTACCCCTGCCGCACGAAAGGCCTCGACACTCGCGGGGGTCGGCATGTCTCTGTACTTAGCATAACCAGACGTCTCGATACGGATGTCGATTTTTGGAGCTTGCAGTTCGCCCATGTTCTGGGGATCAAGGTTTGGGGTAGCATTTTCGGGGGTGGGCACGTTGGTTTGGAAAGACCAGACTTTGCCAACGTTGCACTGTGTGTTGGAAGTTGGGTCTCGCCGTATAATGGTAAGAGAGAAGGACACAGACGACGGTCGTTGACCCGTTCGGCTCGGCGACGGAAACTGGTGGTTGTTTAATTTTGAGGGACTACTAGTAGCTGGCGACAAGCCTGTTGTGTTGGGTCGATTGGGAGAAGTGATGCCCTGTGACTCAAGGTAGTTCGGAGTAACAGGTCGAGTGTCCGTGGAAGTGCGAACATCTGAGTAGCGATTTATGGGTGACAAAGAGGGCGGCGGGGACGTGGACAAGATTGAAGGAGAAGGTGAGAGAGCCGGGGCGTCGTACCGAGCGCCAGATGGCCGCCGGCGAAACATGGGATTCTCCTGGTACCCGCCAACAGATAACTCCCCAGATCCCACAGGCGCACCTATTGGCGAAGGTGTGCTCTGGCTCTGTGCATTTGGCTGGGGCGGACGAGACAAGGGCGGCACTGAGGTGCGAGCCACCGATGATGCATCTCCTCCTCCTGATCTGGCAGCCACTCCTGACACTCTGGCGGATTCAGGTAATGGCTTTCTCGGAATTACGCTCCTGGAGCTTTCAAAGCTTGATCGAGGGGACTTTACACTAGTCGGCCGCTGCTGAGAAACCAGCATTTCATCTTCCGGGGTGTTGAGGTGAATGTAGTACAACGCGTTTGTGACATCCTCAGCTGTTACGCTCTTCTTCTGTGGCCGAAACGTCGAGAGGATGATGTCTACCAAGAGTCAGCATGAGTACAAAACGCAGGACGACAAGGTCAGAGGATGGTAGCCAACCTTGCTTGCCAGGGACTCGTGAGATGTACAAAGTGAGCGACTCTCTCAGGTCCGGATGATGCGGGTATTGCGGTGGGTTTGCGGCAAGGAGGTTTATGTCCGAGAGTGATCTTGCCTCGGGTTGCGGTTTGGCCGCCATCGACATACTTAGCCGTTAGCCGTTTTGGGTCAAAGGCTAAAAATTCGGGTGCTGTTCTAAAACTTGGGACACAAGGACGTCGCCTTGGTGACCTTGCGACTCGTGCCTAGACTTTGTGTCAAGAACCTTTGGAGTAGGGATCAACGGATTTGCTAACGGCAGAAACAATGCAGACAGTTCAGACTCGAGACGTCAAGCTTGAGTGGAGCTCGGACCGGCGTTTGATGGGACGGGCCGGCCCAAGAACTGAGCCAAGAGGGGGACTTTGAACACAAAGGGCAGCTGTCCTGTGGGGTTCAAGTAAAACAGAAGCACCGAGAAGGCCCCAAGATATACTAAGCTTATCGGGGTCGAGAAAGATATACTCTAGCGCGCTCAGGAGAAAATCAGATGCGTATGATGGAATGCGTGCGCAGGTCACTGAGCCCATAACTAAAGGGCATTCTGCCCAGTGGGTAACAAAGAGGGTCCATTTTCAAGTGCCAGCTGAGCTCAGACCAAAGAGCTGCTTTCGTGTCATTAAACCCACGGTCACGGGGTGGTGCGGCTGGAATGTGAGGGAATGACGTCGCCCTCTCATTCGGGACAAGCATGCCAGCCCAGCGGGCCCGGTGGTGTCCAGCCCAGCGTGTAGCAAGCCGGTCCTGGTCAACAGCGCGACCGCCCTGGTCTGGCTTTCAAGGTTGCTTGGGAAAGAGTGGCTGTGCATGACTGCGTGCTGCTCTGGTCTTGCAAGCATAGCAAACGTTGCCAGCCAGCGACATGGGCTTCGCAGTTTACAACAAGCACGATGTGAAAGCTCACTTGATGGTCAGTCTACACAAAAGTACGCACAGATGCATGGACAGGTACACTCCGTAGCGCACAGTGGACGAGACAGATGGAACACAACTCTATTCCGTCGCATGTCATACCTAAGTATCCACCCATCAATAATTAGAGCAAATCCCAGCCATTTCAGCCTAGCCGTTGTCAAGACAATCCTGTCAAGCAAGCATTACCGTTCCAACCCTTCCAACCCTTCCAACCCTTCAGTCAGTAGTCAACCCTTCAAACAGATCGCGACTTCTGGACAATCAACGCGGCCAGGTCAGTGATGGTACCGCTCGACAATAGCTCCAGGATCTGCAGGTTGACACGCAGCTCCTTTGCGATCCAGTTGCGCAGTTCGATTGCTGTCAGCGAGTCCAAACCGTATGAGGTGATGTTGCGCGACACATCAAGATCCTGTGCCGACATGCTCAAAACCTCAGACAGCTTGTCGACAATGCCCTGAGCCGCAATCGTAGTGGCCTCTTCGTCTGACTTGGCCTTCCGAAATGCCGCGCCGGTCGGCTCGCGCTGCTTCGACGACTTGTCCTCGTTCTCAGCCGCCTGGTCACAGGCCTCAACCAGGTACTTGAAGCGTGCGTCGCTGGCATAGTAGGGTAGCTGTCCATTGCTGCCCATGTGCAGCTTGAGTCCGGTTAACACCTGCGCTTCCGTCTTACCTTTTTGCGCTGCATGGAGGAGAACAGTGATCTCCCTGGGGCTAATTGTCTCGTTGCCGAAGTTGCGGATGATCTCGTCCTTGCGATTCTCGTGCTTCTCCAGGTATCCAGCGCCAAGGACGGCTGTCAGATCCAGAGACGCGGCAACATGGTTTATGTGTTTGCCCGGCAGGCCGATCTGGCGGAGGACGTCCGCAAAGGCGTCCAAGTATGTGTTCGCCGCGGCGTATGCAGCCTGCCCACGGCTGCCCACGATGCCAGCAGCCGAAGAGAGCGACACCCAATAGAAATCCTGAGGTGGTTTCTGGCTGCACCTTGTCCAGCACAGCGCCTGATACAGATTATGAGTACCGTGAACCTTGGGCCGGATGACGCTGATATAGTCCTCGTACTGCATGTCCTCAATGAGGACATCCTTGAGAACCATGGCTGCGTGAATAACGCCCCCGACGGGGGGCCATCCACTCGCGCTGAGGGCCGCCACCAGGTCACGAACCTGCTGGATGTCGGTCACATCGCACTGCGCCCAGCCGATGCGGGCGCCGTAAAAACCTCGGTCTCTCACGAACTGCTCCACCAAATGATCCATCTCCTTCGAGGGCCGACTGCGCCTGGAGACCAGCACAATGTGTTCAGCGCCGGCACTACCAATGAACCGAGCAACTTCTTTGGCCAGGCCACCTGCACCAATGATCAGGTGAGTGCAGCCCTTTTGAAAAGATTCAGCGCCAATGACAGGCTTGGCGACGTACTTGTTGAGCGCATCATCCGAAACAATGCGTTGAACCATGAGGTCGCCTTCTGGACCCTGGAAGATCTCATTGTCGATGGGTTCCGCAGGGTTGAAGTTCTCATCGAACACCCGCAGGAACACATTTCGGAGCTGTGAGACGGTGATGTACGGGTCCAAGAGCTCTGCCCAGTCTTGGTGACATTTGTTCCAAGGAAGACCATTTTGGTCCATTACGCCAGGGAATAGGTCAAAGATGCAGGCCTGCAAGCCAATCTCTGACCGGGCAGTGCGGATCAATCCCAAAGCCATGGCAGACTCGACATACTGCAAGGTTGGGTACCCAATGGCACCACGAGTCACCCACAACAGGGACTTGGCAGAAGTCAGAATCTTCTTGACATCCTCGAAGTCTTCCTTGTTGAGATGCTTGAGCACCGGCGAAGTGACGTCGCAAAGCACGATGAAGTGCCCGTTGTAGCTGTTCAGGAGGATCTCGTTGAAGCTGCAGACATCCGGCTCAAGGTCCAGGTAACGCATGAGGTCGTGCTTGAGTTCCGTAGCGAGCTCTTCCTCCTCATTGCTACGGTACTTCTCGTCCGTCACGACGATGGTGATGTAATCGTTAGTGTCGTAGACCAGACGGCCCAAAGGACGATCCTCGTACGGCTCCCACACGTACTTGAAGCAAAGCTCACGGACAGGCTTTTTCTTGGGAACAACGGGATTCTGCTCTCCGAACACAAAGATATCATCAACGGAAATGGCAGGACAGAACCAGTCGTCATTCGAGACGAACCGAGCGTCAATGCGCTCATCGTCACGGTTACAGTCGCTCCAATCCCTTGGGCTGGCGCACACAGTGAACTTCTCGCCAGGTTGCATAGCCCAGCGGTACGCGCGAAGGACCATGCGTTTAAAGTTAAGGACCTGGCGAACAACCCCCTTGCACGGCTCGACGTTGTCCGAAGCGACCAATGCGGCTTGGAAGAGGGCTTCCAGCTGAGCAGGATGCACAGTGCAGAGTGAGTTGCCCATGATATCGGTATGTTGGGCATTGCAGCCGCCTATGAAGTCATCGCGTGGGGTGATTTCGGCGTCAATAATGGAGTGGAAGGCCTTGGGGTATTCGTGGCCGAGCTCTTTCAACCAAGCGTAGATAGACTCGTGGCCCTTCTGTGGCTCAGGCAACGTGCCGCCCAGCGGGGTGCGAATCTCGGTACGCTCACAATCCTTCAGGTGAAGGTTCCATTCAAGATCATCGCGATAACCCCAAGGGTCAACCACGATGCGGCCGTAGCAGTGCTTGGTCCAACCACGGGAAGCATTGTAGGACGCAATGTAAAAGGTGTTATGGCGCTGTTTCTCATGACGCTTGACAAAGTCGAATGGCTCAAACTGGGTGAGCACCTCGAGCTCCTCGCCGTCCTCCAAGAAGACGCCTTTTTCAAGCACGAAGTCCTCAATTGTCCAGCGAGCGGGGAGCATGTTGTTCATCTCCGCATCCTGCGTGGCAGCTTCGATAATCATGGACACCAAGCAGGAAACGGGGTACGTGATGCGGCCGTCAATGCGACACTCACGCAACCACGGCATGTGCTCGGTGCTGATGAAGTTGCGCCAACACACATTCAGCTCGTACGACCAGTCGGCCAAGACACCGAGCAGATCGTGACGCGGGAAAGGCTTGAAGCGGTGAGCTTTATCGATCCGTGACTCGTGACTGTACTTCTGCCTTGTCCATGGGTAGGTATAGAGCGTCGGGATGACTTCAGGGCGCTCCGCCTCTTCGCGGTTGTGGTTGATCTCCTCGAAGTTAAGAGGCCAATTGCGCATGTAGAGCTGACCAGCCAATTCAAGGACCGTGCGGGTAGCGTCTTCGTTGCGGACAAGCGTAGGTAGGTAGGTGATGCCGTGGCTCGACGAGCGCAGAGTCTTGAGAATCTGCATTATGGGGCCCTTGAGTGCGGCGTGAGGGCCAACCTCAATCAAAATGTTAGGCTGCACCTCGGTGCACAGCCGCTGAAGAGCATCAGAGAAGAGCACGGCTTGAGTCAGATTGTCAACCCAGTACTCCGGACCGACCTCGCGGCCACCGACCTTGCGAGCCTTCAGAGACGAGTAGAAGGCCGTCTCCGACCATGTTGCCTTGGGCGTGGGAATGTGGCTAATCATTTCGAGGTAGACGTCGCCAATCAGCTTCATGTGGTGAGAGTGGTAAGCAACATCGACGAAGAGTCTGCGGTTGAAGATACCGTCACGCTCGAGTATCTTGGCTATTTGGTCGAGAGCTACCACATCACCCGAGAGCGTGGTCGACTCCGGTGAGTTCTGGCAAGCTACACCAACCTTCTCGACATAGCTACTTTCATTGACTTCGCGGATCAAGCAGAGAAGATCGTGAGCACCAGCACCGACGGCCATCATGCCGCCCTTGAGCATGGGATAGCGTTTCTTGAACTCGATCACCGCCTGGCCGCGATAGTAGGCAGCCTGCATAGCGTCCTCAAAGGATAGTATGCCGGCGCGGTAGGCCGCGCAGATCTCGCCGCTGGAGTGGCCAGTAACAGCTACAGGGATGATGCCAAAGGCCTCGAGGAGGTTAGTAAGAGCCAGTTGCACCGCAGTGCAGATGGGCTGGCTGATGTGCGCCTCACCAACCTTAGAGTCCTTCTTGTCGCGTGTGAGCTCCTCCAAGATGGAGAACTCACAGCCGACGTTCGTCAGAGCGTCATCCGCCCGAACGATGGACTCGTAGAAGACAGGGTGAGTCTTGAGCAACTCTCGACCCATCGCCCACCACTGAGCACCCTGTCCAGTGTAGACAAAGGCAATCTTGGGCGGCTCAGTGGGCGCACGCATGGGCGTGGCCTCTGGGCTGTTGAGAGCCTTAGCAACCTCGCTGCACATGCTGGCAACGACGGCCACGCGCCACGGCATGTGAGAACGGCGCTGGCACAGCGTGTAAGCCAGGTTGCGCGGCATGGTTGTCTGGTAGAGCTCAGCATGCTGCTCAATCCAGATGCCAAGCTTGGTGATAGAGTTCTTGAGAGCGGTTTCGTCGTTTGCCGACAAGACAAAGAGACGCAAGGGGCTGTAGCGATCGCTGCCGGCGATCTCAAGACCACGCGTCATAGGAGCGGCCTCGAGAATGGCGGTCGAGTTGGAACCGCTGAAGCCAAAGTTGTTGATGAAGGCGTACTTCTTTTTCGCAGGCCACGGCTTCTGAGTGGTGGCGACCTGCATATTGTACTCCTTGAAGGGGATCTCCGGGTTCGGGGCCTCGAAGTCGGCATTGGGCAGAATGAAGCCATAGAACAGCATCAGAGTGACCTTTATCACTGAAGCAAGACCGCTCGCACCTTCGAGATGACCAATATTGGACTTGACGGACCCGATGTACAGGGGGTCGACAGGATCGCGCCAGTGTGCGATCGAACGGTGGATGGCCTCAGCCTCAATAGGGTCGCCCTTCTTGGTACCAGTACCGTGGGCCTCAAAGAATCCGACCTCGTCGGGCTGAATGCCAGCCTCCTTTAACACCTGGTCCAGAAGAGCCTGCTGATCCTCAGTGGAGGGGGCAACGATACCGACAGTGCGACCGTTGTGGTTGACGCCGGTATGCTTGATGACAGCGAAAATGTGGTCGTTGTCCTCCAAAGCCGCCCAGAGGGGCTTGAGAATGACACATGCAGCACCCTCGCCGCGAGCGAAGCCAGAGGTAGCACGGTGGTCGAAGGCAAAGGTGCGACCCTCGCGAATGAAAAGACGAAGCTTGCTCATAGACACCCAGATGTCGGGATGGGTGATGATTTCCGAAGCACCGACGATAGCCTGATCTGACTCACCGGCACGGATACTCTGAACAGCCAGGTGCAATGCATGTAGGCTGGAAGAGCAAGCCGTATCGATGGTCATGGAAGGGCCTTTCAGGTTGAAGATGTACGAAATACGACCGGACATGAAGGCACCCTGGTTGCCTGTGGCATCGAAGCTGGGAACATTGTCGATGTCGCGCAGATTGGCGGCGCGATGCTCGCTGTAGTTGGCACCAACGAAGACGCCAGTGCGGGAACCAGAGAGATTCTCCTTGGGAATGCCGGCGTTCTCAACGGCCTCGTAAGCACACTCGAGGAGAATGCGCTGAGCGGGATCCATCGAGTCAGCTTCCTTCTTGGTGATGTCGAAAAAGGCAGCGTCGAACTCGTTGATGTCGTCCGTAAGGAAGTAACCACCCAAAGAGTTAAAACAGCCCCGAATCTCCGGCTTGGGGTGGACAAAAGCCCCAGCGGTGAAGCGGTCCTCGGGGACCGGTGACCAGGCGCTCCGCTTGCGGCAGAGCATGCGGTACAACTCTCCGGGGTTGGAGACGCCGCCAGGGAGACGGCAAGACATGCCAACGATGGCGACTGGCATGGGGCCCTCGTCCTCATAGATGTCATAGTTCATCATGTTAACGGTAGTGTGTCAAGAAAGTGTAAGAGTGTGTAGAGTGTGTAGAGTGTGTAGAGTGTGGAGCGTGTAGAGTGTGGAGCGTGTAGAGCTTGTAGAGCGTGTAGAGCGTGTAGAGAGTGTGTGCAAACTGTATGTAGACTGTATGTAGACGGTGGGTGTAGATGCTTGATGCAGTGTCTGTATCGTGGGCATAGGGAAAGGAGAACGAAATGAAAGGGGAGCAGAGCCAGAGATTATATCCGCCCCGAGGAGGTAGGCTGGCTCTCCTAATCAGTACGACCAGTTAATCAGATCACAGAGTGCTGTAGCAAGATAACCACTGTTTTTATCGAGATCGTTTATTTATTTTTTTAGCACAGCAAAAGCCTGAGAACCTGCAGGTCGTTGCCCTGCAAATTGATTCCCGCATGTGAATGTGAGTTCCTCAAATACATCAGACGGTGCTGGAAAACGCCTTCATGGTCCAGCACTCGTTTTTCTTATTGGCCGATTTAAATGTAAGAACTTTTCTCGGTGCTTTTTGAAGCCCTTCTATTTATGATTCTGCATTTTTTGAGTGTCGAGGTACAGAATCACCTCCGGGAGGTTTCTCCGGGTACAATACCCATGCCGCCACACGCGAGCGCAACTGCTCCTAGTGTCCACGCTTCCTCATCGAACGCGTGTCAGATCACAGTTTTTTGGTACTGCCACATGCTATAAGTGTTTTTGTTTGCAACTCTCAATTTTATTTGTCGCTATCAGTATTTGACTTCACGGTTACTGCGTTCAACTTCCATCACATGCTCCCAGTGTTGAATGATGCGAGCAACACGCGAGATTCGCAAAAGTGACGCGTTGTATCAAACTTCACTACTCACATTCACATGTTCATGGTGAGTATCTGTCTGATCTTCCTGGGTTGTGGACGTGCATGGAATGAGTTCACTGTTAACCGTCTAGTCCCAACTGAAAGGGGCAATGAAGAGACCTGTATATGATAGCAACCTGTGGTTTGTGTTTATGCATGCGTTTACAATGTCCTTTAACTTTCTTCATCACAAATCAGGGTCCAGGGTCACTTTGAGTGCTTCCTGTTGCGTGAATTGGCTGCTCGACGGCCGATCATTACTGGTGGTGTCATCCCTGATGACCGCACCCGCTATGTAGAAATGGGTGTAGCATTTTCTAAACGTGAAGAGAGCAACATCTGATGCTATGAAGATGCAAGTCCTGCTCTAATCTGTGATAACTTCTCATGTTATGAGGATGGCTATATGACAAATTCTGACCTCACAGCCTTCAGGTCAATCACTTTGTTGATGTGTTGCCCCGTCTGCTCTTCTCTAGCAACTAACTCTTCCCCAAACTAGCTAGTGCATATCTGAACTTTCTAACACCATTGTATTTTGTTCTATTTCAATGTAACGTCATGAAGTCCATCTTCGAACGCAAAAGGTGGCTTAGGATCGTGAAGTGACCCAGTTTTATGACCTTGATGCTCAACGTTATTGTGACACTGATATCTCGCATCAACAGGTCTAGATAGAATCCAATGAACGCACAGAGAAGATATACTGTCACAATGGCGTCAAGACAAAGGGCACCAATCTTTTGGTTATATATATTCTATACCGTTCATTTCTATTGTATATCAAGCAAAACCACGACAACTTGAAACACCATGAAATTTTTGTGTCTCCCCGGCGCCTACGGAAGCGCAAAGGTGAGCAGATGATTGACATCGCTGTAGACGCTCCCGCCTCGGCGATGTATTCGTCTATCCTGTTTCAAACTCTTATCTCTGTACTCTTTACGTATACGAGTTGGTGATGATAAGGATTACATGGCTAATACCAGAGTTACATAACAGAACTTCAAGGTCCAGCTCGGTCCCTTGGCTGGCGAGCTGGAAAAACGAGGTCTCGCCACATTCACCTACACCCAAGGTTCCCACGAGGTTGAACCTCCGGAAGGATGGGAGGACTACTTCGGTTCCCGCCCACTGTTCCGCTTTCTTGACACGAGGCACGGCGACAACTTCGCCAACCTTCGCCGCTTGAGGCACATGCCTCACAGTATCAATGCTGAGGACTCCATGCGCATGTTCCAGAACACCGGCGAGGGTGAGGACTGGCACCAGGAGGTCTGGCGCAATGCCTTGAACGACGTCTTCAAGACACTCGAGGAGAACCCTGACGTCGATGCCATAATTGGCTACTCCGAGGGCGCCATGGTTGGTGCTTCCCTTGTCGTCGAGGAGGCCCGTCGCGAGAAGGAGACCGGACGTCCCCGTCAGATTAAGGCACGTTCTCGTTCCTGACAGTCTTCAATGTGTCAAGTGGCTACTAATGCGTTTCCCTTACAGTTCGCTGTCTTCATTTCGGGCTCCCCGCCCCTGAAGTTGGAGGGCGAGAACCGCGTGGTCTGTCAGCTGTACGACGAAGTTGGCACCGTCATCGACATCCCAACCTTCCACATCTTTGGGTGCGACGATGCCTTCCTGCTTAGCGCTGTCGCACTCTACAACGTGTGCGACCCCAGCAACTCGGCCATGTTCGATCACGGCCTGGGTCATATCGTGCCCCGTGATGCCGAGAACGTTCGCATGCTGGCTGACATCCTCGAGGAGCTGATCCCCAAGGCTGATGGCAATAAGGAGGAAAGGGAACTGAAAAAGTACGAGCACATTTAAGCGAGCCGAGGATATGGCTCATGAGTGCGGGGATCCAGGTAAGCCCAACAGCGCAACAACTCCTTCGCGCGGCGCGTGAGATTATCGTGTTTGTTGGAAGGGGGGGGGGGAATGGATAGCATGTTGGAGACAGCACGCCGAATGTTTACGGGGTCTACGACTTTAGGCTGATGGCCCGAGAAGAAGACATTCGCTGAGGCTACAGAGGGAAGGCAGGGGGAAAAGAGCTGAAGGAAAGGAAGCTAAAACAGTTTGTAGTTAGCTCTCGGTTACTTGTCAATTGGTCAATGAAAGCGAGAAGCTGGGGAGCTGAATACTGCTTCCCGAGAAGTTCAAATGTTTGGTGATTTGACCGGTTTCCTATTGGTGAGCGGACGAATTATTCATTGCCAAATCATTGTCAACATTGTTCACAAAGTGTCTAATTGTCAACAAATCCCCAGAACCAGGACTCCTATTATCACTTCCGATGCTCGAGGAAGCCGGATTGGCCGATCGCTCAGGTCCTGGGCTGGAGACTCGCTGCTGGAGACCAGATCCCTACCACACACGTGGTTTTTGCGACTCTAAATTGTTTTTGGCAGGTCCACCTTGACGTCCCATTGCTCAGCTGAAATCCACCAAGTTTGTCGGGGCAGAACCCGAGTCGTTGGCAATCAGTTTCTTGGAATTTCTTCGAAAAGCTGCATCTCAAGCTGCAGTTTGTGGGCTTGCCTGTCTGTAACTTTCCCTTCGAAGTCAAAGACCACCATTCTGATGCGGCTATAAGGGAGGAGCCAGAGTGACGTCATAGTCACGTCCTTGCCCTCAGTTGAATCGTGGCTGCCCCGAAAACGAGGTGACGTAATGTACACGGTGTGAGCAGCCTATTTCACGTGACTCCAGAATTTATTCGGGAAGCAGAGCTGATGAAACAGTACGCAGGCCCCACGCAGGGGTTGTGGAGCTGATGGAGCCGACGGAACTGCGCTCGCTTCACCCTGCTCTTCCGGGTTCACAAATGCGAAGTTTGCCCGGATGCAACGCTAACAATGAAGCTCGTAGGGTTGCAGCCTGCTTCAATTGCATCTCTGACTTGCTTGTGCGAAGTGGGGAGCTGAACGTCGGGGATGTTGCTCTGCTTGAAGGATCTGACTCGGGGATCGGACACAGCAGGAAACGACACATCAACGACTCGGCTCCCGCTCACTTCTCGAATCTGGGTGATGTGATTGATAGCCACATGCAGGAGGAGCATTCATTACACATTCAGCCCAGTCAACAATGAAAACATAATCGGTGAGGGATGGAGAAGCCCAGGAAGTCCTGGAGAGTCACGTCCAAAACGAAAGGCCCGTGTTGTGCAAACACCATTGGAGTTCTCAGGGCGGCGCTGAACTCTTTCAAGAAACCACGCTACGAAGGCAACGTTTACCTAATAATGCTTCTTAGCATCTCTGTTGATGCGCTTATGTAAGTTGCATGTAGAAGGGCTTCCACGGCGCGAGGGGGCTTTTGTAAGTGGACGAGATCAGAGGTTGGGCGCCTAGAGAAGAATGGAGAGAATCTCGATCTTGCGTATCGCGCTATTAGGGTTAAGGAAAGGTATCGGTGAACAGACAACGGACTGAATTCTTAAAGTTTGCGATAGCTGTCACTATGCTCACAACCGAGTCATTTGAGGCCCTAGGAGCAGGTTCGAATCCCTTCGGAGTTGAGACTCTACGAGGGTTCCCCTAGCATAAAAGGCTAGAACAACAGCTCGGAAAGCTGGTTCCAATTTCCGAGGCACACCTCAACCCTCCAGCTGTTTTTATTTTTTTTTTTTTAAAAAAAGGCTACCGCGGAAAACGGCCAATGACTGATAGCGAAATCAGTGCGCTGACAGGCCAACACCGTCCACTTTACAAGGAACGGTCGGCTTCCATCTGCCTGGCCGTCGCTCTCCTGTCATCCCGCTGTCCCTGTCCCGCAGATTGCCCTTACCCTCTACCCGGAAACATGGATTTAGGGATATTCGCCAGTCTAGGGCGATGTCGGGTGATGGGGATGTCAACGAAGCAACCGTTACTGAAATGGCAGATATCCCGCACAGCCGCTCAGCTGAACTGGGATCCTTCCACCAGGGATGCCAAAAAAAACATCAAACATCTTGGCGTTCTGACATCCAACTGCCGATGGCTAGGTGCAAGTGACAAGTCTTTATCATGCTTGCCGCCAGGATCTTCTTTGGGGAAAGCTCCCCGCACTCGATTGTTCCTTGTCCAGAGCCTTCGCTCAGACACTGCACTGGCAAGGACCCTCTCTCGCCCATTGCCAGGACTCGACGAACCTTTAGTCTCTGTGGCTAGGGTTGACCTTCGCCGCCCGTGGCCTAGACGGTTCGATTGCGTTGATCTTATACTACACTTCAGGTGTCAGGTGTTGGCCACCCTTCACATCACGACTTTGAAGAACCGAAACCCTTCTACTGCCCAGGTCCATTCCTGCGGTAGAGCTCTGCGTTTCCTGCGCTTTCTGCGCTCTATTCTGCATTCTCGGCCGTTAGGTTTTGATGGCCACAACACCTCTGTTGATCCACTCATCGAGACTTGCAATCCGAAGACAAAAACAGTGACTAATTACTAGAGCGCGTAATCATGGCGGCCGACGCCGACCTGTTGACCCGTCTCGGGCAGGTCGTGCCAGTGACTTTCGAGCCAGCCCTGCTTGTTCTGAGTTACATCATCAGTCTTGTCGGTGCTGCTTCGACTCTCGAGCTCATTCATCGCAGGACCTCGAGGCGAGGTTATTACAACAAGTTCGTCTACATCCATCTGTTTTGCCATTTAAGCAGCAAGTTACTGACAGTTTGACAGTCTGCTGTTGTTTGGTGCTGCGGTAACTATGGGAGGTGTCGCAATCTGGAGCATGGTATGTTTTCAGACGATCATGCTCCCATTATCGAGTACACGCTCTTTGAACTGACAATTGCAATAGCATTACATTGGTAATCGAGCAACTATTCTTGCCAATGGCGATCCACGGCTGCAGATTGCGTACTCAGCTGGCGTCACGGTGGCCTCGTTCTTCGTCCCCATTGTAGTTTTACTTGTCGCCTTCTTCGTTGTCACGGGAGCCAAGGGCAACACGGCAAACGTAAGTTGGTGGCGGGTGTCAACATCAGGAATCTTGTCGGGAGGTGCCATCTGCGGCATGCACTACCTCGGAAATGCGTCAATCAGCAACTACCGACTGGGATATGCAACCTCTAACGTTGTTGGTTCCGTTGTCATTGCCGCGGCCGCAAGTACCATCGCTCTGGCATTGTTCTTCGTCTTCAAGAGCTCTTGGACGAACTCTTGGTGGAAGAGACTTAGTTGTGCTGTTGTATTGGCCGGGGCTGTCTCAGGGATGCACTGGTGCGCTGTCATGGGCACTAACTACACCCTGATTCATCTTGACTCCAGGAGCGATCTCAAAAGCCGCAACACGACTGTGATTGTAACTGCTGTTCTGGTAGGTATTATTCTTACTGGACCCAAAATCAAGCCCTAGGACTAACACACTTTCTCTTACAGTCGTTCTCTGCTTGCATGATCATTGCCGGGCTAGCCATCTATTCTGCCAGGGTACGGAAAGGATACGCCAACCGTGCGCAAAGGATCACGCTTGCTGCTGCTGTCTTCGATGACCAGAAACGCATTCTAGTCACACCCGACGGCTTGTTGCCGAGCGAGGTGGTTACTACGACCTTCTTACAAAAGGCGAGTGGCAGCTACATGTACTTGGCACCGAGTCGCTTCAACATCTTGCTGACTCATTTCTTGTAGACGGGCCACGAGAGATTCTCCACGACGCATCCGTTATTCCATTGGATCTTCCAGGCGTCTCGCAACTGGGGAGCTATCTCTACTCTTGTTGATAAGATGGTCCTTCACCTTGCCAACCTTCCTCACTACGGTCGCAACGTCCGAACTGCCATTGAATTGGTCGACAAGGAAGGACATATCATTGAGAACTACGAAACCATCTTCTGCGAGCTGTTTTGCGTTGCTGCGGCAGCCTTGGCTCGGCAGATGAATGAACGGCTTGCCAATGTCGGAATGCTTTGGGATGAGATTCTCACGACGGGCGGTCACGTGTTGAATGACTCGGGCAGTTCAGTCTCGAGCTCACATAACGTGCGGCGTGATGAAAATACCAAGAAGGAAAGGCGCGACCATCTGGATCTGCTCGAAAAAGGAGAGGCTCAGCCGGAGATGCTTAAGCACGGCCATCTCATGTTTCTTGTTCGCCGCGTTGACAACGCCCAGGCCGAACATCTCGCCGCAGCAGGATACCTGTTTGCTGAACCTCGCCAGGTAGCTCACATTATCGGGGACAGGATGCAGATCCGAGTAAAGGACTTCGAGCTGAAGCTGAGGAGCATGGAGCGATATGCCCGGGGTAGCATGTTGGCTCCCGGCGTCCATTTGGGTCTCTTCGCCGTCAGAACTCAGTTCCATCAGGCTGGATTTGACGTTTTGGTTAGGCGAGAGGCCAGGAATTTGCTTCCAAGCATGGAACTGCCTCTTGATCGTTTGGAGCAGCATCACATCGACTTTCTCCGCAGCTTTCATGGGGTCTCGATGGCTGCAGCTCTCCACCGACTTGACCGTGTGAGTGTGGCTGATCCTCGAGGCACGAGCTTTGCAGCAATTCTGCGCGATGCGATCCGAAATTTGAAGACATCGGTGCAGGATGCGGTGTTCAACAGCGCCAAACTTGTTCCTAAAATCGTGCAAGTCCCCTGCATACCATTGTCGTCCGATTCCCGGCCAGCGACATGCTCCATGATCGTCTTCAGCATTATGATACCAATTCACGTACGCGTAGAAGCTCCTGCCTACGAGTTCATCCCTTTGCAGTTCTTCAAAGTGCAGCAGATGGTCTACAAGAACTGTCCGCACAAGGCTGCCTTTGTTCGTTCAATGCATCGCACCATATCACCGTTGCTGAACATGACTTCAACTGTCGATATATCCTCTCAGTCAAAGTCATTGTTCAGCCGGCTCAAGGACTTTCTGCTTTTTGGGTCCTGGCAAGGGAAGGACTCCGCAATCCATACCGCGTACAATCGCCTTCGGAGACGCAAGTCGCGTGGTCATGACACGACTCTCCTGTCACCCAGCCGCGAACACGTCGCGTTGACTTCGTGCAATCAGAGCGCAGTATCACTTCCCCTATACAACAGAACGACTTCAGACGATCAGGGGGTCTCCGGCTTGGCCAATGTTCGCGCAGATCTTAAAAACCCTCCCGAAATTTCCGTTACGGAGCTCATTGACCCTATTTTCCCGACATGGCCACTACCCCCTCCGTCTAAGGCGTCGTTCGGTGGGATTATGATCTCCCAGGAGGTCACAGTGGATGTTGAGGTCGCCAACAATGGAGGTCCGAACGGGGACAAATCATCGGACAATGACTCGGATGTCGGACGCAAAAAGAGCATTCGGGCCTTGCCGAGCGCTGCGAATGCCCCTATCCCGGTTCCTTTTGACCAAGCCATCGAGATGTGCGATGTGTCAGCTGTTCTTGGAATCGGCGCATCAACGGTGCAGGTTGCCAAGGAGGACGATGACGTCATAAGGACGTTTGTTGACGATCTGTTTTCGACTTGTCTTGATACCCCTAAGCGCACGTGAATGGCTTCAAGTCAAATTTGACGACGGAAGTGCATGATGATGCTTGATTTAGCCGGTCATATCAGTTTAATTTATCAGTACATTACATGTTTGGAAAACTACTCAAGGAGGATTTTGGGAATAGAGGGAAGGTATTCGATGGATGATGATAAAAGAAATATATCATACATGGACAGTGACCAAATTCTTACACTAAGATCAGGTATACTCAAAAAGGGAACGGTCACATCGACCACCAAAAGCGGTTGCACAATAGTAAAGGTATGAACAGGAGTACTACTACTTAATGAACAAAACCATTAATTGCAATTGCAAGCTGTTCTAGTATTGACCATCCCGTTCAGCCAATGTAATTATTCTGAGGTACTGTAGTACGTACCTGTCCTTCAGGGGCTGGAACGCTGGAAGATCACATTAACTCCACATTATTGACCTTGCAATCGCCGTCGGTGCACCCTTTCATTCTGACGACCAAGGGATAGGAACAGAGCTGACGTGGGCTCTGTTCTTCCAACAAGCTGCTTATTGGTCAGAAGGGCACCCATTAAGTCGTTACTAGCGGTGCAAAGGACCATAGGCTGCCAGCGACGTCATTGCCTCGATATTGATAGTGCAATGGTTGCGCATTTAGTTGCTGGTGGCACCAGCGGTGACGACGGACACTCCAGAGGGAAGGGTGACGCCGGAGGGGATGGAGGCACCGCTGGGAATGGTGACGGTGACCTGACGGCGCTCAGCAGCGGCAGTGGTGCCGGCGGCAGTGACAACCGATACGCCAGAGGGGAGGGTCACGCCGGAGGGGCTGGTGGCGCCTGAAGGGACGGTAATGGTGACCTGGCGGCGGTTGGCGTTGCCCTGGACCGTGTTGGTCGTGGCGCCGGCCGTGACGACCGAGACGCCGCTGGGCAGCGTAGCACCCGAGGGCAGAGTAGCTCCCGACGGGACGGTGATGGTCACCTGCCCGAATGTGACAGGGAGGAGAGCGTAGGCGAGGAAGAAGATTAAAGCGATCTTGACGAGGACCATTTTGGTAAGTTTAATGCGTGCTTGGTGCTGAAACAAAACAGGAAGCAAGTGAAGGAGTTATTATCATTGCTCTAATTTATACTTTTAGCTTTGACAACGCAAAAGTGTAGCTTCCATCATGCTTACTTCCAGTTGGACGCGTTTGCAGCCGTCGCTATGATGGCATTGGAACTATGTTTAAGCTCCGTGCGTTACTATGGCTACACGTAGTCAACCCACATGTCACGTAGTCAATCTAGTGCCAGAGTCCTGGGGAAAGGCTTAATTGAACGATGGTCATCGGCTTCCAGTAAGCATAACAGTGGAAATCATGCCGCCTGTCACGCGCCGCGCAACAGCAAATTTATCTTTACCGTTGCTATGGAGACCTCTATTAAGGGATGAGCTGAGTAATTTGCGCGCTTAAGCAGATGCAAACATTCTGTTCACGACGACGTCATAGTCCGCACAGAGGGAATGAGAAGTCGTGAGTGCAATCGGTTGGAAAGAGTGGATGGTGATCTCGAGCATGTGACAAAGTCAGCTCGAAATGCGCTGCCCTGAACAGCCTAAATACGTACTTAGCCGGAGTGTTACAAAGCCCCTTGGAGAAGAGCAAAACGGCAAAAACACTTGGCAGATGGCAGCTTTTGAGATATACTCGATTAGATATTGGTTGAAATTGGTATTAGGTTATCTACAAGCTACGCCGCCTTCTTGACTCTAGGACTGATCAGGCATGTCGCAGGCATCACGCATCGACATTCATCCGCTTCCCGCACTGTTGTCTAAACCTCCATATTCAGTTCTTTAGATCAACCTCCTTCTGCCGTGGCTTCACCCTGATATAAAAGTCGATCGGGCGAATGTTGAACCATCCATCCTGCATAAATTCGTAGTTCTTATCCGCCGCCTCAAAGTCGAACGAGCGGATGAGTAGCGTCGTGACAACCATCAGCCAGTCCCACGCCCAGTTCTTCCCAATGCACTCGCGCATTCCATTGCCAAAAAACTTCTTCACGCCCTCCGGCATGGCGGCGAAACTCTCGCACATCATACGTTCTGGCTTGAAGGCCTCAGGGTCCTCGAACACGGCTGGGTCGCGGTTTACTCCCGCCAGGACGATAATCATAGTCTGGTTGTGAGGTACTGAGTATTTGCCCCCGGCCAACAGGACAGGTGACTTGTCCCCTTCTTTAGGAATGGGCTCGATGTTGAACCCTGGAGCGGCGCACGACAGACGTAGAGTCTCTCTGACCACGCCCATGATGTAGTGAAGCTGGGGGAGATGGTCATGCTGAAAAGGTTCGTCACTAAGGACTGTGTCAATCTCTTCCCTTGCCTTAGCCACAACCGCAGGGTTATGGATGAGGTAGTAGATGCACGCTGCAATAGCGCAGGGAGCTGTGCTGCTCCCAATGGGCATGGTGACGATCTCGTCTATGATCTCATTGTCTGTGAGGCCCTTGCCTGTTTCGGGATCCTTGCCATTCATGAGCGCCCAGAGGAGATCGTGCCGGTCACAAGGATGCTCTCGGCGATGCTTGACCACTTCTGCGGCAAAGTCGCGCATCACTTTGGTGGCTTTTTTGAACTTCCTGCCATACACCAGCCAGTTGAGGAGCTTGGGTCTTGTTGGCCGCTTCATCGCTTCGGATGTCGCGTCCTCCATGGCTTGGATCACGGGATGCTCAGGGCCGTTGATGTTATTCACCTTCATGCCATATAAGGACAAGACGGTTGCTTCGAAGCTCAGTCTGTTAAGGTCTCTTAACGGCTGGATAGGAGTGTCTGGGTCGACGGAAGTCCATTTTGCTACGAGTTCTTCTGTCGTTGTGACAAAGTGATCGAAAAGCTCAGCTACTGACTCCTGAGAAAGTTTGGGCGCAATTATCCGGTGAGCGATTCCCCAGCATTCCTCGTGGTGGTAGGCAGTAAAGAGAGAGCTGTTGACGGAATAACGGATCTCGACGATGGGACCAGTCACGGCCTTGTGGAATCGCTTCTCGTCGCAGAGTTCCTGGGCCAGAGCTGCGCTGGCGACGAAGACAATGTGGTGCCCCAGCACCTTGATCTCAAAAATCTCTCCTGTCCAGCCAAGTCGTGTCGTGTCAGTATCCAGTCAAGACCTCTGGCCGGTAGTTGCAGTGCCGCTACACACCATATTTTTCTGCCAACTTCTTCAGGGACCACCATGTGTTGTTTGAATCGACATCAAAGACGTTGCCCAGCAGGGGGACTCCAGGCGGACGGGGAATTGGTGTCGACATCCTGGCTGGTGAAGTTTGACCTCGCTCTCTAGTTCGCCCAACACAAAGATTTAAAAAGAGACCCAAGAGTCGGTGATCAACATCTTTTGCTCTCTCCTGGAAACTACAAACAGTTATATCCTCTCTTTAGCGGAGGAACACAGCTTACAGCGAGAAACATGACGCATCGGTGGCTGGAAACTATGTTGATTGAAGCAAGGTACGTTGTTGGTGCCAAGACAACGTATGCTGCCGCTGGCCATGCAACTAGTCTCGGTGATCAGCGCTGACAGCCAGTCAGAGATGGTCTTGAGACAGCCGCAGATCAACATGCCACAGCGAGCTGAATCTTGCATGCAATTTCCCTCTGGTTTGTTTCGTTGTTAATGCAAGATTTTAGGACACAACTCATCCACAAAACAAGCATTCTTTGAGCAAAACAGTGGTACCACAGAAGATCCTAATACTGTGCATCCTATGTATCCAATGTCGTGTATGGTAACTTGCATTTTGTCGAGTGTCAAGGCTAAGAATTATACCGATGTTGTGAAATTGTATATTTGACAATCTGATATCGCAAGTAGTCCGCCAATATAAAAACACAGCGACCAGTTTCTAAGTCCCACCATGTCCTTCACGAGGCTTTTCCAGTTCTTTTCCTTCCTACTATGGAAACACCACAGCTCATCTTATAATCGTAGTTCGCGCGAGTGAAATGCCCCTCGTGCCCACATGTTCGCCCATAGGACTCTTGTAGATGAAACGGATGATGGGCTCCGTGTCGATTGCTCAAATGTCACCACAGCCAACATTTGCTGAAAACCCCTTTTTCTTCACTTTATCGCTAACTTCTCCACAAAGGCGCACGTGCCATGCTTTAAAGGAGCGTCATGTGACCCGCCTGTAGCCCGATTACCCTGCAAAAGATATTAGCTCGGTTCATGTGTCTCAAGCGTTGAACAGTATCAGCTCTAAACCTACCATGCGTTATCGATAGGCGCCTCTAGAAGACTCTCCATCAGTGATCAACCAGAGGCAATGCAACGCTCGCGCGGTTCTCAAAAGTAGACCTATCGCAGTAGAAGGCGCGATCGGCCATAGCACTGGCTGTGCCGTTACCGGCTGGTTCTTGTACATCCAGCAAAGGTGACATTGGTGGTTGAAGGTGCAGTAGGAGAGGCGGTATTAGAGGGATAAGGAACAACACCAACGCTGAAGAGGACTGAAAAGCTAGACGGGTAATGTATGCGCAAGCATGGTGAACAGTTGTTCAAAACATGAAGGTCTAATTATCACTCATCGTTGACTGCTATAAACTGCTGCGATCGAGCCTGGGCTGCCTGAACTGGAGCTGAATAGTCACCGAGGGCTTTGATGGAAATACCAGAACCATCGCGACTTTAACACTAGCAGGGCTCTTTTCAACAACCCTGACATGTTGCATTATATCATGGTTTCCCAGTCTCTGAGCTTATTGGCTTTCTCTCTGTGATAATAGAGCACTTAATACGTTTGCATTGCCACTAGAGACCCGGCCGGGGGGGCATGGTCAGCCTTTGCGTCGAGTTTAGCCCAAAACATTTATGGGATTCTAGACAAAATTAAAAAGTGACCTTGTGAGATGCCTTGAAAGGGGACCATCAGGGGTCTCCGTTCGTACAGAGAACAGTGTGTGATTTTTTTTCACTACGTATATAGGAAGACCGAGGGATGGGGTTAGAATTCAGAGTGAAGGATGACAGCCGCATGGGAGAGAACCCTGAACTCTGGCATCGCATTGTATTCATTTGAGTTGCCTTCAGTCTTTAGGCCTGGGCATGTCGCACGGTGATTGGTTGCCGATCAACCAGATCATTTGTGAGGGAAAGGATCTGTGAGGGAGTCGTTGAACTCAATGTCAACGTGACTTACTTGTAGTGGCTTGCCCCACTCTGCGAGTCGCTTTAGGATAGAAGTGTGGATGGCACATTTTCGACGGGGTATCACGCGTCAACGAAGGTGTGGTCTCTGTTGTGTCAGTAGCGAAGTCCCAACCAGTTGTCCAAAGCACATTCACCTTGACAGCATGCCACATTGAGTCACTTTTCCTAGATTCCATCTCAACGCTTCTGTTTCGCTTAGTCGCTTGCGTTGAATATGATTTCTCCAGACTTGGGATCACTGTGGTAGTATGCCCGACAGCAATTGTCAGTCTTCCGAATAGATATGACGTGTTAAACAAAGCTTGTCGAGTATATTGTATGGGAAAATCTAGCTGCTACTATAGGAACGCTTGCGATGGGCATGTGCGTAGATATTGGATAAGCTTGACAAATCAGGTTTGTATCTCCTCCACCCTTCAATCAGACCCAACTTTTTACTCCCTCATCTACCTCACAAACAACATTACAGCCGCCCGCGCTTGGCAAAGGCCAGAGCAAGCCAGCCGCCGATCAGGCAGAGCCCACCAAGTGGCGTGACAGGTCCCAAGTATCGGAAGCGCTCCGAGTCCAGCACGAGGAGGTAGAGACTGCCCGAGAACATGGTGATGCCTGTGGCGAAGAGGCTTCCTGCAACAGGGTAATTGCTGGCAGCAAGCATGGCGACGGAGTGAATTAGCTGGAGCGTACAAGCAGCGTTAGCGGTCCACTATGTTGATGCCGTAGGATCCTCTCCTCTTGTGCGGTCCTTAACCTACCTGGTATTGCGCGGCAGTTCCCCAGTTGGCCAGCTTCCTCGGGTCAGTAATGCGGTTTTTAAGACCATGGGCCCCAAACGCCCCGAGCGCAATGGCAGACGCGCCAAAGAGGGCACCGGCTTTCCAGATCAGGAGGCTGGTCATTTCGTCCTGCTGAGATTGAGTACTTAGATCTGCTTCTGGTCTTGGAAGTAACGGCGTAGTCTCCTGGGCTTGATCGCCGCTTGGCATGGGACAAGGAGAGGTGAAGACGCAGATGGGAATGAAGTCGCAAAGGCCGAACGTTCCTGGGGTGTGCTGTCTCCGGGGTGAAATTAATTAAGCGCCGGAAGGGTCGCTGCGGGAAGTGGGGCCGAGGTTTGCTCTTGGCAATTCTCCGGTGCCTCCATCCAGGAACCTGATATGACGTCATTGTCCATTGACCGTTGGGAGAAGCTTTGTTCTTCAACATCGTTAGACTCTGAGATTGTGACGTTGGAGCTACTAACGCAGGTAGTCTGAGGAGGAGGTTGACAGCACTTATGATGCCTTTGCTTTAGATAGGTAATTAAGGAATAGCGGTACAGTGATTAGATCAGAGGAGATCTGTCTCATACCCTCTTCACAGGCTCTAAAGTTTTAGGTTCAACGCACAAACTCTTCTGGCATCATGACTGAGCTACGTCCAAGCTTGTTGTTGATTTTTGATAGCGCACTCTCAATCGGTATTGGCGGCAATTGTTTTCCACAAGGCTGCTGTCTCACTCTCTTCCAAGTCTTGTAGAATACCTGAACTTGACTGGTGGTGCTACGGACCAGATCACAAAACGAACAAAAAGTCGGAAGCAATGCATTGTACCTTTGAAGTCATAAAGCAGTGAGACGCAGCCATGCCCGACATCCAGAGCATGGTGACGAGTTTGGTTGGCAACAAGTGCAGCATCACTGCATTTGTAACGAAGGGGGAACCCGGAAAATGAGGGGGTTCAGCATGAAGACCCAGAGTCGATCATGCAAGGTAAGTACCCCCGCATTCTGCGTGCGGCTGCCCTTGCCGACTTACCGAAACGGCCAAAATCTCATTATCGACTTGATCCCCTGAGCAGCAGGATCTGTTCACTCCTTAACTACTTTACACACAGCAACGCATCCTAAAACAATCGCTAACCATCGTGAATGAATTACGGTCTTATCGTTTTACTGACTAAACTTGTATCCTAGCCAACATTACTACGAACATACCTAGCTTTCTCCTTAGCTCCCTTTTAAACAATGCTCGACTTAACACTTATCCCTCCCGATGGCGTCTGGGTTCCCTCCCCAACCTTCTTCTTGCCCTCCCCAACCGAAGGCACATACCCCGACCCAACCCAACCAGCACGCATCCAACGCGCCGTCGATGTCGAGACGCAAGTTGCTCATAGCATCTTTCTCGCTCGCTCTGGCGTCACAGGCATCGTTCTGCTTGGCTCAACAGGCGAAGCGATCCACCTCACCCGCTCGGAACGCAGCGCCCTTGTCTCAGCCGTCCGTCGCGGTCTCCAAGATGCCGGATTCCCAGACTATCCGCTCATGGCTGGTGTGCTAACCAACGGACTGGAAGAGGCACTCGAGTGGTTGGATGACTACGCTCGGGCGGGTGTGCAATGGGGCCTGGTGCTGGCGCCGGGATATTTCGGGGCGTCGGTCGGACAGGAAGGGTTGGTGAAGTGGTATACGGCTGTCGCGGACAGGAGTCCGCTACCGATTTTGGTGTATAACTACCCGGGGGTTACGAATGGCGTGACGGTGTTGCCTGAGACGTATCGCGTCTTGGCGGACCATCCGAAGATTGTGGGGTGCAAGATGTGAGTGAACGTCGTTGTCTTTCGACTTATGTTGTGGAGCTGACGAGTTTGTGAGCAGGTCGCATGGCAACGTCTCCCATCACATCCAAGTCGCGCTTGACCCGGCCATTCACCACGACAAGTTCCGCGTCTTCAGCGGGCTCAGCAGTCAGCTAGGGCCTGTAGTCCTATTTGGAGCAGCCGGCGTTATCGACGGTCTCCCTGCCATCTTCCCCAAGACCGTAGTTCGGCTGATGCAGCTGGCTGAGAAGGCGAATACAAAAGGCTTGAAGGACGAAGAGAGGACCGAGCTTCAACGCCTGCAGTATGCCGTCAGCTTGGCTGAGGAGTTTGTCATGAGATATGGGATCATTGGCATCAAAGAGGCTGTCTTTCGCGTGGTTGGGTTTGGAAATCTTGAGGGAGGCCGTCTGCCCATTCCTGGGGAGTTGCCGGAGGGGGCTTGGGACAAGGTGAAAATGCTGTTCTTGCAGGCGATCGAGCTGACCGAGGCGAGTCTCTGATAGTATGTGGCCCGCTCGAGAGAAAACGCAAACACAACGGAGCTATTTGATATTTGTCAGGCTACACAAGATGCTTGCGGAAGTGAGACCTGAACCTTTGGAATAGACATCACTGGTAGAGATTTCCGGCCGCTTGTTTACCTGGACCTGTGTGCCAATCCTGCTGTTGTTTCTGGAATTGCATCCAGAGCCGTGCAAACGCATGAGCCGTGCTTAAGTGCTTACGCACCCTGCATCATCGACGTGGTGATTGCTGTGGTGAGAGCTGTGAATGGTTCTGAAGTGGAGGCCCCCCATTAGGCACAATGCCAAGCACGTAGAGCCTGCTGAGCAACGCTGCTATAACCAGGGCTCCAGCTGAATGAGCTGAGTGGGGCGTCAAGTCCCTGGAATGGCACCGCGCTGCGCCACACACTCTGATTCGCTGGTCGGAGCTCCATTTTTCGTGAGCGACGTGAACGCTGGCCAGTGGCAAGTCGCAATGCACGCGGTCCCAAGGCCGTTTTGCAAGCAGATCCCAGCGCCCCCGGGTTATCTGGCGACAGCTCCAGCCCCTAAACCACCACAGGATACCATCGCGCGCTTGGCGTCGATCCGAACAGATTGGCTGCATTTATTCTTGTGAAGCTCCTTGCAAGTTCAGCATGTCATCCCTTTGTTGTCTTACCTCTTCGTTCTCCTTTCCCCCTCCTCGCTTTACCCACCAACGCGTTTCCCCAGTCCAGAATGTCACCGAAACATCACGAACGCCAGTGTCAACGACAACCGTCCCGGTGGTCACACCTTGGCTTGCTGGCGCTGGCCGCCGCTGCCTCGTCCCGTCGAGTTGATCAATTGCCTTCCCTGAGCATCACAAAAGCACCCGCAAAGGTTCCTCCCGCCTTGCTAGCTCGCCGCGCGGGCGGCCCCTACGCTGCCACACTCATTAACGAGCAGACGGCCTACTTCACGAAGGTGCGAATCGGCACACCGCAGCAAGAAGTCACGCTTCATGTCGACACTGGTAGCAGCGACCTGTGGGTTTTGTGGACGCAAACAGATTTGTGCCTTGATGAGCAGCTGCAAGCAGAGTGGGGAATGTGCCTCGACACGTTTGAGCCGGAGCTCAGTAGGACGTACAAAACCGTGGATAGGGGAGGGTTTTCCATCCAGTATGTGGATGGGACGGGCGCTGCAGGAGACTACTTCTCTGATAACGTTGCCCTCGGCAATGGCATCCAGATTCAAGGCCTGCAAATGGGCATCGCGATCGAGAGCACCTGCAACTGGGGCATACTCGGCATCGGCTACTCGACCTCCGTCGCGGCCGACTACATCTACCCAAACATAATCGAGCTGATGCAGAACCAGAGCTACATCGCGACGAAAGCCTACAGCCTCTATCTCAACGACTACAGCGCCGCCACAGGGACCATCCTCTTTGGCGGCATCGACACAACCAAGTTCTACGGCGACTTGAAAGTTGTTCCCGTCCTAGGGCGTCGCGTTGACGACGGCTTCATTTACGACCACTTCGTTGTTTCCCTCACTAGCGTCACCTCCCACGCCGACGGTCAAGAAACAGTTCGGCTCACCTCCTCCGACGCCAACATTCCCGTCGTCCTCGACTCCGGCACATCCTTCGCTTATTTCCCCTCGACCATCACCAAGCCTCTGTACGACTCCCTTGGCGCATACGATGACACAACCTCCGAGTTCGGCTCCGGCGAGGTTTACGTCGACTGCAAGTACCGCAGCCAATCCGATCGCTACCTCTCCTTTCAGTTCAACGGCGCAGACGGGCCTGTCATCAGCGTCCCCGCGTCAGAGTACATCCTCGATGATCTGAAGCCATACATTCGCGCCGGGTTGTGGCCGCTTCCTGCGAACCTGCCGTTCTCGGATGTCTGTCGCATGGCTATTCGCACGCAGAACCAGTCACCACCATATATTGTCGGGGACTCGTTTCTCAGGAGTGCATATGTTGTGTATGATTTGGAGTATAATCGTGTTGGGCTGGCGCAGGCGAATACGAATGCCAATGGGTCAAATATTGTTGAGATTACAGGGCCAATCCAGTCGGTGAAGGGAGTACCCATGCCTGATGCGCTGCCGTGGATGACGAATGGTGCTTCTCATGAGGTCACGCTAACGGCTGGGGCTGTTGCATGTGTTGCTGGATTGGTGATGGGTTTTCTGAGTCTGGCATGAGGAGTAGTAACTCTGATTTGAGAATTTTGGTTGTAATTTCTCTGGATTATTTGCCACAAATTTCGTCGCATTTAGCGCGTTGATACCCCGTCGTTTTAGATACTACACGTCTGAAATCATGGCGTGGTTATAATGGTTAACATGGAGAGTTAGGGAAGATCTAAGAACAGGGTACACGTCTCTGGGATAGCATCTTCTGGGTGGTTAGACAAACGGGGATGAGAGATGGGAGTTAAGCACAAGTTCTCCAGATCTATAAGGATTTAATGACATTTAAGTTTCTCTTCCTGCCAGCATCTCCTCTTCAAGTTACTCCAAACTTTCTCAGCGCACCTGACACTTATGCTGCAGGCCCCAATTACTCAAACAGTGAGAAGCTTCTGGAAGCATTTGTCTGCGGTGTCCCTAGACACTCCAACAAAGCCTCGTTCAGATATCGGCATGCTTTCACTCCTCACTCTGCCGTTCCTTTCGTCTCTATAACCTGTTCCGAAAATTACTTGATGTCGTTGCAAACTGAGATTCTTTTAATCTTCATTTCCGTTGTGGCTGGCTTACAAGTCCACAAATTGGAGCTCTTGCCTCCTTCAGTATTTTGATAAACTGCCCGTGTCTCAGGTCAGCTTTTGTCGGCCTGACCCGGCTGTGCTTGAACGTATGCTCCTGGTACGAAGCTCAATGCAAATGTCCATGGACCAGAAAATGCAGGCTGTGACCACAACATGTCCCTTCTGGCTTATCCAGAATGCCCTTGGTATCGGCCAAAGCATGTCTTTGTTGATAAACCTCGTGAACTCTGGCTCCTGCTCCAGAAATTGTCTCTGATGGTCCAGATACCAGCTTGGGCAATGGTGTATGTGATTTTTGAGCCAATTAAGGACTCTGCCTGTGTCGGTCTTGTATAGCTGAACTCCTTGTTTTGATGAGAGATGCATGATACTGGTATGTAGGCAAAGAGAAAGCTGAGACAATTCGAGACAAGGCATTAGAAAGATGTAACTGAAGGCTGATGTTCACCAAAAACCGACACATGACTCAAATGGGGTGTCAACTTTTCAATATGTTTCTCCCTTTAACTGCTTGGAAGATTGAATTATGTACAACACAACACACAACATGGCATAAAGGAACTGGATAGTCTATATAAACAGGAATATCAGCCCCGGGAAACTGACTGTTCTCTCTGGAGATTTGGTCAGACGTGAGCACTAAAAAGATTATTGCATGTGCAATTGCTGCGCTTTGCCCCTGACGTGATTTTTAGTTCCCATTGAAGACCATGAAAGATACAACTGTTCAGAAATTTCATACTGCTCTGTCTGTTGTTGCCTGACCCAACATTAACTATGGCCCCAAAGTACTGAGACAAAGTGATACAAGGACACTGCAGCGTGGAGAATGGCCAAGACCTGTTCCAAACCAACTTCTCTATGAGAAAGGAAGCAGAGTTCAAGGGGTTTTGTCGTTGGACTATGTACGTGAGTATATTTACGGAACTCATCCAAAGCTATATACATAAAGGTATAATCATTGGGATCAAGACCATGTCGTTTGCCCCTTTTCATCCTCGAGTTTTTCTGGTGTTTCCCTCGCACTTTGAGGCGCATTGTGAATAAGCCCCTTTGTCTCCAAAGGACATAGATCTGGTTCAGTGGCAGTTCGTAGAGCCTTGATTCTGACCTGGGCCTCTGGGTCTAAGTCTGGTCAAGTGAGCTCAAGTCTCCAAATACGATTCAAAGACTTCGGCTTCCGGAGCCAAAAAGGTATGCTCTCATTTACAGGCACTGTTGGGAAATAAAACCGTTAGTTAATGTGGGCCACATGAGGACATCGATATCAGCATCATACCTGAGAGTACCAGTTGTTCTGGAAGCGGCAAGTTGAGCCACTCTGGCAGCATGTCGGGCCAGTCCAGCCCTGGCCGCCGCACTGGCCCCACTTGGGACTCTGTTCAAGCATCAGCAACTCTGATTCATTTTCTCAAACATAGGCAAAACCACATACGCAGTTGCTACCGCCACCATTCGAAGGCTGAGTAGGCTGGGAGCCACCAGCCGAAGTAGTCGGCGAGCCGCCACCACCGCCAGAGCTGCTGTTGAGCTTGCTGCGCACGAAGTTGAGCGCCTGCTGGCCGTACTTGACGCCGTATTGCTGGTGGGAGTTCGCGTCATTGCCTGTGCAGCAGTACGGGTCGGTGCTGTCGCAGTAATTCTGGATCTTGTCGGACGAATTGGAGCCACAGACGTAGCCACGGGGGCGGGCGGCGAACTATCATGTGTGTGAGTGTCGCTGATCTTTGAGAGATGCGGTTAAGAGGAACTTACACCCTGGGCAGTGCAAGTGCCGACGTTGTAAGGCAGACCGGCGACATAGCGGGGCGAGCCCATGAGAATGACGGCCTTGATGGCGTCCAGAGCGCTCTGGCTGATGGGAGGAGTGGTCGTGGTAATACCAGAGCCAGTGTCAGGTCCGCCGCAGACAGCGTTGTCCATGATTTGACCACCCTATGACTGTCAGGATGCCTCATGTCCCACAAGACCAGCCCAAGAGCCTATTATGAACTCACCTGAGAATAGCCAACCAGCACAAGCTTAGTGTTCGGGCACCTCTGATGAAAGCTGTTGACAGCATTGGCAACAGCCTGGGTGCCTTGCCTGGCTGAATCTCCATATTGAATACCACCGCAGCTGGCCTGGCCACCGCAGGCAGGGTAGTTGATGGCCTCGGACGTGGCGCCAGGGAAGGCCTGCAGGATGAGGTTGACGACTTGACCAGCAGTGCCATAGCCTGACGGGACGGTCGTCTCACGGGCGCCGAAGACGTGGATCTCGGGGCAGGATTGCCGGGCGACGAGCTCGGAGGCTTCAGTGGTGTCGACGGGAGAGCCGGCGACGAGAAGGGAGTGAGCCCAAAGGAGGAGGGCAGCAACCTTGGGTGAGGGCCACATGGTGACTGAGATTGCTGTCTGAGATAGAGGATTAAAGTTGAGGAGCAGTGGAGCAAGATGGATGATAGGGTATCTGCTGGAGAGGTGATGACCCCTATGACACGAAGTCGACCCAACCTTATATACCTCGACGTCCTCCAGTCAGTGCCCCTGGGCAAGCCAAACGATCGACGATGTTTCCCTGCGTTTGAGATGCATTGTTGATCCCCACGTTCGGTTCTGCTTGCCACATGAGTGGACTTCGAGAACATCCGAATGGCACACCCCTTGTGTTGCATTCCGCTGCTCCGCAACCAAATGAGGCTCACCGTCTCTATTCTTCCTGCAGCATAGCCATCAACCCCTCATTAAACAGGTTTCTCATGGAGTCTCTTGGACTGATTACCCGCTGATCTGGTCTTGTTGACACGCCGAGTCACAAAATAGCCGACAAGCTGCGTCTTGAGGCCAGGGCGCACTGCAGGACCGAAAAGGGCTTCCAGAAGGTCGCCATCTTGGTGGAGTTAGCCCCTAAGGAACACCGTTTTGTTTGACCTTGTCTGAATGTTTGCCGGTTAGCCTGGGCACAACGTTACGCTTGTTCTGGATCTATGAGCTAGGATTTGGGTGTTGTGGAGGCGTCATGTGATTCTTACCGCTTCCTACCAGCAACCATGTGACTTGCATGAAGGTTGGCCGACTGCAAGATCCCTTTTCCACATTTGTGCTACAAGCTCGATTTTAGTACCCGGTTCCTGTTTCAGGCGCATGCATTGCGGGGGAAGGGTTGACGGTCCTCGCTAGGGGGCATTCGTTGGGCTTGATGTGTCCGATTTAGCCTTTAGCCTAAATCCATACCCGTTTTCCGGTAGTACTTGGGCCAACAATGCATGGTCAATGGTAGCATTCCCCGGGTTTATCAACCGGTGCGGCTGGCTAGTTTCAAGTCTCGGATGAGCCTCGGACGTCGCATTCGACTGGTTGCCATAGCCAGCAACCGATAACCTGGGGTGCAGGTCAGCCCAGACGTGGAAGAAGCCGAAAGAGCAGTCGAGTATGGCGCTCAATTGTATTTTGGCAACTATTCGTGCAAGAATTTCCACTATCAATAAAGTTTGCGAGGGAGTTCAGTCGAAGAGCAAGATCATCTGTTGTTGTCATCAGGAACACGATGGATCCTGTAACAGCCCCAGACTCCACCACGGCCTGTCTCACTTGCCCGAAAAGGGGTGACTCACCCGACTCAATGATATTAGATATAGTTGCGAGATGAAGGATGCTGCCGACTTTCTAAGAACAACTTGATGTATTTCCACGATATAACTGGTTTGTTCCCTTGAATATTGGGCTCAATGACTCTGTGTGGTTGCATCTGCATGCAAGCCGCCTTGTATTCACTAAGCTCTGATCTCCCGTAGCGAGAAATATAATGATTTTTCGTCGAAAACAAATGAGGACTTAAGACCCTGCCACGATCATCGGTCAGGGAAACTGAATCGGCTTGAGCTTTCCAAAAGTGTGAACTATACTGGGGAAAGAGACCAGGTCAGAAAGCAATCTTGAGCGGTGAAAGCAAGATCTTTTTCCAAAATGAAGATCAGACCGGCTTGTAATAGGCCAATACACATGCAATTGACATCCAATAACATTCCATTTACATGCACAGTGGTCGGTTGCATTGTTCAATGATGCAGAACTTGGCTGTGGGAACGAGGAGAATACGTATTAGACCATGAGAGTTGCCGCCAGGTTGTGGAGGGTAATGTCAACAATGACATGGAGCTGTAAATAGACACTTCAGGGACGTTTTGTTAGAATCCAGCATCATATATTTTAGAGTTGCTTTCTTTGACAGGGACGAGGAAAAGACGAAGTGCCGTTGGCCAGCAACTTAGTTGTTCCGCCTGAATCAACTCCTTGGTTGACCGCAAAAGCTCACATACGTCCAAAAACAATCCAAGCAAGGAAAATGAGCGAATGACATGCCACGCCCTGCAAGTCAGTTGTTTAGTAACAGATGCTCCATATCATGTAATACAGCTTCCTTAATGGCCAGTCTTCTCGGGCCCTCGCTGTGATCAGGTTCATGGGACTCGTCCTGCTGTAAGGGGTGACTGGTCTGGTGCAGGTAGGGATCGACAATAGGTCAAATGGGTTAGATGATGGCCACTGACGATGTGGGGTGCACAGCGAAGTCAATTACTACGTGTCATAATCTTTCTTGGCCCTCACTGTCCTCGTATTAGGGAGAGGAAGAACCAAGAGAAGTCTACCATGTCCAGGCAGCTTCCTTTACAGAGTCTTCATCATGCCTCGGCCATATGGCTCATTCTCTTCGGTCATCCGGCTCTAGACATCTTCCGGGATCAACCACGTATTTGTGCAGCTCCCAATCATCCTGTCTCTGGTGTCCCTTGTGTTGGCAGTCGGGGATATCCCTTTCCTTGGACTGCCGTGTTCATGTGACACTAGAGGTTGCATTTTCTCGAGAAGACAGCAAGATAATTGAGTGAACTCGGCAGCACTATTACATACTTCACTAGATAATAATCAATCAATATTAGGCTCAGAAGATTGAAATACTGTTCGTAAAGAAGAGCCCAATCAAAGGCAGTTATTTGGTATTCTTGCTGTCAAAATTATGCGGTGTAACTGTTAAGAACCTGAGCATCCGGTCTCATTATTCTGTCAAATTGTGCAACTAGCTCACCAGATATGTTTAGATCGAGAATCACGCAAAAACATGCATTCACGTCAAAGATTGCTCTCCTAGTAAAATTCCGGGATCACTGTTGCTTTGTGAAGCAAGATTTTTGTTTTTTTCAACCCCTCCAACAAGCCTTGAACACCCCCTACCGCAGCTAGCCCCGTCTGCATCAAGCGGCCTGTGGCCTGGGGGCCCCAACAGGAGCCTAAACATCCGGGCACCAGGGCGTGGCTCGCTCTCCCCCCAAGAGATGACGCGTGCCCCCTCCAGACATGCGTAGGTGGTGGCAAGCTAACAAGCCTCTTTCAGTGCACTGGGACGGGCACACAAAAAAGCCCTTCCTCGAGAGATTCTCCCTACAGCACCTCTCCGCTGGCTAGCAGAGCCCTCGGGCTACGGCGACTTCCTGGAGTACCACGTGCGGTTCAACTACCCCCTGGAAGTGATGAAGGAGTGCCCCAGGAGCTACTTCTTCTGCCCCCTCACGACCTTCAACAACCCACTTGCCGGCAGGCTGGACCCGGGGGCTTTCTGGACCTCCTTCCAACTGTTCAGGTCCAGGCCCTCCCCAAATCGAGCTCTACGGCCGGGCCTGGGACGTCGCTACAAGGCTTCCTATCCCAACGTGTCGCCCCCCGGCTCCCCTCCGTGCGCCCAACCCCGGTCCCACGGGGGCGGCGACCTTGATACCGACTCCTCAGAGTCTGTCTTGGAGCTGGAGACTCATATCTCTGCAGGTCGCGCGAGAGTAACCCCCGCCCGAACCACGACACATAACCCCCTGCATGCCTTCCCCCTTATCCACACCTGTTTTGCCTCGGTGCGGGCTTTTCCTCGGTGTTACATATTTGTAGGTTGTTAGCTAGCTATTGTCCGCCGTCGTCGTGGACACGACCTAGCACCCTCAGGTGTGGGATCGGTCGAAAAAGAGAATTCAATCTCAAATTCAAGCCTTGGACAAATCAGCGTTTTGCCAATTTTCCTATTTCGGAATAGTGAGACGGAACTTTCCATGTCCCCTGCCGGCTATAGATCGTGGGGGCGAACGTTATCGACTGTCGGATGCTGCCCCTGACATAAGAGCTGAGCGATACCGAGGACCAGCCTCTTGATTTCAAACCGTATCATATCAGAGGCCATTGGAGCAGCTGTTGCGTGCCACGGTGATAAATCAACTTTCCCCTCCTGGTGGCCTACACGCGGCACCTTCTGACTCCGAGTAACTTGATTCAACTTGCAGGGCCGGAAGGGCCATGAGCATCAGCCATCAACTCTCATCCCACCCTCTCATCATTCCCAGAAACCTTCACTCATCGTCATCCAGCATCTCATCCCCCATCAGAATGCTCACATCCCTCCCTTTCTTCTCCAAGTCTATTTCCTTCGATCCCGTTAAGGACATCCCCTCCCTCGCAGGCAAAGTCATCCTCGTCACTGGCGGCAACTCTGGCCTTGGCAAGCAATCCGTCCTCGACCTGGCACGCCACTCCCCCGCGCAAATCTACCTCTGCGCGCGCAACGTTGAAAAGGGCCATGCCGCAGCCGAAGACATCAAAAAGCAAGTCCCTGGCGCGAACATCACCGTTCTAGAACTGGACCTCGCCTCCTTCGACTCAATTAAGAAGGCCGCTTCTACGGTGCTAGCCCTGTCCCAGCGTCTCGATATCCTCCTAGCCAACGCAGGGATAATGTACGCGGACCCCGCCCAAACAGCCGACGGTTACGAATTGCAATTCGGCACCAACCACATGGGCCATGCCCTCCTCGTCAAACTTTTGCTCCCCCTCCTCACCAAAACAGCCGAGACCCCCTTGGAAGACAACACTACCCCCTCCGTGCGAGTCATTTTCCTGTCCTCCATGGCGCACATGTTCCTGTGGAAGAAAGATGCTGTCACCTTCGACGACTGTCTCAAATCCCCAGGCGACAACATCTCCTGGATGACGCGCTACGCGCGCAGCAAGCTGTCCAACCTTCTCTACGCCCGAGCGCTGGCAAAGCGATATCCTAATCTAACGGTCGTGGCAGTGCACCCAGGTGGTGTGAGAACGAGTCTGATTGAGGATGCATCAAAGGCGTCGATTGTGACGAAGATTATGAGTCGTTTTCTGGCGCCGGTTGAGCAAGGGGTGCGGAATCAATTGTGGGCGGCTACCGCGAAGGCGGGAGTAGTTAGTGGAGAGTATTACGAGCCGGTTGGGTTGAAGGGGATGAGGTCGGGGAATGCGAAGGACGAGGGGCTGGCAGAGAAATTATGGGAGTATACGGAGAAGGAGTTGGAGGGGCATTCGTTGTGATAGTGTTCCATTTACATTCGAGGAGGTAGTTGAGCTTCTTAAAATGCTTTTAGCGTATATTGAGGGATGATGTGATATGTGAACACGGCATGTATGACAATCCAGCTTGCCTTCCTAAGATGGTTTCGGGTTTCGTTGAAGGATTATGGATTTGAGAGAAAGGAGTTCTCAGAAATTCAAAGCACTGCAATAACCAGTTGGTTTGGGCAACTGTTTGTATTGCTGACTGGGGAGTTCTTTGTCCTCTTTCTGTGGCGAGGAGTTTATTTAACTTCATATACTCAAATTCCTTCCTTATCTCTTCTACCAGGGGCCTTTCAGTCCCTCGTCAGTTTTTCTTAGCCCTGACGATCTTTCGTTTGTAATTCTCAGCTTTGATAACTGTTCGTTGGAAACCCCTATGTTTCCTGTTGGCTGATTCCAACCTCGCGCGAACCACGTCCTTGTGGGGGCAGTGTCTGATCCCACTTTCTCACCAGGTACTCCCTGTTGGTCGTGAACAATATAAGCTTTTCATTCGGATGAATCATGAACGGCGTCTACTTTTTTGGGAACTAGGCATGTATTCTGTGTCTAGGTGTGACAATCCAGCTAACCTTCCTAAAATGGGTTCCGGGTTCGTTCAATGCTTATGGATTCGAAAAACGGGAGTGCTCACACAGATCCAGAAACACTGTGGTCACTAGTTGGTTTGGACAACAGTTTGTAATGCTGACTGAAGAACTCTTCGTCCTTTTGTACCTACGAGAATTCTATTTACCTTATATGTCCAAGCCATTCTTCATTTCTTAAGGGTCTTTTAGGCCCAGGTCGGTATCTCTTGGCCTGACGACCTTTCGGAGCCGCATGAGCCGTGTTTTTATTGGTCCTTTGCGCCCAGCTCTTTTCTCCCCACGTGACATCTTTGTCGATTGTAACACTAGGTTAATCTAACGATCGAAGCTTTACCTTATTCTACATGGGACTTATAGATAATATATATATATATATAGATAGATAGATAGAGAGAGAGAGAGAGAGTTCTTGAAAGTTCGCATATGTTCTAGAAGCGTATATTACCTTAAACTTTATGTGACGGTTCCACGACCTCCTGAGATGGGGTTCGAAGGTGGTGGCTAGGTTGTAGAACCTGAGGGACTGGGTCCTCACATAGTAGAGTATGGAACTCACTACGGTCACCAGTTGTTGGTTGACAACTGTCTCTATTGCTGGCTGGAGTTCTCATTATAACTCTGGGAATGAGCGGTTCTATCGACAAATTTTTACTCACAGAATTGTTGACATACCTACTCTGTCATTCCAATTATTCTCAAGCACTTCCTCCGCTATTGCCGGGTGTTGCGCTCGATTTTCAGTGCTTTCCTTCTCGCTGATAATCTTCCAGCCTTCTTTTTGATTGGTTTATATCATTGTTACGGCCAGGATGTCAGTCACTCAAGGGGTTTGTTGCCATCAGAACATCAACCGATTAGAAGGGTGGAAAACATCAGTGCAAAGGAAAGCACTGAAAAACGAGCGCAACACCCGACGATAATTGAGGAAGTGCTTGGTGATAATTGGAATGACAAAGTAGGCATGTCAACAATTCCTTGAGTAAAAATATGTAGATAGAATCGCTCATTCCCAGAGTTATAATGAGAACTCCAGCCAGCAATAGAGACAGTCGTCAACCAACAACTGGTGACTGTAGTGAGTTCCATACTCTACTATGTGAGGACCCCAGTCCCTCAGGTTCTACAACCTAGCCACCACCTTCGAACCCCATCTCAGGAGGTCGTGGAATCGTCACAATCCTGGCCGTAACACTTTAGTTTTAAACGTTATGAATTTATTGTTGAGGCCCAGGTGTGGACCAGCACCCCTGCAGCGGTGGAAGAAGGACCAATAGAAATTCCAAGTGGGACCAGAAGATGACCAATCGCAGGCAGGGCAGGCATACCAACGACTCTCGAGTATAGAAATGTATATGGAATCACCAATCTCCCGGATCCATTACAAGGACTCCTCAGTCAGCAACAGAAACAGTTATCAACCAACAACTGGTGACCGCAGTCAAACCACAGACACTGCTGCGTGAGGACCCAGTCCCTCAGGTTCTACAACCCGGCTGCTACCTTCGACCCATTTCAGGAGGTTGTGGAATGGTCACATTTATCCTATAAACTAGTAGATATAACATGGTGGTACTTTATAGATGGAGACCCTTTACAACTTACCATTGGAAAGTCGGGTTCGAAATTAACGTGAACAGTATTTTTAAGCAGTCAGTGACACTATATAGATTTTGGGTAAGGAAAGGAACACTCGACTCACGGGGACTTCGAGGCTGTCCACTGTACTGGTTGTTAGACATGTGGGCATCCATAATCTTCCTTGACGATCGAGGGTCCAAAACCGGTTTTTAAGCAGTCATTATCGGCATTTAGCCTTGGTTCTTTCTCAAGAGAAGCCAAAAATCTTGGCTTGCATCTCCCTTGCCATCTGCAAGAACCCCAAAACAATAGAATTGCTGCATCGACGTCATCAAACCCTCCACGCCCGAACAGCCCTAAACTGAGCGCACCCGTACTCATGGCAAGTCAATCGGAGCCGATCAGTGGGCCGCCCGTTGCGTCACCGACGTCACAACGCAGGGTCTCACGCGGAATCTCACGCTCAACGGTAAACTGTATTATGTGGGGCAGGTGATCTCGATCCCGGCCCGAAGCCGAGACTGCTGTATTTGCCCCACTCCCATGCATCCAAGGACCCATCGCCCCAACGCCACGCACGAACGGCGTGGATACCCAATTGAGCGAACAAGGGAGGGGACATGAGCATGGGATCCAGTCTAATGGCCTTAGGACTCACCGACACTTGTTTACTTGCCTGCCTGTTTACCCAACCCATATTTCACCGCCAGATCCACTCGCTGGAGTTCAACCCCTCACTTGGGAAAGGAGAGCAACTGGAGCAGCTGTGCTGGAGCTGAGCTGAGCTGAGCCTTCTCACCTCCGAGAACGCCTGGCAGCGCAGCAGCGAAAAGATGTCGCGCCCCGGCCGGTGGTCAGCCGTCTCCGCCTCGCGCAATATCGACGTCAACTACGTCGAGGTGTGCAAGCGCGAGAAAGACCCGTACCGATTCATCTGCTGGTGTCGGCCACCTTTCCCCGAGGGGGACTCGGACGACGAGGCCGAGTATGACTGGGATGATGGGGACGAGGAGTCGGAGTTTGAGCGGGGATATGACTCGGATTTGGAGGAGACCGAGAGCGAGGATGGAAGCAGCTGGAGGAATGATCGCAGGGCGAGTGTTTGTACTACAGCATCGCGGCAGCAGACCAAGTATGACGGCGGCGACAAGCAAATGAAGAGGAAGCGGCGCTGCGATGGAGGAATGTCGTGTTTGTGCGGGGAACCGGCTGACGATTATCCCAACCACAAATGGATCACGTCGTGGGCGGGCAGACAGAAGTTCATGCGGCAGATCGACATGATATACCTGCGTGATCCCGAGGTTTTTGACATGTATGTGACAAATGACTATGCGGGGTATGGATTCGCCGAGGTACTTGAGAATTTGTTGCTGGACTTTGTCGAGGAAGACAACAACTGGCGGGAGCAATGGGTCGTTTGCGAGGTGATAGCACTGTTGCTGTTTACCGATTTGTCGAGTGATTTGATAGGGTTAGTGTCCTTTCCTTCTCTCTGGGATCGTTAACTGACTGTGCTTTTAGGATAGATGATGGAAGACGGGTGGAAGACTTGATCTTGCTGGCCGTCCGAACATTCCTTGCAATGTTGGCACGGTTAGAGCGGCAACAGCTACTCTCCAGCACCTCTGAGCTCAGGAACTTGGGTCTCATAATGTCCCTCTGGGAGAGGATCATGGGTCATCTGCTGGTAGACTTCGATCTGGCCGACATTCCCCGCTCGTTCAGGGTTGAGACGGTCGAGATCAAAGGCCGCGACGGCCAGACACACGACTTCGAGCTCGACATCGCCGAGTTCGGCGAGTATATTATTGGGTACGCTGAGCGGCACGGGATCAAACTGACTGACGTACCAGAGAGCAAAGGCGTGGCCGACAAATTGCCCCCTCCATCCGATGATGACCCCTGGAATACAGCTGCCGCATACCGCAAATACATGCAGCACTATGGGACAGGGAAAGACATGAGAATCGGTGGTGACAAGCTCGACCTGACCACGTGGTCATCTGAGAGGAGGAAGAAAGCAAGCTTCAGTGGACGCGATCCTCTCAGCAAACGGGAAATGGACATGTTGAAGAAGGGGATGGTGTTGGGGTTTAAGACATGAGAGCAGGTTGGGAACATCAAGGTCAAGTGTTGCGGAAGAGCAAAGCATGGTATTAGGTATCGATAAAAAAAAGAAATGCAGAACTCCGATGCCACTAATCGTCGAAATGTGACTGCACATGGTGTGTGACAGCCGCTGCAACCCCTCGAAACCTACAGACAGGGCAGGCCGTCTCCTGTTCACTAAGGTTCTCGGACAGCGCACTACCCGACCCAGCCTTCTGTGCCCGTCCCTTTGGTCCCTTCCCCTGTTTCCTCGAGGGCCTAATGTACGCCTCGAGCAAAACAGCCTGCTGCCCGAGCGGCTTTTGATGTTGTCCATGGCCGCGGGCGCCGCCGCGTCGGCAGCCATATCTCGACGGGCGGTCGGAGAGGGGGCACGCGGGAGAAACGGTCGTGGTGTCCTGGGGCTCGGGGGTATAGCTTGGGGCTTCGCGGGCGCCAGACATGGCCATGCTCTGGACGCGCCCGACCCTGCCGTCCGTGAGGCGGACCTTGATGCCGCGCGGGTGGTCTCCCCGTGTCAGGAGCTGGGCGACGACGCCGGAGACGGTGCGGCCGGTCGGTTGGTCTTGCTTCATAACTATGTTGACGCGCGCTCCGGGGAGGACGTCTGTGGTGGTTGGGACATGGGTCATGGTGGTAGGGAGTTCAAAGCGGCTGTAGGAAGAGATGCTCGAACGTATGACATAAGATAATAAGAAAAAATTGACTGGTCGCTATGCGGTTTGAATGGGTGGAGAATCGAGGGCAGCAGTGCCGGATAAGCATCATCACAAGCAAACATTTGTGCGATGATCGGTTCGTGGTCATTTTGCGACATTGTTTTTGACCAATCACAAGCGCTACCTAACCAACAATTTCCAAAACATGTGTCAAGTCCATCGCTCACCAATATCAGTTTTGTGCAACCGCTAAGTTGACACCGAAGTCGGTAAAGCTTTGGTAGAAGGCAAAATTAGCAAAAATGAACAACGTGATGTTTTTTCCAGATTGTTAAAATGAGGTTTTGATGAGTAACTGGATGTATTCATCATGACTTTAAGGTAATTGAGGTACAGATTACCCCGCTGAAATCTCGTCCCTGTTGGCGGCATTCGCCGCACCCCACCTTGGGTGCCCTCCATCACAGTTTGTCTGGTACAGGGTTAGCCTCCACCTTGTGTAATGCTTGACTTGGTCTGGTGCAGGCAGGGATTGACAATGGGTCAAATAGGTTAGATGATGGCCACTGACGATTTGGGGTGCACAACAAAGTCAATTGCTACGTATAATAATCTTTCTTGTTGTCCTTGTGCTGGGGAGAGAAAAACCAGGCGAAATTCTTCATCGTGTCCAAGCAGCTTCCTTTATAAAATCCCTTTGACCTTGTGAGTACCTTGTGGTCTCCTGGGATCTTCAGGGGTTTTTCCTCAGCGTGGCAAGGTTATCCAACTCATTTTTGGCAACCCCTTATATTTCCCGGGCTCTACCAGAAATATGCCTTTGCCCTTCTCAGCTCTTGTGTCACCGGTGTTCTATATGTTGGCTATCAATGATATTTCTTCTCCTAGGACTGCCGTGTCCATGTGGCACCTTGCGCCATTGAGGCATCAAGTCTCCTTAAAGAAGAGAAAAAAGCAGAAGAGAAGAGATCAAAAAAAGATATGTGCGACGAGAAAAACAAGCAAGGTATATACACCGGGTCTCCGGTAACGAAAAATCCCTGGCAAATCTGCCTTTTACGTGGCACTCCTGCCAAAGATAAAAGTGCTGCTCGTGTTTGCCATGCTCGCCCTAGCATAGCGAAAGTCCTCCCTGAGTCCGCGAACCTCTACCCTCAACACGCGTACCTCTGCCTTCAGTTTATTATAATCTTCCTCATTACATCAAACCTCTTCCCGTGGGACGACAAGAATCTTTCCTGGTTGAGCCTTGATCTCGCAGCGGAATGGTCATTGGCATCTTGTTCGTAGGCTAGACACGGAAGATCAGTAAAAGTAACAATCATTTCAATGGATGGATATGACCGCCTCACCTTAGCTATCATCACTGAACCAGCCTGCTTGCTCTCTTAAGCAACAGACTCCGGCTTAATTTCATTCCTGATTTCCTGCGACCCCCCTGACTGCCCCAACTTCCTCACACCACCAACCGCAAGTTCTCCATCCTCTTGGCCAGATCCTACGCCAGGTCTTGCGCCTTGGGCACATCCTTGAACTCGTTGGGGATAGTCCTGAGAGCAAATTTCTGCGCAGTTTTTTCTGAGATTTGGGAGACCGACTTGTGCAGGGATCCGTCTTCGGAGAAGGCTCCCTTGAGCTTTTGGGTGGTCAGTTGAGAAGGGCGCGCGTGCTCGATGCGCGGATGCTCTTCGAAATGGGTGCGGTATCCGTGGTGCTTGGTGTTGAGCCAGTCAGTTAGTGCAGTAAGGGGCCTGGGACTCAATTGGAAGAATATGTCCTGTTGAGTCTCGCGATATACTTCTTGAGGTCTCATGATCATCGATGTAAAATGTAAGGCGAATGGACTTACGAGACAATCAATGTCTGACGACGGCGAAAATTTGCAGAGGGGCTTTGCAGGTCGCTTGTGAGGCGTGACGAAGAGGCTCTCAGAGTTGTTGTCGAAGAAGTCGTTGTTCATGGTCGCCGCTGTTGCTGACATTCCGTCGGCTGAAGTTGGGGTCGATATGTCTATCAACAAAGTGTTCAACAAAAGTAACTGCACAAAGCAAGAATACTGAAGGTGTGCGAAGAGAGTGTCACACTTGAAGATGTGCAATGCGAAACTGACCAATAGATTGTCGACGCGCAGGAGTATTTGTGGGAATGGCGAGTGAGGGCCCTAGAGTTGGGCTCTTGCCAATTTCAAGTCATATGAAGGACAGAGCCCGCGTCGCCGATGCGGGTGTTGAAACAGTTGGTCAAGTGGGATGAAAGATGAGGATGAAGGCGTGGTGGATGAGTTGCACGCATCCAGGGCGTCCGTCGCGCTGCTGGCTTCATTGTACTGTACGAGTACCTTGATGTCCAGTGACGTCATGCCGTGGTCCAAAACCGTAGGTAAGGCCAAGGCTAGGGTTGAAAGGATGCGAACAGATTTGACTTAGCGCTAGGGTTAAGGTCGAGTGGCCCGCGACACGAGCTACCCACGGGTTCCCCAAAAATTGGACCCTGTAACTCACACCGCTCGTTATCTTCCAAAAAAATCAGGTAACTCCAGGTTATTTATTGCTAGATGTTGTATAATTTCCAACAGTAGTCTCAGTTTGAACGTCTAACCGCCTTGCGCGCATTGTGACCCTGACCCCAACTAAAGTTCGCTGTAATTCGCTGTAAGCAAATTGCGGAGAGATATGTGGCCAACACAACTGAGGATATCAACCTGTTTTATGTGTCTCACCCAGGTAGATACAATATGCCAATACGACCCAAAGAGCAAGAGGTTCAAGCACTCCGAAATGATGGTAGATTTATAGATGAGAGGAGGGAGAGATAGGCTCGAAATGTGAGTTGATGCAGTAATATTTGCAGACACATTTGTGGACGAAGCTGCGGTCACCTTGAATGCGGACAAGTTACAGATGTAGATAGCAACAAGTAAAAAGGTTAGGGTTATAGTCATTCGATGAATTCAAAGATGCTGCAATAGAAATGGATATAATAATTCATTCACAGCAGTTTTTTTCCAGGTGCAACGCACTCCAACTGCGCCATCCCCCCGGGGGAAGATTTGGACAGTGGAAAAAGCAGGGTTAGGGTTCTCACACCATCGCCTTGCGAAACGGTTTAGAGACCCACACATCCCGAGCATCCTCCCGACACGACAACACCCTTCAACATGACGACGCGTCGGAGCGCGCGCATTGCAAGTAAAAGACAATATCCACAGACTGAAGAGGCAGATATATTTCCTGCATCAAAGAAAAAGTGCACAAATGCTAATGCTTTGTTCAACAATGACACTGACGCTGCCTCGTCTGACGGGCCCGAACTCTTGAGCTTCCGGACAGCATCAGACTCTGAACTTAGCCCTCCTACGAGCTTGGATTTTCAGCACTCCTCTCCCGATGTCCGGTCATCAAAGCGTCGCAAGAAACAACCACGATTCAAATCAAGCAAAAAGTCCCCCTCAAAGTCCACTGATCTCAATCGCATCTTACAGGCCATCCTCAGCCCTCCTCACCCCCTAAGCCCTCGCGTACCCTCCCATCGCACACCTCATCCCATGTCTTACCACCACCCCAAGCTCCTCTCCTCTAAATATGCTCGGGAATCCCTCCTGCAATGGTTCGACTCCCGGGTCGCGTCCCAAACCCGGCCCATGCCCTGGCGCAAGCCCTTCCTTCTCCCTTCAACCACGCCTCCAGCAGACATCGAACGTCGCGCGTATGAGGTTTGGATATCTGAGACCATGCTCCAGCAAACTCGCGTTAGCACTGTTATTCCATATTGGGAGAAATGGATTTCCAAATGGCCAACGGCAGGGGACCTCGCAAGGGCGGAAAAGGACGAGGTTTTGAGCGTATGGAGGGGGTTAGGGTATTATGCTAGGGCACGGAGGTTACTTGAGGCTGCGAAGGCTGTTTGCGCACCAGGGAAACAGGAAGGGGAACGATTGCCGAGGAATGTAGAAGGCTGGTTGGGGTTGCCCGGTGTGGGGAGGTATACTGCTGGCGCAGTAACGGCAATAACATTCGGTGTACCGGCTGCGATGGTGGACGGGAATGTGTTGAGGGTGTTGAGCAGGCAGATGGGGATTTATGGAGATGTGAAGGGGGATCGAAGGGTTGTTGAGTTGGTGTGGAGGGTTGCAGAGGAGTTGGTGAAGGTTGTTTCAAGGGAGGGAAGTCAAGAGCCGAATGATAGGCCCGGAAGATGGGGGCAGGCGCTGATGGAGTTAGGGAGCACGTTGTGTATGCCGAGGCCGGAGTGTGGGAGGTGTCCGATTAGTGTAACATGTCGGGTTTATGAGGAGGGGCTGGCGATTGCGGAGGGGAATGGGACCAAAGGGGTTGTGGGGGATATTGAGGATGGATGTGAGCTTTGTCAGCCTTTCGAGGAGGGAGAGGAGGATGGCAAGGATGTTGAAGAGAACGAACAGCCGACAAGGGCCAATCAGAGCAAGATGCAGCAGACGCTGTCGCGGTTCTTTGCTCCAAAGGACACAAATGTTACGGACACAGTTTCTGCCCGAACCCTCGGCGTCATCATCAGCCACGCAAAGAAATTCCCCTACCGACCGCCGAAGAAGACTATTCGAGCCGAGGAGACCCTTGTTTGTGTCATTCGACGCTCTGATTGCCGATATCTGATTCAGCGTCGACCAGATAAGGGACTCCTTGCTGGGATGTGGGAGTTCCCTAGCCAGACGCTGAATGATTCCAACAAGACAGCAAAATCAAGAAAGGCGAGGGCTGCTGGGTTTGTAAAGGATAACATTCTTAATGAGAAGCGAAAGGTGTCTGTGAGCATCAGGCATGTGGGTGAACTTGGGACTGTTCCATGGCAGTTCTCACATCTTAGTCTAACGATGCATGTTCACCTGTTTGAGCTCAATGAGGCAGGATTGGATGACAACCTCGTGGGGGGCAGACGATGGGCAACTATTGAGGAGATAGAGCAGGAGAACATGGGAACAGGCATGCGGAAATGTTGGACGTTGGTGCACAGTCGGGTACTAACTAACAGTAATCCTTGACTTATGTTTAAAGCTGAGAGTCTGTACATAACAACGTATGCTATGAAGTTGTCACCGTATTACCCTCTTCCCTGCTTTTTCTTGCCCTGCTCAATCTGCTACTCGTTGGCAAGCTCCTTCAACCCCTTCGTCCACTTCCTCTCCTGCTCATGATTCCGGTTCAGATGCTTCTTCAACCTAACAGCCAAGCACAGTTTGTCTCAGACTCAACCCGTTCGGCATGTTCAAATCCAGCAAGATGGCGTGCAAGCGTAACTCATCAGCAACGGTTCTTGTCGAAAGTATTCCTTATGGGTGTTAGAACATTGTCTTGGTACCCGGCGCAGAATGTAATCGCCTTTTGGGAAATTGCGATTGCCAACATACTTATGCTGTATTGGCCACATTATATCGACTCAATGTTTTCGCGATCGATGTTTATACCCTGGGTGTTGATGCGACAGTGATTTCCTCGGCACCTTTTGAAGGCTCGTCGAGATGACACACAATGTTAGACGGTCTGTATGAGAGGCTTTGAAAATAGAATGAATGACAGCCCCTGTGCGTACCTCCATCCTACTTCCGAAATGTTGACGAAGTGTTTCCCAGCAAAATTGGGAAAGTGTTTGAAAGTTGAATGAGCGACTGCGGTTGTGTCGTAATGTCACACAGACACGGCAGTCCAAGGAAAGAGGTATACCCGACTGCCAACACAAGCGACACAAGAGATAAAATGACTGTGGACGACACAATACGTGGTTGAGCCCAGAACATATATGAGCTCACATGACTGAATGAACCAAATGGCTGAGGGAGGAGGACGAGGCTTCTGAAAAGCCTGGAAGGCTGAGGCACTCACAAGGGCAAGATGATTCCATAAAGGAAGCTGCCCGGACACGATGAAGGACTTCTCTTGGTTTTTCCTCTCCCACTGACGCAAGAACACTGAGGGCCAAAAAAGATTTTTACACGTATCAATTGACTTCGTTGTGAACCCCACATCATCAGTAGCTATCATCTAACCCATTTGACTCATTGTCAATCCCTGTCCGCACCAGACGAAGTCCCCGTGACATGTAATGTCTCGCTTTTGATCGGCAACCAAGCTTGTTGCTGAAATCAGATAGCATTGCTCCATCCTATGGCTATGGTTTAATGTATGATGAATCCCCATGTTGGCCTTTCGCATTTAAATACATATTGCTGCTCTCTCACGATGCCATGTGCTACGTCAGATGAATTAAGAAGAGTGTGGTTAGCGGCTGGTCAAAGCTTGAGGCTTGGAAATGGAGGCCGTATATCATCAGAACGCTTAATTCTATGTACATTTTCAAAATACTGAGCAAACAGGATATGTTTTGTGGGCTAGCCCTGGTCGTAGAAGTCTTCTCAGTCGTCAAATTCCCTATCCTCAACAAGGCTAATGAAAGGTAGGAGGATAGGTTCTCCAGCAGCAAGAAAATTGAATAAGCTCAATGACAAAAATTTTTCAGTGACCTGCAAACAGAAAGATGACGGGATAAAAAGGTCATTCACCAGACCAACTTCTTTGTCTGTTTTCGGCCAACAGCATGGCAATGCCGACTGATCACATTGGCCAAAGCCCGTGCCGTTGAGACTTGTGGACACGGTACATGCTGAAATTTCCCACATTATGCAACTACCACCCTTCTCGTGTCCATTCTCCCAGTCTCAATGCGCATAGCATATGTTGTGCCGGAACTCAGCTGAGATTCGGTGGGACGTCTGAAAGTGGGTCCAGCACCAACGCCAAGACAGTGCAAGCCCGCCGAGTCCCGATGTCGCCCAGGTCCGAGTCTGGCTTCCAAGCATGGCAAGTGGGGCCCCGAGCATGGCAGTGGACTCGGAGGAATTGTCAGTCGTATGCTGATGGAAAGGCTCAAAATCTGAAGGAAACCAGATCAGATGTGGCAGAAAATAACAGCTGAGCATCAGGAGCAGTGAACATATATCGGAACATAGGATAAACATAGAGGGGAGGGACAGTGAGCAGATCATTGCAAGGGGGAGCAGAGTGATGTACACCACAGCCACAAATTACAATATTATACTACTAGGAATCTTGTCAGCATGCAGAGGTTGGGCGCATGGTACCCAAGGCCATTGAGAGGGCAGAGCAGTAAGGCCAGCTTAGAGAGAATGGGAGATATGATAGAGATCACAATGAGGATCATGAATCACATAAAATGGCACAGAAAGCAGCAAGGGCACACAAATGTCACCAGCAGAGCACTGCATCAAGCACAGATCAGGGCAGATTCTTCAGGCAAAAACTAAGGGCGCACTGAGCTGTGAGTGCCAGCAGAGAGCACCAATAAAGTGCACAGAAAATGGGTCTAAAGTAGGTAGGCAGATGTTATACAGAGCATACAGAGAGGGAGCAGGTATCGCACATATCAAGTAGATGGCAATGGCATAATCGGCACTGGCCAAGGACAAAGGTCGGGTAAGCAGGCACTGGGAAGGATAGGACGCGGCACCCAAACTCATTTCCCTAGAAGTAATTTTAAAGAAAATCCCAGAAAGCCCACCTACTCCTTGCCCTCCCCCCCAGCTTCCTCATCCTCTGCAGAGGGCATGGGAGTGACCAACTTCTGGGCAGCGGCAGTGGCAGACACAGCAACCGCCTTGTGAGGGCGCCCACGCTTATCACCAGCGCCAGAAGCCCCCTCAGGCTTCTGGACGCGGCCAGAGCCGTGGAGACGGCATATGGCAGACCTGGCACGGCCAGCAGGCGCAGCAGGCCCTTCGGCATCAACAGGTGCTGGAGTTGGCATGCGGAGGTCCTCAGGCAGCTTGGTTTGGTAGTCACGGATTTTCTTTTTAATTTCACCCCATGCGTTGGCGATGGAGCGCGGATTCTTCATGTCCATTTGCTTTGCGACATGCTCGAAGTTAGCCTGCATGAAGCGGGGAGTTAGTGCTGAGGTTGAAGTATTTTGCATCGAGATGTGAAATGGGGCAACGTTGAGATTTGGATGAGTGAGGTTGAAGTGAATTTGAATTGACACTGCAATGCTGGCGTCTTGTGTACGAAAAAAAAAAAAAAAACTTAACCTCAGGCATCAGAGCTGCATTGGCAACTGTGCAAAGAATAATTGCAGTCTCACGGTCGGTGAAGATGTCCAGGATGGGATACTTCTTGCCCTTGTTCTCCTTGGGCTCAATGCTCTGGGCCTTGGGCACCATTGTGTCGTGATGTGGATAGAAGGTTGATCTAAGGTAAAATGTTAGTGGGAAATGTGGTGGAAGTGTGATGATGATGAACTTTGAGGTCAAACTTTGGAGGGCTGAGAGGAAATATGAAAGTCCAGATCACAATATCAGAGTCGAGAGTTTGTGGGCAGGAAGAGTGTGGAGATGAAATATGTTGGAAGATAAAGATTAAAGCGTGTGTAGAAGAAAAGTTTGCGAGCGCCAAAGGTTTGAGTTGAGGAGGAAGATGCAGAAAATACATCGTCGATGTATTTTCTGCCCATGACAGGAGAAAACAGTGTAAAAAAAATGTCCATGATATATGGGAAGACACCATGATATGTGTGAGCAGAGTGAAACAACTTACATGGATATGAAAATGCAGGTGGTGTCAAACAAGTGACTGAGACTGAGGTGATGCGTATTTGGAAGCTTTGTGGTGGTGTGAGGACTGGTAAATCTAAGGAACTGCAGATGACAACCTTCAAAGCACTCGTGTGTGTAATATTTAGGGAAGAGTTGTAGTTTGTGAACAAAATGAGGGGCATTTATAGTTGTTGGAGGGCACAGATCGACGGAATTACCCACTGCGGCTGGGATCATGGTGGTCAGTGATGAGATCGAAGACCGGAGCAGCACCTGCGTGGGACCAATGCCGGTGATCTGAAAGCCAGATTATTCGGGGCCGGTGGTTGCCCAATGTGGACATCGGGAGCTCCCTCTGCCGGTGCTGAGGTCCAATGTGACTGCCGACTGCTGTTTGGAGCATGACCGGTAGACAAATTAGACAAATACCCGCTACGGCTGCCGAGTGAGACCACTCACTACAATCTGGAAGTCAATCCTTCACAGGCAAGAGAGTGAGATGCACAGGGTATGACGAATGAATTCCCTTTTCCAGCTACGTAACGCCAACCAGTGCGGTCTCATCACTCAATCTCTAGCAGCTGGGATTGCAAGAACTCTCTCAAACTAGGTCAACGTGTACTTGTGGCTGCGATCAAGAACTTGAAGCCGCGATTAGGATGTCCAAACTTTTGAGCCCGGTAGTTGGCCGATCTTGTGCGCACACAAATATGAAATATGCGTTGCAAACTTTGCTGTGGCGTAATTAGCTGATTTGGATGTGTGATCTAGGCAAAAAATGGTCATCTTCAGGTTGCAGCTCCGCATGTGTTATGATAAAAAAAGGGCGAGTGTGATTTCCTAAGCACTTCATCGGCAGATCTGTGATGTTCTGAGTGGTGGAGGAATTACCTGTCTGCGATCTGAATCCCGGACTGCAATATTTTCTGATTTGGAACTTCATGCGAGTGATATTTAGTATTCTGGATTGTAACAGGTGACTTGGTCTGGTGCAGACAGGAATCAACAATGGGTCAAATGGGTTAGATGATAGCTACTGACAATGTGGGGTGCACAACGAAGTTAATTGATGCTTGTAATAATCTTGGCCCTAAGTGTTCTTGCGTCAGGGAGAGGAAAAACCAAGAGAAGTCCTTCATCGTGTCCGGGCAGCTTCCTTTATGGAATCATCTTGCCCTTGTGAGTGCCTCAGCCTTCCAGGCTTTTCAGAAGTCTCGTCCTCCTCCCTCAGCCATTTGGTTCATTCAGTCGTGTGAACTCATATATATTCTGGGCTCAACCATGTATTTGTGTCGTTCACAGTCAGTTTATCTCTTGTGTCGCTTGTGTTGGCAGTTGGGTATACCTCTTTCCTTGGACTGCCGTGTCTGTGTGACATTGACATTTTGCTGAAATGACTTGAGTGAGCCTTGCTGTTTAACACTCTGAACTTATTATGATCTGTTCTTCTAGACACAGACAGCTGAGACAAGAAAAATGGAATAAAATGAGCTCCTGACTTCTGAGATTATGCGCATGGTGAGTGTGCTCATTTCTCTCTTGCAGAGCTTATCATGCTATTCTCAGGATACTTGGATTGAGGTTCAATCTCCTGATTATCAGAGTCTGTGACTCTCTAGCTTCATACGAGTCTCTGAACAAACTCAGTAGTAATCCTTGCTGCTGTCCCTTTCTGGAACTGAATCCTAATACTACACCTCCCCCTCACTGCCCACCCGCACCCTATGAACCCCAACGCTTCCCAGTTGCATACGCGCTTATCCCACATCTACACCCGCAATTGCGCCGCGCACCCGGGCACAGACCGATATCCCCAGATATAAATAATTCCCAGTCATCCTGGAAACTCTCCCCTTTTTTTCCTTTCTTGGTTGCAATGCAGTCGAGTGCAGCACTAGGCCCTCCTATAGAGGTGACTGGCTGTCAAAGATTGGAGATTGACTATCTCCTCAGCCGGACCGAACTACCATCCTTCCCTTATGGAATCCTTGCGGATGGCCAGATGGAAAGGCGGAAGAGGGACAGTAATTTTTGGAATGCATCGACCTTTGGTTGATTTTTTGACTTTGTGGGTTTAAGGGTAATGGTGAGCATGAGTTTCTGGCCCCTTCTCTTAGTCTTGTGGCTGCTGCCTCTTGGTGCTCGGGCACAGAACTAAGAGGAGGGGCCCTTTTTTGTCAGTTGGAATCAATATGTATTTTCATGTGGCACTGTCCCTTTATGATTTGTTCCCTTTCACCGAAGTCATTTCGTAGCCATTCATTATCTGTTTTTCATTACCGAGCATCTTTTAAAGTTTCCTGAAGATAAGCATGTCGATGTATGCAGTGCCCATTCTCATTAATCACTTATCTCCAAGCAAACTATCCCGCTTTGGTGTCATCTGCCATATATTCTCCTGATTTTCCAGTGCAATGACCTGTTCTTTCCGTTTGGTGGGGTGATATCTGACATTATATAGTTGAGAGCATGTCCCTTGTTGCCCAAATCAAAGTCAAAATCTGTATAATGTTGTTGCTATAGGGGACTCCTCGCCATGGATTGTCTGATTTTTACACATATCTTACGCTGTCTTCCTTCAACATTCTCTCACACTATCTTCATGTTACTACCAAGATAACAGGGAAATGGCATCAAGAGTATGAACTCCAGTACTGTCAAAAATTTTTTGCCGCAGTGCCCATGAGTGAAGTTCTTCGACTGACCAAGCATAAGTGGGCCATTGGAGACGAGGATGAAGTCCGTTTCTGGAGTAAATAGCAACAGCGTGAACAGCCTGAAAAGGAGGAACCTAGCAAAGGAGCCAGAGTATCAAAGAAAATGCAGAGCACCAAAGCATGTTGAGCCATTGTCAGAACTGTCTGTTCTGTTGAGGTTTCGGGTAATTTCTTTCAGTATACTGTTCCGTCTCTTAAATTCTCTCAAGACTACTTCTTCTTTGTAACGGGGTACTTGGCCTGGTGCATGCAGGGATCAACAATAGGTCAAATGGGTTAGATGATGGCCACTGACGATGTGGGGTGCACAGCGAAGTCAATTACTACGTGTAATAATCTTTCTTGGTCCTCAGTGTCCTTGTGTCAGGGAGAGGAACAACCAAGGGAAGTCTATCATGACTGGGCAGCTTCCTTTATAGAATCCTCATCATGCCTCGGCCATATGGCTCATTCTCTTCGGTCATCCGGCTCTAGACATCTTCTGGGATCAACCACGTATTTGCGCCGCTCACAATCATCCTGTCTCTGGTGTCCCTTGTGTTGGCAGTCGGGGACATCCCTTTCCTTGGACTGTCGTGTCCATGTGACATTCTTTGAAAGACTGCAAGTTACTTTTGACTACCGCCGGCATCTGTTCTTTGATGATAGGCAACCGATGACGACCCATCCACATACATATCGTCTGCTCCAGCAACACTCCATCCCCGACTACTTGCCCGCTTCTCCTTGGACGAATCTCCAAACCAGCTGGCACCCTCCAATCGGTCAAAATGTGCCACACTATCATCCACCTTATCTGCGCTTGCTGCTCTTTCGAACAAATTATCATCCAACCAGTAAAGCAATGCTACCCTCTCCCACGACTGCCCTGGAACTCGCCCACCTCACGACTCCCTCAACACCAAGGCAAGCGGTTAAGAAAGACAGTGCAAAGTTGTGAGCAGTGCAAGGAGAAGGTGCTTGGCGAGGAAGAAGATGGATTTGAGTATTCTTCTTGGAAGGGCCAAGACCAAGAATAGAACCACAGGAGGAGGGTTATCTTTTGACTGAGCATGGAGAGATGGGCGGTTTCTTAGCCGTTGTCATTAGGGAAGGAGATGAACATCAATGGCTGGATAGCATGGAGACTGGGAGCTTGAGAACAGGTTTGCACACATAAGCATGAGCACGTCAACTAATGGGCAGGTTCAGGCAACAGCAAGAAAGTATCGTTCAACGGACAGCAAAAGTCGGAGAAAGACATGATAAATAATGTCGCACGCAAGATCCTAACATTTTACCTCTCCAATGCCGTCATGAACCCCTATCCCTCCCGTTAACCGTTACAACCACCCACAAGTCTCGAGCCGTTGTTGTGCTCCCGTAATTCCTCCATCGCCATTGGGCAATTCCTCGGTCTTACAAACAGCAACGCGGAATACAAACTACTACTGACTGCAGAAGTTGAAATCTACCACCAAACACATCTAGTAGGAGGCTACCAAACAGCACAATATCAGTGACTCACTAACGTGATTTCTCCAACTCCTTTCTGTACTCACATCAACTAGCGCAATACCTTTTGGAAGGTCGCAGAGCTTACCGGTCAGGGGCGTTACACCAGATGGGAAGGTGATACAACAAAGCGCAACGAAGAAGGCTTGGCGCTGAGGGACCCGCGGCAATTGGAGTTGGAAGGTGACATTTTGTACGGGCCGTACGGTGGGATGATGCTGGATAACAATGATCAAGATGATCACTATCGTAGCTTTAAAAGAAGGGCTTGTACTTGAAGATGGATGTCTGGAAGGCTTGTTTGGGTTGCAGAAAGGAAAAAACTTGGGACAGTAGAGGTCCCAAACTCTCAACGAGTTTCAATCTTTTTGTTTGGACAGGTTTTGGCAAAGACATATTGGAGGAAGCAGGTCCAGAATTGTTGTCAAGATGAAGACCTCACTAGCATCAATCCTACTCCTGGCCGTGCAAATGGCCTGGGCCACGCGCATCCTAACTCCCGACGCGATCGAGGCCGACATCCAAGAGAGAGAGTCTGCTCCCCTCCCCTCTTTAACCCTTCCATTACCAGTTCACTAACCCTGCAGACTTCAAAATGTTATCTGGCACCTAAACCACATCGCCGAAAAGAATGGCGGCAACCGCGCCTTCGGCGAGCCCGGCTATGCCGCCTCAATGGACTTCATCCTTGAGCGGGCACGCATCCGTTTCGCGGACAAGTTTGACACCTTCGTCCAGCCATTCAACCACACTTACGACAAGACGAATGCGATCAAGGTCACTGGCCCTGATGGGGAAGATGTGTACGTCGTTAGTCCGCAGTATAACCCTGCTACGCCGCTACCGGGGGGGATTACCGCGGGGTTGGTGGATACACCGGTCGATGATGCCAGGGGCAGCATGTGCTTAGAGGATCATTGGGCGGGTGTGGAGGTGAAGGGGAAGTTGGCGCTGGTGAAGAGGGGCGTTTGCGCGGTGGCGGATAAGTTAAGGTGGGCTAAGAAGAAAGGGGCGTTGGGTAAGTTCCGTCGTTGTGAAGGCGGAGAGGTAGAGGCTGACGAGAGCAGGTGTTATTCTGTATAACCAGGACCCCGGCACTGGCTACTCTGTCCCGACTCTGAGCGCTGACAGTATTGGCGAGACTGTGCCAGTCGGCATTATCCCCCTCGACGTTGCACAGTCCTGGCAAGCCCGTCTGGCCGCCGGCGAGGAAGTCGTGGTCAACTTGCTGGTCGACTCGATCATCGAGGAGCGCGAGTCGTGGAACATTATCGTCGAGACCAAGAAGGGCGATCCGAACAAGGTTGTTATGCTTGGTGCTCACCTAGATGGTATGCAACCCCCCTTTTTTCTCACCAACTCAGTACTAATACTCTCCAGGCGTCCAAGCCGGCCCCGGCATCAACGACAACGGTAGCGGAAGCGCTGGCCTGCTCGAGATCCTGACGGCAGTTGCCCACTACGACGTCTTCAAGCACAAGATCCGTTTTGCCTGGTGGGGTGCCGAAGAGAATGGCCTCGTAGGCTCACTCTACTACACGTCCAAGCTGAGCGAGGAAGAGGTCAACCGCATCAAGTACTATTTCAACTACGACATGATCGGCTCACCGGACCCGGTGTACGGCATTGGTGTGGATGAGAACAGCGGCATTGGCGGCGATTTGCTGGTGGATTACCTTGTGTCGAAGGGCAAGAGCGCGTATAAAGGGTAGGTTTCGTCTATCCCATTCTCTTTCAAGACGGGATGCTGACGTAAACAGCGGCATGGGTGGCGGCTCTGACCACGTCGGCTTCGTAAATCTGGGCATCCCGACCATCTTCGGGCACACCGGTCTCGACACGTGCTACCACCAGCACTGCGACAACATCAACAACATTGACTTTGAGGCGTTGACGCTGATGACGAAGGCCGCGGCGCGAGCCATGGCTCAATTTGCCAACAGCCTAGAGGGCGTGCCTGAGAGGAAGCTATTCACACGGAACCCGAACTCGCGCAGCCAGATAGTGAAGAACTTCAGGAGGTGGGCAGATGTTGAAAAGGAAGTGAGTAAGGAGAAGCTGTGTGGCCATACGCACGAGAAGATCACCGTGTAAGGTGCTTCTTGAGGGAATTTGGGTGTGATGGACGGAGCTTGTAGGGAAAGAAGCCGGTGTGTTTCTGGAAGGTCGGCCCCATAGATGACCTCATCGCCGAGAGGTGTTCCTGAGGGCGTCACGTGCGCGGGGTCCGGCCCGTTGAGGTGGAGCAGGTCCACTCTGTTTGCCCCATAGTGGGGTTGCCCGCAGAAATTCGATTCTGCGGCTTCCAGAAATCTTGGCAAGCCACCGGCTTTTTGCCAGATTTTCCACCAAAGCCAGGGCCCCGTCACCGACACACCAGCACGGTCTCATCGCCCACCAGCGCGATGCGGGCAGTTGAACAGAGCATCAGCGCTCGGGCGATCTAGGTCGTGACTTACTTGTCCTTGAGGGAACTTGGCTCGATGCCCTCATCACTGTCAGCACCATGTGTCGGTTTGTTCAACCGTTTTCTTTCTCGTACATAGTTCAACCTAATAAAATGTCCGTACACGTCGTGCCTCATCCTTTTTATCTGTTCCTTTATTTACTAAATGTGTCCTCTGGTTCGCCCGCTTATGTGGTGTTGCTTTTCCGCTGTAACGAGCGAGCTCCAGTCGGTTTCCGGGAAAGTCAGTGGAGTCGTCGGCACTGCTCGACTGCAACTCTTTCGCAAGCTTGTCTTCTCCCGGAAGTCGAGGTAAGCATTCGCCAATACATGTTCATATTGAGCGGCTAATGACGAAAAAACGGGATGAACAAAGGAAACAGATCCCTATGGAAAACAAATAACTATGATGCATCGGCACACGGCCTCAAAAAGTACGTCTATTATTAGACATTTCTCGCATGGAAGATCGCCATGCTACCATGGACAGCAGACTAGGTATACACAGCAGTAATCCTATGTTAAAGCCATGTGCTGGAGACTTCAGGCAAGCGCGCCAATTGGCAATGACGGCATGATAGCGAACCCGAAGCGAGAGCGCTTCGTTTCTTGGCCCTGGCGATCACTGTGTTTCGCCTTCATGCCATGCCAACCGTCCTAGGCAAGACCGAACGTTGTGCGGGCAAAACCGAACGAGTGGTTCAGCTTGAGCCTCAGACGGCCCGGCGGCTTCGACGTCCGTGACTGCCAAAGTTCCCACCAAAAAACCTTCTCAGGGCGCGTCATGCTCTGCTAACACAACATCCAGCTAGCGCATCGACAAATCGATCCTTCTGCAGACGCCAGCGCATCTTTGCTGTTCTCTCGGCCTCGCCACCGTTTTCGTCAGCGGCTCTCGGTATATGCTCTCCGATGCCAAGAAGCGCTGAGGTAGTAGCCCGCCACTTCAGGCTAAAATGCCCTCACGTGGAGCATGTCACTCTCAATGACGCCCTTCAGGACCATACAAGCAAGCAGCCCCAAACAACAACTCGGGATTAAGGGGCTCGGCAATGCTGTGGGGTCAACGGGGTGACATCGCGGGCGTGCGTACCGCCACCAGGGGCATACTTGCGCCCAGGTGCAGGCAGATGCACGACACCCTGGCATGGTCTTGGCTTCCCGATTTGCAAACAACGGAGGAGACTCCGAGGGAAACTGGGGATCAAGGTCATTACAGGCGGCTCTAATGGCCGAATCGCCGCATTTTGGCAGCGAGACTTGGGATTAGACCCCTGGCGCCGGCTCAGGCGCATGTCACCTCTGCAAGCGTTCGACGATCCTAGGTAGTGCAGACATGGCGCGGGGATTCCGCACCCCATACTTTTATGGGGCGATAGAAGTTGGGTTGTCAGCCAGTGGCAGCGAATATAAGAGCCTCCTCTGCCTACCATTCCTCACCTTGGCTCCTCCTCGTCAGTAGATCAGGACAATCGACTTGAGAACAGGTAATCAAGATGCAGACCAAGGCCCTCCTCGCGGCGTTGCTGGCGACACCTGCCGCCGTCAACGCTCAGCTTCACAACCTGGCCGTGGCCGCCGGCCTTGAGTACTTCGGTACATGCCTGGGCGAGAGCGCCTACAACTCGGATTCTACCTACCGCCGCATCATCAGCGACAAGAACGAGTTCGGACAGGTCGTTCCAGAGAACGGCCAGAAGTGGGATGCCACCGAGCCGTCGCGCGGCAACTTCAACTACAACAGCGGTGCGTCTTAACTCAGCCCATTTTTAAGCAAAACTGTGAATGCTGACAGTTTGCAGGCGATATCTCGGCCAACGCGGCTAGGGCCAACGGCCAGCTGCTGCGCTGCCACACTCTGGTTTGGCACTCGCAGCTCCCGGGCTGGGTAAGCCTCCTCATCTCTCATCTTGACAAACCCTCTATTAACGTGTGCAGGTCTCCTCTGGCTACTGGACGCGCAGCACTCTCCAGAGTGTCATCGAAACGCACATCAATAACGTCATGGGCCACTACAAGGGCCAGTGCTACCACTGGGACGTTGTGAACGAGGCCGTCGACGACAACGGCAACTGGCGCGACTCCGTCTTCTACCGCACCTTCGGCACCGACTACTTTGCCATCGCCTTCCGCGCCGCCCGCGCCGCTGACCCCAGCGCTAAGCTCTACTACAACGACTACAACCTCGAGTACAACGGCGCCAAGACCGACAGGGCGCTCGAGCTGGTGCGCATTATCAAGAACGCTGGCGCTCCCATCGATGGTGTCGGCTTCCAGGGCCACTTGATTGTTGGCAGCACCCCTAGCCGTAGCAACCTGGCTACTGTGCTCCGCCGCTTCACTGCCCTCGGCGTCGAGGTTGCGTACACCGAAATTGACATCCGCCACTCGAGCCTGCCTGCCTCGAGCTCGGCCCTCGTCACGCAGGGCAACGACTACGCCAACGTCGTCGGCTCTTGCCTCGACGTCGAGGGCTGTGTGGGTATCACCGTTTGGGGCTTCACTGATAAATACAGCTGGGGTAGGTCCACTCGCAACTCAACGTTTACCAAGATAGATGCTAACGCTCCGCAGTCCCCTCCACCTTCAACGGCGCCGGCGACGCCCTCATCTACGACAGCAACTTCAACAAGAAGCCCGCATGGACCTCCGTCTCGTCCGTGCTGGCCGCCAAGGCTACGGGCAACCCACTGCCTGTTACCAGCACCACCTTTGCGACCGTCACCACCACCAGCGTCCGTCCAACCACCACCTCCGCTGCGCCGACCACAACCGCTGCTCCCGCTCAGCCCGAGCAGACTCGTTGGGGCCAGTGCGGTGGTATCGGCTGGACTGGGCCGACTAGGTGCCAGAGCCCGTGGACTTGCACTAAGCTGAACGATTGGTATTATCAGTGCCTGTAAGTTCCCACCTCTCAGACATTCGACTGAGGAGGCGGGAATGAGGATGTGGACAGGAGAGAAAAACAGCAAGGGGATTAACCTTTTTGTCGGGTTTAAGCCGACACCTTCGTATGTATTTATTTGGACGTTAGAATTGTAAATACATTTGGATATCTCCAATGAATCACGTTTGACGGTCATTGTTTTTGGAGCATCATTCAAAGGATTGTGAGCCAGCTCCTGAACTTGTCGGCTCGTTGACCATCTTACGGTCGGGCTAAGGATTAGATGTGATGTCATCCAGGGGCTCAGGGGCTCAGGGGCTAAGCTAGGCCCTTCTATGACTTCATCGCCTGCTTCGAACACTCAGGAGACCTTAAAAGTCAGTCTTATATGGAAACTGGAGGAATGAAAGTTATCCACATTCATGGTAGCCACATCTCACAGTTGGCTGAGTCAATGACGTCTTCCAAGGGGCCATTCCGCTTGATGTTGTCGTTTTGGGACAGTGTGCGTCATGACTGACCTTGGCTAAGGGCAACTAGAATGCTTAAAGCCTTTCAATTAGCCGTCCTTGGCCTCAATCGTAAACGATCTTGCGCATAAACACAGCTTTTCTCATTCGTAAATCCAGGCTTTTCAATTGATCTCACCATGTCTCGTCGTCTTCTTGCCAAAACCGCCCTTCAACCCTTCCGGGCCTTCCTGGCCCCGGCCGTTCGCTACCAAACCACCGAGACATTCAAGGGCACTGCCCGTATTCCCACCGCCGTAGCTACGCGGGTATCGGACAGTATCAAGGTGTGTGGTTTCCCGATTTTCTCACATCTTATGCCTCGCATGAGTTCCTGACTTGTGACGCTGTGCAGCGCGACCACCGGGAACTAGAACAGTATTACAACAAAATCAAGTCTTCCAGCAGCGACGATGAGAAAACCCGCTGGCAGAACCAGTTTGTGTGGGAGCTAGCTCGGCACTCGGTTGCGTAAGTCTTCACATGTTGTCCCTCCTCAAGTGTCTCGGGAACACCACTTTCCGACTCTTGTACCCCGTGTCTTGCGCCCTGTCCTCACTTTCTATCTCACTAATCTACCTATGTGTGTGTGTGTAGAGAGGAACTGGTTGTCTACCCCGCCTTCGAACGCCACATACCGTCTACGGGACACGATATGGCGGAAAAAGACCGCTCCGAGCACCGCATCGTCAAAGAGAAACTCCACGACTTCCAATCCATGTCCCCCAGTGACAGCAACTTCCTGCCAACGATCGATTCCCTGTGGCAAGTCCTCTCCCAACACATTCGCGAAGAAGAAAGAGACGACCTGCCGGCTCTGGAGGAGCATGTGGATGCAGGGACGTCGGATAGTTTGGCTAGGAGTTTTGATAGGACCAAGCATTTTGTTCCAACGCGGAGTCATCCGAGTGCACCGGATCGCCCGCCTTATGAGACCGCGGCGGGAATGTTGGCTACGCCGATGGACAAGTTGATGGATATGTTTAGGAAGTTTCCGGAGGCATAGGGGGAGGAGCATGGAGAGGGGGTGTTAAGGAACAGTGAGTGGGAGGACACATGTACTCAAAAAGTGAACGCAAAAACCTGCTGTCAGTGTTTCTTGGAAGAGAAAGATCAGTGAAAGAACTTGAGGATGATCTAAGAAGCTGTTTTCATGAGTTTTAATGTCGGTAAAGGCAGCAAAAGCGAAACACAAATTTGTATCTAAGTGTTCGGACCTCAGGTCTACATGTCATAATCAATCGATAATTCGCGCGCTTCATATTCATCCTCAGGCCCGAAACCTCTTCATCAAAATCGACTTTGTCGGGTCAGGCACAATCTACTCCAGTCAGTATCATCCCCATTTGAATACCTTCATCTTCAGGAATACTTACCCCCGCCCCCAAACAAAGATCCTCCCATCTCCCCTGCACCCCATCCGGCATCTTTAACTCCCACCCCATCACCACCTGCGCCACAATCATTTTGATCTCATTCGCGGCAAAAAACCTACCAGGACACGCATGCCTACCATACCCAAACGTCAACCCATGCGGACTGACACTCACAAACTGGTTCTGCGCCGCCTCTTCAGCCAATCCTTTCTCCCTAGCCTTCTCCCTCTCGCGTGCAAACCGCCACGGATCAAACTCATCCGGATTAGGGAAGATCTCCGGGTCACGGTTGGTAGCATACTGAGGGACTTCGATGAACACGCCCGAGGGGATGGTTTGGCCTGAGGGGAGGGTGAAGGGGGTCAGGACTTTGCGGGTGAAGGCGCCGATGCCGGGCGGGTGCAGGCGTGACGATTCTTTAAGGAGAGAGTCGAGGTTTTTGAGAGACTGAAGGGCTTGTGTGGTGTATTCGTTGTTATGGCAGGCAAGGACTGACTGGATTTCGGACCGGAGGGTCGGGAGGTGGTGGGGGTTGGCCGCGAGGTCGAAGAAGCTGGGGATATAGCAGTTAGCCTTGGCATAGAAAGGGGGGAGAGGGGCAAAAGGGGTTCCGAGTGAGAAAAGATTGGAACTTACACGTTGGTCGCTGTCATTGTAGTCTGGCGAGTGTCAGCATCCTTCTTCTTAAGAAAAGGAAAAAAGATGACAGAGGAAAAAACATAAAGAAACGAAGTTTTGAGACCCACCGTGTGAATACTAGCGAAAATAACCCCCAACACCAACCTCGCCATCTCCTCTCCCTCATACCTCTTCCACCTCCCCCCTCTTCTCATCTCATCAATCATCCACTGTAAAAAGTCGTCCGGCCTCTCTCCCCCCTCATCCTCCATCTTCAACCTTCTTTCTACCTCCGGCCTCAAAAACCCCTGCACCTGCTTGACTCGTTCCCACAACCTTCTCACCTCAGGCAACCGTCTCGCCACAAACGGCCGTAACCACGGCCTCACCTTATCAATCGCCCTCTTTGCATCCATCAACTCTTTTGTATACATCACCGCTGCCTGTAAATACCCCTCATCACCTTTCAACTTTGGACCCACAAAAATTCTCCCCGACACCCTAGCAACAATGTGGGCCAGTATAGGAAAAATGAACACCTCCCTCCATTCCTTATCATTCGTAATATGACCTAACTCCTTCTCCAGCGCGTCGGCTACTTCCATTGCGATCAGGGGGTTCAAACGAGGTAAAGAGGGGGTCAAACGTGTTTTTACCGAGTGTTGAATAATGTGGTGGCCGACCACCATGCCAGTGTAGCGTGCGTAGAGATCTTCAGCGATGGCATCGTCGAAGGAGAGGACGGTATCAGGGAGGGTACGAAGGAATTTGAGTTCGGACAGGGGGAGGACGATTATGGGGTAACCTGGTATTAACAGTCAGGAGGAAAGTTGGTTGAGGAAGAAAGGAGGAAGGAGCTTACGGCGATAGGTGAAGATGCGGTAGACTCGGTTTTTGAACTGGCTTGTCAGTTTTACACTGTAAAGGAGAGAGTTGATGGACATACCTGGGAGTATCTCTGGATAGCCAGGGCTCTGGCATTGGTGAGGAATGCTTGATGCTGTTTTTCTCGACTGATCTTCTCGGCCAGGGGGATCTTGGCGAGGTGAATGAGACGAAAGGCATTGTTCAAGCCATAATAGCTTAACAATAGAGCACAAATAGCAGGCAGAATAATGAAAATCTTGGTCGTGAGGACCTCAAAGATGGTTTGAAGGAGCACCATCTCGGTGGCTGTTCAATGACTTCCAGAAGTGTCCAGTGAGGTCAGTCTCTAGATTTAAGAGTGGGACGGGAGCTAAATAGAGACCTCAGATTATGCCCCTCCTTCCCACATCTACATAGGCACGGAATTTGGGGGGTTTGCAAAGTCGCATCTTTCATTTGCATGGGTAGCCAAGATGGAATGCAGTAAGTCACAAAAGCGGTCCATTGAAGGTAGCAGCGATGCACAGCTTCGGGGATCACAGATTTTAAAATTAATCATTGGCAGTTAATGTGATACAAAGATTGCATGGACGTCGCTATAGTGAATTCATGTAAGGGAGACCCCGTGATTGTAACTGTGAGCTTGTTGGCTGCACTGAAGTCAGGCACACGGGAAACTTCCCAAGCCTGAGTGGGAACTCATGAAAAACCTGATGACGAATAATGAAAGCAAAAATATGTTAATAAAAATAGAATAGAACTGTGAAACTTCTGATTGTCGGCTCAAATGAGATGAAAAATTGAGATTCAGTCTTCGAGTTGACACTTGGCAATCGTTTCGATGAAGCTGATAGAAGGTGGAGCTTCCGCAGAAAGAGCTTACCTTGATGCAACGACGGCTCGGCTATCTCATCCCAGCAAATCGCAATTTGCGCTTCAAGACTGGGGACTTTTAGGCGGTCATCTATCTCGGGTCAATTGAGACTACGCGGCCGAGTGCAACCCCGACTCTCAAAACCAGGGGCCAAGATGTTGATGAATGCCGCAGGGAGGGATTTGTTGATGTTTTCCCCGAGTCAAGCGAATCCAAGGGTTAGGGTAACACTGCTTCGTGTGTTATTGCCGAGACAGCAGGGATGTGTTTTGGCTGCGCGTCAATAACCAATGTCGTCATCACGTCTCCTCTCACTGATCGTGACCCGCTGAGACCCCAGCTGCTTTGCATCGCGCTTGTGCCTGCTTTAGCTCCCGTAGTAACCCCGCAGAACTTGGGCTCTCGGTTTCGCTTTCGCTTTCTTATGTCTGCGGCTCTAATGACCAGCAATCATTGTCCAGTCACATGAACTGAGATAAGGGACATAATTTGAAATGCATAATGGGTCGCCTGCGCCTGGGCTACACAAAATCTCGGACAGGGTGTTTTCGGTGCAAGCAGAGGCGCGTCAAGGTGTGTTTTTCTTTCTTGGGGTCATCCCCGTTTGACTCTCATACTTCGTTTTTGATGCTGACAGTCCCAGTGCGACGAAAGCAAACCCATCTGCAAAGCTTGCGCCCGCCACGGCGTCTCCTGCACCTACCCCGAGCCCGGGACCAGGCTGCTGACTCGGTCATCCTCCTCCGCGACTCCACATCCCGGCCCGCTCAGAGTGTCCACTTCCTCCGCCAGTCCCACCGAAAGCCATGGCCTCGACACCCAAACAGCTTCATCTACGCCTCCTATCGACCCCGGTACTCCTGTGCCTGTTCCAGCGATACCAGCCCCAGGACAAGATCCCCAAGATTGGGTAACAGACCTTCAACTCCTGCACCACTACACCACGACCACCTCTCTCACCTTCCCAGCCCTTTCTCTCCGCAACGACCCGTCTATCCGCCGTCTCTGGCAGATTGAGGTCCCGAACCAAGCATTCGGACATCCCTTCCTCTTACACCAGCTCCTCAGCATCTCAGCAAGCCATCTAGCTAGATTAGAACCGCACAACCGCAAACAATGGTCCCTTCGCGCATCTCATCACCAAAGTTTAGCCCTGAACGGGATGCAAGCCGCCCTAGGACAAATCGGGCCTGTAAATTGTCACGCCCTATTTGCTGCGTCAAGTTTGCTGTTTATGGCCTCTCTTGGGGCGGCTGATCCGTCCCGGACGGAGGAGTTTACTGTTGATGCATTGGTCGATATATTCCTCCTTATTAAGGGGGTTAATATAGTGCTTGATTCGTCGAGGGAGATGATCAAGAATGGGCCGTTGTCGGAATTCGTCACACTACGCCAGGGCGCAGAGGAGACGCCTGAGGTCCTTACAAGGGTCACGCATGCTCTCGAGGGATTGTTACTCGATTTGCTTGAGTCCAAGGACTCCCTCTGCAGCATTATCCGTGCCGAGGTTAACCGCATGCTGCAAGCAATCAAGATGTCTGTGGAGCGAAGCAGGGATCCGATGTATAGAATGATTGCCATCTGGCCGATAATGATGCCGGATGAGCTGGTACGGTTGTTGAGGCAGAGGAGTCAGGCTGCGTTGGCGCTGCTGGCGTATTATTGTGTTGTGTTTAGAGCAGCAGAGTTAGAGGGGTATTGGTTTTTGGAGGGGTGGCCGAGGGCTGTATTAAAAGATATACATAGGAGTATGATGCCGCCTTGGGTAAGGCATTCGACCGTGGCGATGGAGTGGGTTGGGGGTAAGGGATGAAAGGTTGGGAGGGTCCGAGGATGGGACAAGGTGTAACTCGGTCCAAACACACGGCATCATGTCCGGTCGAGGACAGAGGGAGAAAGGCATATTATTAAAGCTACGCCATGCTATGATGCAAAGCAGAGAGACTTGTCCAATCTCCCGCTCATGTTACTAACGGACATTATCAGCTCATTCAGCATACCTCGTTCGAGTTCTCATCCATCACAATAGTCTATCCGACAAAGAATTATTAATAGGAGCTTTTCTCCAATCATATCTAATCCCTTTCCTCCCAGCAAGGCACCCCTTCGTGTCTCCTAGTTCATGATAACCTCACTGGACAGAAGAACATATAAGGGCTTCTCTCCAACTGTTTCAAGCCCTTTTCTTCAAGCAGGTTTCCATCCTTTTCTCCCCAACTCGCGGCAACTTCCACTGTAGTACCCTAACCAAATAGAACAACCAAAGAGCTTTTCTCGCAACCTCCTTCAAGTACTTTCCTCTCAACACGGTGCGCCCTTTCTCTCTCAGATCACTCTAATTTCTAGTTAGACAAAAGAACACAAACACACACACACACAAAAAAGGCTTTTCTCCAAACATTCCTCGAGCCTTTGCTCCCAGCAAGAATCATCTTCTCATCTCCCAGCACCTGACCACGACGACACCCGATGCCTTGATCGCTCTTGAGAAACGCCAAATGCAATGGGGTTACCACCATCTCCATGCTCCCTTCTCTCCCAGCAAATCATCAGCACAGATCCGACTCCTTTAAGCATCCATGATGTCTAAATCACAAGCCGATGTCACAAATATCATCCATCTCTTCGTCTCGATGCCCAGCTCTTTCCTTGCGAAGCAGCCGGCCAATGAAGAGACATTGTCCCGTGCCGGCACCAGTGCTCCCGCGTCACTGTCAGTCCAACAGTGTCATTAATAATTATCACCAGAACCTGCCCACAGAGTCCTGGTCCCATCTTATTGGCAGATACGCTATCGTCGAAGAGGCAGTGAGAACACTTTCTGGGGACCAAACTGCCAACATAAGTATTCTGTTGATACTAAACCAGCTCTTTGTGTGTTGAATGCCTCCCGAGAAAGACGACATTACTACCTACCTCTCACTTTATGGCAAGAGAACACTGAATGCAACGGAGTTGGCTCCGTAACCATGGAGAATATTACCTTATTCTTTTGGGGCGCTCTACACAATCCGTTATCCAGCGTGGTGAGAGGTTATCTTCCCGGAACGAGTAGCAGTTGGAGCGTTCTTTTGCGCAGATTCTGTCTCCAAAATAGGTGGCGTAGGAAATTGTTCACGGCGTTTGGTCTGTTCATAACTTGAGGGACCATCCTCAACACCGGGAAGCGCTTCTGTGATCTCTACAAGAGCCACCCGCTCTAAGTTCTTTATACCGAGGATTTCCACCACACGGCTTCACCTCTTCGTGTACGCGGCACAACTGGCACAGCTACCGGATGCCCCCGTTGCGTTCCCAGCTACATACCGATGCAGCCCACGGGCAGACATGCGGAGATCCTCATTACCGTTCCCAAACGGTCTGCAGGTTTCCATGGGAGGTTGCATCCCAAGCCCCTCTCTCCCCGGCGAAGGGCCACGGGAAGAGGTATGTCTCTCGAGCAGCGCGTATCCAATTGTGTGGCAACTCCCGGGGCCAAGGTATTGGAGTACTCTCCTTGTTCTTGCCACGAGCTTTCTGCCTCAGTGGTGCGAGTGTCACATGGACACGACAGTCCAAGGAGAAAAATTATCCCTGACAGCCAACATCTGGAACACCGGTGACACAAAGCTGAGAAGGGCATATTTAATTGGTAGAGCCCGGGAAATATAAGGGGTTGGCAAGAATGAGTTAGATAACCTTGCCATGCTGAGGAAGACCCTGAAGATTCCAGGAGACCGTATTCACGAGGGCAAAGGGATTTTATTAAGGGAGCTACTTGGACACGATGAAGCATTTCTCTTGGCTTTCCTCTCTCCAACGTAAGGACACTGAGGACCAAGATTATTACACGTAACAATTGACTTCTTTGTGCACCCCACATCGTCAGTGGCCATCATCTAACCCATTTGACCCATTGTCGATCCCTGCCTGCACCAGGCCAAGTCACCCGTTACACGAGTGCCAAAAGGCTCTGGGGTTTAGACATCCTGCCATAGGATTATTGGAGGCCGAGAGCAGGCATCTCAAGAAGTGATCTCTGGGGGCCACCAAACCACAAGGGCAAGTTTTGACTGCACTTGGAGGGTGGTTAAGCCTGAGATGGTACTCCGGGAAGTCCCCGTGTCCAGATGCCTCCGCGACCTATCCAGCCAGACACTTTCTGTCGAAGAGAGCGGAGAAGGTTTTAGTTGAGGGGCCATCCCACAGGCTGGCCTGAGGATTGTTCGATCGTCACTGTGATTCTATGTTAGGGAGTGGGATCTTCCGTTGTCTGAGAGGACTTGGAGGTAGCCCTAGCCAAGCCAGAGGTTCGGGTCGCCGGGGATGGTCAAGGCAGTTGGCCGCCAGATACGATATAACTTCTGCGAAACGGGATGCTGATGACTACTGCCAAGATTTACTCTTCCCGCCGTCTTATAGCCTCAGCAAGTACCTGATCCTCTGGGCTCCGAACCTGGCTTTCTGCAGAGGGCTGTGACATCTGACTGGGCGTATCATTCCAGTCCGGTCCGTCCTGGGGACCAAGATCCATCAGCATGCTTGAATTCTGGCTGCCAAACGGTTGACTGTCACCAATATTCAGGCATGTTGAAAAGGCCCAACGAGAAGAGCTTTCTTGATCACGACTGCCTGGAGAGTTATCCGCATGTACATCCCCGTGAGATGTGTCATGCTCGACTGGTTCCGGTCTGGTGACATAGCATAACGGAAAAGTCCAGGAGGACTCTCCTCAATCGCCTCGGGGGGGGGGGGTGATTGAGTCGCACAGGGTACTCCAGGAAGTCGCCGTGACCCGGGCCTCCGCCAGCCAGGGGAAAAAGCATTGTCGGAAAAACCTTCGAAGAAGGGTTGGGCCGAGTGCCCGTTCTAAAGGGCCGAAGGGGGTTTGTTAGATTGCCACCACCCACGCATGTCTGGGGGGAGGCCCTGACGCCCAGGCGTTTGGGCTCCCATTGCAGCTTCGCTCCGACATTGAGAGCCAAGTGCAGTGGCTAAGGAGCCCAGACCTCTATAAGTTAAGGATAATACCCTTAACAGGGCATTCTTCTGCAGGTACTTCGATTAAACGAAGTGATGTTCCACCAGGGGTTCCCCTGCCCGTGGCAGGAGTGGTTAAGGCCCGGTGTTGTGAAACTTGTTTCTTTTTGATAATTTTCTCTTCCCTCCTTCCCTTTTATCATTTTCTTCTCTTTCCATTGATGAGCCAAGGAAGGTCGTTGCCCCTAGCTAGACGCCTAGATAATGGTGTTATGGGCTGGCCGCAAGCCCTCGCAACGAGTTGTGCTTAGGGAGAAAGGAGTTCGATGTTGATAGTATGAGAGGGCAAAGGGCCCTGAAAGGATAGAAAAATAGGCGTGGAGCAGGTTCGATAGTGATAGTGTTGGCGGGCCGAAGGCTCTGAAGTAGGATATTGCGAGGGTGGAATCGTCTCCAGACGGAGTCGCCAGCAAACAGAACATTGTGTCCTCCGCTTTCGTGGGTGTGGTAACTGGTTTCGTTTCGTCAAGAACAGCTTGCTTGGCAGTTGGTCCGAGAAGACTGATGCATCTAGCACTCTGCCAGGGGCAAAGGCCTCGTCGCAAAACTATTCACCCAGTTTTGCCGTTTGCCCGCGAGAGACAGTCTCATTGGCATAGGCGAAGGAAGGAGAACAGGGAGGAGCTGTATATGCTATCGAGGGAACATCCCCCCCTCAATGCTCCCTCGGATTCGGCCAGCCAAAAACCTGCCATAACTCCCGCTTGAACTCATCCTCCTCGAGCCAAACACCGTCCCTTACGCTGCGACCTACAAGGAAGCCAAAGGCGACACCTACGCAGGCACCCATAAAGAAGGACAGGAAGAGGATGACGATGGCGGTGATGACCCAGAGGGAGCGACCGTCCAATGGATCATAGGGGCTGGGGAGGGGGGTGAAGGAAGGGACAAGAGGTAGGAGGATTTGTCCCAGAGGAGGAGGAGGAAGTTGAAGAGGACGATGATCATGTTGTCTTGTCCTCTTCAACCTTGTTAAATGCGGGAGAATTTAGGAGGGAAGATTGAGTGGTGGAAGAGGTGTTTAAGTATGCGCCCAAAAAGAGAGAGAAATCATGGTGTCTGAGAGAAGCATGTGTGCGGAGAGAAGGCAGGTTGAGAGAAGAATATGTCCAGAGAGATGTTGAGAGAGAAGAGTGCGTTCAGGCTGAAGGATCATGCCTAGAGAAGAATGGCAGCTATGTGGTCGGCGAACAGACAGAGGACAGAGCTGAAGTGAGCCTGCCCAGAGATCAATAACACGTTCAGAGAAAAGAAGTGCTCAAATGGCAAAAGATCAGATAATGGAAAGCCGAGTGATGCATCCCATTTAGAGAGAACCAAGTTCAGAGAGAGCATGTTAAATTACATTCAAGTGATCTACGAACAGACAGTTGAGTTAAGCAAGGCAACAATGCTGAACCCAGGCTTGCACAATTAGAACTCAAACAAAAATGTGGCAAGTTCATTCACGTGCCATTGATACTCAACCACGTGTCAGAAAACACAGACATATAGCACTGTTTATCATTACATAAAAATACACGCGACCTCGTCGCATTTTTTCCTCATGTGACAGAAAATTTCCCATCTATCCCATCACCGTACAAACTCATTCAAATCCCTCACATCCTCAAACGTCACCTTGCCTTCCTTCCCAACCCGCGCAATCCTCACCCTGACCATCTCCTGCTTCTCTTCACTCTCCTTCACTGGTAACTCCGCAGCAATCTGCACAGCCCCTGGTTCAACTTCTGCAATCTCATTCACATGCTCCCGCGTCAATACATCCCTGACTCTCGCTCCCTGCGATGACATCAAGATCGTCGTAGGCCCCTTGAACTGCAGGAAAAGCCTATCCCCCCAGATTGTTGTCCTCGCAGCCGTTCGTAGAGAAAAGAATACACGGGAAAGCAACTTGTAAGTTACCGTATCTCGCATGGCAGCCCAGAAGCGGGACCATCCTTCGGGAATCATCTTCCCCGCCGCGGTGCGTACCACGGGCGGGAGGGTCGGGATGGTGAGGGTAAACATCGTGCTCTTGAAGCGGAATGGGAGGGGCGGGTTTTTGGTGACTGTATAAGCGACCACGTGGGAGGGATGTAGAACCAGTTCTTCGCCTTCGGAAAGCTTCATTTCGTAGACTTGGCCCGGGGCAGCGAGGGCAGCCAGGCCGCGCCCTGTCAGACGGGTGTTTCCCCAATGGGCGAGGGTCAGACCAGTTTGTACACAGGGCGTAAGAGTGAGAGTGTGGCCCGTCCAGGCGAGCAACGCGGAGCGGTTAGCGACGATCCAGTCGGTTGTGCCGTCGAGGTGGAGGATAGAAAGGGTGGTGTTAGGGGACTTGGTCGAGATCAAGGCGTTGATTGGGGTGGTCGAAATGATGCGCTGGTAGAGGAATGGGATGCCAAGGAGGGCGCGGGGAATGGGCGAGAGGAGTGAGAGTGTTGATTGGACCTGCACAGGTTAGTATGAGAGGTTAGTGTAGAGAGAACATAGAAACTAGGGGAACGGCATACATTTTCCACATCTCCCGCCACAGACACCAGTGTGCCTCGCCGGGTATACAATCTTTGCGAGGCGGACAAACTCACAGAGAGAATCGAGTACGGTGAGCCGAGCACCTCGAACCGGGCATCTGCCCCTGTTAGCCCTAACCCTTTCAAACCCTGCGCTCCAACCTACCTGCACTACCAAGCCCCCCATACTCATACAAATCCCTTCTGAGTGTCTCCCTCGTCTTCTCCGTCTCCGTCGCAGCCGCAGCCTCAATATGAATCGACTTGGCCCTGCACTGGCGGCAGACGAACTGCCCTCTAAAACTAGTTGGCGCCCATAGCGACAGCAATGTTGGCGATGGTGATGAAACAGGCCGCAGGGACCGGGCCCACGTGATGCGGCTCATGATGCTTGCCGCAGGCAGACGCCTACCTGGATCAGCTGGCTAGGTCGTCGCCCGGGGGTGGCGTCGCGACTGGGGAGTTTTCACGTCGGGGAAGCCGTCGACGTTGTTGAGTGAAGTCGCTCATTGAGTTCGAGCTCGGGCAAGATTCCCGCGAAATTCCAGGCTTGGCGGAGTGGTGGAGGGGCACGCACGGGCCAGGAGTTTCAGGGAGCTTGGCAATCTGAGCATGAATCGGCAGATCTTACAGCCGCGAGCTGGTCTCACTATCCCTGGGAGAAGCTTGATCCTGGTCGGGAGTGGAGCGCAACACTGCCAAGCATCATGTTGCTGGGGCAACAAGGAGAACGCAAATGTGGATGTGGTGCGCGTCTGCAAAACAACGACAGACCAACTTCACCGCAGCAAAGCAGGGATTAACGCCACGGCACACGGCACGCCTACCCTGCATTGCAATCTCACTCCAATCACCAATCCCATTCCGACCCCCTTTTGTACTCTCTTTGTCCTCACTTATATACCCTCCATTATACCCTCTATTATCACTACCCTTTCATGCGCAATGTCCGTCCGCGTCGTAGCTCGCATCCGCCCCCTTCTCGACAAAGAATCCTCCAGCGACATCATTGTGCGCGCTGATCGTGTTGCTGAAGGGAAGTCATTAACCGTTGTGAAGATTCCAAACCCCAAAAATGAGGCAGAAGAGTTTTCGTTCAGTTTTAACAGCGTTTATACGGATGAGACGACGCAAGAGGAGTTTTTCAATGCCGAAGGTAGTCCCACCCTCAGTCAACATCCCGTTGCTCTGCTAATGATGAATAATGTGAAGTCACACCGCACATCAAGCCCCTCTTCGCCGGCGTCAATCTAACCATCTTCGCCTACGGCGCCACTGGTACTGGCAAAACGCACACCATGCGCGGCGGGCTTCGGCTTGCTGATCGCGGTATCATCCCCCGCTTGCTCAGCGCAGTCTTCCGGCGCGCAAAGAAAGTCACCAAGGACTCTGCCGGCAAGACTACAGTTCGGGTCGCACTGAGCTACTATGAGATCTATAATGACCGGGTGTATGACCTACTCACTCCTCCGGACAAAAGGACGCCCGCGGGGCTGCCATTGAGAGAAAAAGACGGGAAAACAGTGGTGGTTGGATTGCAAGAAAGGGAGTGCGCCGATCTGAAGGACTTTGAGAAGCTTTACATCGAAGCCAACCAGCACCGTGTGACCGCGGCGACGAAGCTGAATGCCCACTCCTCGCGATCTCACGCAATCATCCGTGTTCAAATCACCCAAACAACCAGTGATATGGTTCTTGAAAGTGTTGCGTCTGCAATTGACCTTGCCGGAGCGGAAGACAACCGTCGCACGGAGAACGACAAGACGAGGATGGTTGAATCAGCAGCGATCAATAAGAGTCTATTTGTCCTTTCCCAATGTATCGACGCAATTGTGAAAGGAGAGCAGAGGGTGCCGTACAGGGAGAGCAAGATGACGCGCATCTTGGGGCTGGGCCAGAATCAGGGTGTGACGGTCATGATACTTAACCTAGCGCCGGTGAGGAAGTATCATTTGGATACGCTGAGCAGCTTGAATGTGGGTTGTAGGGTGAAGAGGATTGAGGTTAAGGAGGTGAAGAACGAGTCTGTTTTTAAGGCACCAAAGGAGTTGACAACGGGGAGACAGCCTCTGAAGCCGATTATGAACGCGCATAATGTTGCTACGAGGGCGATGGTTGGGAAGGAGAGGGGAGAGACGGAGAAGGAGAAGGGTAAGCCGGAGAGGTTATTTAACGTTTATGTGGACAAGAAGCCCGCCCCAACGGCTACGACGACGGCCAGACAAAATTCAACGGCAGTCCTTGGAGCAAGACTGCCTCTTGCACCCAAGAGGCCTTCAGACGAGCCCCTGACGTTATCCTCTCACCCCATCAAGTTTGCTCGGCGTGCACTAGCACCCAAGCACACAGCCAGCAGCAGACAACATCAGCAACATATAACAGTAACAGTAACGCCCTCCGAGCTAGAAGCCCTAGTCGAGAAGAAAGTCGCCGAAGTCCTCGCCTCCCGCCAACTCCACTCCCCTTTAGAAACCCAGGCCCAGCTCAGCGAAGACGTCCGCCGCCGTCTGGAGGTCCTCGAACGGAAGGTTGAGGAAGAAGCTGCGAAGAAGGATGGCGCCGAGCGCGCTAAGGGGTTAAGATGCCTGCTGAATGCGAAGCAAGCAAAGGAGTGTGGAGATGAGGTCACGGCGTTGGGATGGTACGAGAAGGCGTTGGCGGTTTTTCCTGGGGAGGGGAGGTTGGTCGGCAAGATTGAGCGGTTGAGAGCTAAGTTGGGTTTACCTTCACTATTTGAGGAGGAAGAGCGCGCCGCGGAGAGGGAGAAGAAGTTGAGGAGGAAAAAGCTCGAGGAAGAGGATGAGTATCAAGACTGGATGGACGTCGATGCTCCAGAGAACAGCATTGAGCCGAGGAAGTCGAGGACCCAGAAGGCCCCGAGTAAGAACACCGAAACATCAAAATTCGTCGTCCCCGACAAAGAAAATCAACCCTGGCCTCTCCCCTCCGACTACACCACGGACTGTCCCCCCTCGCCGCGCACGCAACAACTCCTAGACATCATCAACTCCCGTGACGTGGCTCGTATTAAGGGGCTACATGGGTTTGGCGCAAAGAAGGCGCAGGATTTGGTGACCGCTATGAATACTTACAAGGGCGAGGAGTCGGTCAAGAGTTTGGAGGAGGTGAGGAAGCTTCCGGGGGTGGGGAGGGTTGTAGAGAGGGCTTATGAGGGGTTGGCGGTCTAAGGGGGGAGTCATGACACCAGGGCTCTGGAACAGCTTTAACCAGGTCCTGGTGACCTAGTCTTACAATGAACTTATTGCCTTGTCTGACAGCGATTACGAGTCGACCGGAATGGTCTGGACATTGCCTGAGTATTGTAACAGCCTTGTTTGTTATTTGGCATGCATGCATTGCGCGGCGTTAAGGTTGGAATGAGTAATGGTCATGGTTGTCAGTTTATTGTTGAATCTGCTACATTTGCATGATGGTGTTCATGGTGTTTGGAGTTAGAACAGTGTGGCAAATAGATCTCTATTCATGTTGGTTCTCGCTCTTTTAGTGACGACGTCGATGACCATGATGTTTTACTTGGGAGCCACCAACAACATAAACCCCATCTGCTGCCCACTTTATCGATAAGCAACATTCTTGCACAGCCATAGCTCAGCCACATGGTGTAACCAGACTAGGGTCCGATTGCATCATCGCCAGCCCCACGTCGCATCCAGCGCGAGCCGAGCAGCGCAAGAGGGACTTCGATTGCGACATTCACTTGGGCGTGGGCAGCGTCGTGAGTTGAGCTGGTGCGTCGGAGCTGTTTCGCAATTTCGAGCTCGGTCTTAAAGCTCCAATCCTCAAATCAGGACTTTCAGGGAAGAGAAACAATTCCGACTTCTGTCTTTTTCCCTTTCAACATCTACAGCTTCCCAGCGACGCCCCCTGTCAAGGAGGACCCCGCGCTCAAGCCGCAAATCCGCTCACCAGAAGCGCTGCGCTCCCATCGCTGACTGCAGCTCCTACGTCAACATTCATCAACTCTGCTATTAGAGTACCCGAGATGACCACACCATGTCCCCTCGGTCCCGCCTCCTAGCCTCTAGCCTCCGTGGCGGTCTGCTCCTCCGACCATGCAGCGCCCGTCGCTCAACCCTCCTCAACCCCTCGCCGTCCCCCCTTCGCAAAGCTATCTTTCACACAACCTCACTCCGCGCATTCAAGAATCTCGCCGAGATTGCCACTTCCTCTAAGGAAGATGCCAGCTCTCTCAAGCCCAAAGGGAAACCCTCCCCTCCAGGGGATCCCCTAGCCACGATAGAAAAGACGGCAGCCGAACAGCGCCGCGCAGACTGGGCCATCATCAAACAGATGTCGCGCTACCTCTGGCCGAAAGATTCCTGGTCCGACAAGGCGCGTGTTCTCCTCGCACTATCCCTCCTCGTGGGAGGCAAGGTGCTCAATGTACACGTGCCATTCTATTTCCGGGAGATTATCGATAGGCTGAACATCGACGTCGCCGCGGTAGGAGGGACTGTTTCGGCAGTTGCCGGAGCTGTCATTTTTGCTTATGGCGCGAGCAGGATTGGCGCGGTGGTAAGTCAGGAGTTGAGGAATGCGGTGTTTTCGTCGGTGGCGCAGAAGGCGATTAGACGTGTCGCGACACAGACGTTTGGACATTTGTTGAATTTGGATTTGTCATTCCATCTGAGTAAGCAGACCGGCGGATTGACGAGGGCGATTGATCGGGGTACCAAGGGGATTAGCTATTTGTTGACGAGCATGGTCTTCCATATTGTGCCGACTGCCCTGGAGATCGGCATGGTGTGCGGGATATTGACGTACCAGTTTGGCTGGGAGTTTGCGGCAATTACGGCCGCGACTATGGCCGCGTACACAGCGTTTACTATTACAACTACGGCATGGAGGACAAAGTTTAGACGGCAGGCTAATGCGGCGGATAATGCCGCCAGTACGGTGGCAGTTGACAGTCTCATCAACTACGAGGCAGTCAAGTACTTCAATAACGAGGCGTACGAGATCGCGCGGTATGACAAGGCGCTGCAGGCGTACGAACGCTCGTCGATCAAGGTCGCTACCTCTTTGGCCTTCCTCAACTCCGGGCAGAACATCATCTTCTCGTCTGCCCTGACCCTAATGATGTGGCTCGGCGCAAGAGGCGTCCTGGCCGGGGACCTCTCTGTCGGTGACCTTGTCTTAATCAACCAGCTCGTCTTCCAACTTTCAGTCCCCCTCAACTTCCTAGGATCAGTTTACCGCGAACTGCGCCAGTCCCTCCTCGACATGGAAACGCTGTTCGATCTGCAAAAAGTTAACGTCACCATCCGCGAAGCACCCAACGCTAAACCCCTGGCCCTCCCCAAGGGCGGCGAAATCCGCTTCGAGAACGTGACGTTCGGGTACTACCCCGACAGGCCGATCCTGCGCAACCTGTCGTTGACCATCCCAGCTGGTAAAAAAGTTGCTGTGGTTGGGCCGTCAGGGTGTGGCAAGTCTACGCTGTTGCGGCTGCTCTTCCGCTCGTACGATCCCCAGCAAGGGAAGATTTTTATCGATGACCAGGATATCAAGTCCGTGACGCTCGAGAGTTTGAGGAAGAGCATCGGCGTCGTGCCGCAGGATACCCCCCTGTTCAACGATACCGTCGAACTCAACATCCGCTATGGCAACGTTAATGCCACGCAAGAACAAGTCATCGCCGCGGCGCAAAAAGCCCATATCCACGAGAAAATCATCTCCTGGCCGCACGGGTACCAGACCCGCGTTGGAGAGAGGGGATTGATGATTTCGGGAGGAGAGAAGCAGCGCTTGGCAGTTTCACGGCTCATCCTGAAGGACCCGCCGCTGCTGTTCTTTGATGAGGCCACAAGTGCCTTGGATACGCATACCGAGCAGGCGCTGATGGCAAATATTAATGAAGTGGTGAAGGAGAAGAAGCGGACGGCACTCTTTGTGGCGCATCGGTTGAGGACGATTTATGATGCGGATTTGATCATTGTGTTGAAGGAGGGTGTTGTTGTGGAACAGGGAAGTCATAGGGAATTGATGGAGCGGGACGGGGTTTATGCAGAGTTGTGGATGGCGCAGGAGATGCTGCATCAGGGGGAGGCTGCTGAAGAGCCAGCTGAGGGAGAGAAGGCGGAGGAGAAGAAATAGACGGCTGGTAGATAGAGGAGTTGGCTTAGCCATGCATGATGTTTTGGCAACAATCGCTGCACTATTCATTTGCTGGGTCGTTTACCTGTGCCAATTACAATGTTTTTTCTGTGCTTACTCACAATCATGCGCCAGTCCTTTTCGAGCATCTCCCCAGAATAGCACGGCACCTGTCAGCGCCTTAGTCATCCCCTTGGCGCCCATAGCATAAGCTTACTCTGAGATGCTGCGCCCACATCGAGATAGCCGACATCTTTTACCCAGACACGCGCCTCGATCAACCTCTCACCTGATGTTTTGCACGGTTGACTTGTAATAGGGTTATTCGGAAGGTGGAAAGTGGTATAGAGGGTTGTTTATGTGGACTGCGGAGAGTACTGCCACGCAGTGTATGAATAGGATGCGGTTATTTGAGAGCGAGGTGCTGAGCCACGATGGAGTTGTTACCATGGGCACTGTCCTATCTGTTAAGAGATCAGGGGTTCGGCGAGAGGGGGTTGAGTATATAAGATGGCGTTGTGGTCGATAGATGAGGGGAGTTTGACAAGCAGATCAACAAGTCAAGCACAACAAAATGAAGATCATTACTGTCCTGGCTGGCGGTTTGGCCTCCCTGGCTACCGCCGCTCCGCATAAAAGATCTGAGCCCTGCTCCCTGATTCGGGAAAAAGTTGAGAAATGGTACAAGGACAATGATATTGGTATGTTGCCCCTGAATGACCTAACATCACTTCCAATCTCCCCCTCAAACTCCGACATCTGCACATCCTCCCGAACCACTCTGAAGTAATCTCAACTTAATTCCTCGCTCCTTTGATCCCTATTTTCTACGTGTATCCATCATACACCAAACCTTCCTGCCTGTCACTTACCTTGTCGTGATCCCCTATACTTCAAATCAATGATCATGAATGCTAACAACAACAGTCGCTAACCCCCCTTCTAACTCCCCACTCGAGCGCTTCCTCATCCCCTCGGCTCCTCCCGCCCCCATTCCTCCCTCCCTAGCCATTGCTTGTCTCCAAACAGTCCACCTCCACAAGGACGCTGCTCTCGAGCAGCTCCGCTTCCTGCGCGCTCTCGTCGAGTGGCAAAGCACAATCGATTATTTGAAGGATCCCCCCAAGGGGTATCTCAGTGAGGGAGTTGACCTAGTGGCGGGGCTGGAAGAGATTGCGCGATATCTGGAGGAGGACAGGTATGACACTGACTTTGGGTGGTTGTGGGATGTGGAGGCGCTGGTGGCACGGGCGAGGGACGGACATTTGGTTTATAAGACGCTGTTGTGGAATCTGTTTACCTTTGTGCCGGGAGTGCAATTTGTCTCGGTGTCCAAAGACGGCGCGGAACTTCCTGAGATCTACGTCTACGGTAAGTCCCCCCATATTGAGGAGAAATGACAGGAAAGACAGAAGCTAACAGAGCACAGAGGACATCAATCACACCATCCACGGCTACACCCCCTCTCCAGTAACTCACATCGACCATCTCCCCGCCTACGAATACCTCTCCCGTCTTGCCGTCCTCAACGGCGGCGCTCACGACCCCGACGCGCGATATAACTCTCTCTTCCCTAGCATTACCCGGCAAGCTTCCGTCTTGCACGTCGATCCCGCAATTTATCCCATTGCTGCACTCCCCGACGAGACCATCGTCACCCTCTCCAACGGGACCAAGCTCGTGTACGAGAATGTTGCCTACGTGAGGGCCAACTTCTCTGGTATCTCGACTGGCGAAGATCTTTGGAAAGTTTATGGGGATGGATCAAGTACAGCGCCTCAGCCTCTGTCTTGGGATATCTATCGCGCCGCTGCTTTTAACTACACTTCTGATCTGGCTCTCTACCCCCCTAACCCCGTTGCTGTCACACCTGACGGTCTCGTCGCCGGCTGGCTGCCCGACACCCCTGAGCTCAAGGACACTGCCATTTTGAAGGTGACCTCCTTCTCAGAAGTGACACACCCCGATATTGCGACTGGCAACAACACTGAGGAGGTATCATCACTAGGAGAACACTTTGCCGAGGTGGTCATCGAGACAATTATCAAGGCTAAGAAGGCCGGCAGAGAGAAGCTGGTGATTGATCTCCAAGACAACGGTGGCGGGCTAATCATCAACCTTTTGACTCTCTACTTCTCTCTCTTTCCGCCGGCGCAAGACGAACCTGCCGAGTTCCCTCTAATCTGGCAAGCCCGCGTGCACGACCAGCTCACTCTCATCGGGGAATCGGCATTCAATGCTACCGAAGGTAAACTCCCGTGGGCCATATCCCAGTTCATTCCCGCTTTCTCTCCTCCAGACAACTTCACCACCTTCCAGGACTTTTTCGGTCCCGTCGCCAACCCTGCTCACTGGAATACATCCTTCTCAACCTTCCCCGCACAGCTCAATGCCTCCTTCTGGCAAGACCCGGAAGCCTTCGGCGCAAACTGGACTTCGCCCCCCTTCAAGCCGGAAAACATTGTCCTGTTGACTGATGGGTTGTGTGCCTCGGCTTGCGCACTCTTCGTCGATGCCCTGACGCACAGCCCCCGCCATAAGGGCATCAAGACCGTTGTTGTGGGCGGCAGACCACTGAAGAAACCAATGCAATCCGTGGGAATGGTCCGCGGCAGGCCCTTGGGAACCCTCCAAGCCTTTGACGAACTCGACCTACCTGAGATTGAAGCCATCCGGTCGGAGGATGATCCCCTCCTCGCGAAAGATGGCAAGACCCTCCTCCTCCCGCCAACAAACTCCTCCATCTACCGTCCCCCCATTCGCGTCGTCGGACGCGATGAGCTCGGCACGTGGGGGACAAGCATCGCTGTCAACCTCATGAATGTCGCTCCCTGCCCCGAAGACGATGACCCTGAATGGGTCGGCGTGCCGATGCAGGTTCGCTATTCAGCTGCCCAGTGTAAGGTTTTTGAGACGTGGGAGACGGTAAGGGATGTGGAGAGGTTGTGGAAAAATGTGAGGAAGGTTGCCTGGGAGAGAGGCAAGTGTGTTGAAGGGTCGAGTACTGGGGAAGGGGGGACGATTGGGGATACGATACTGGGCTATGAGGAGGGAGTTGAGGATGAGAAGAAACTTGGGGAACTGCCGGGTTGGATTGGCGAATAGATGGCAGCCGAGAATAAGTGGGAGATAATATTGGAGGATAAAATCAAAAGAAGGGAGGTTACGTGGAGATCCGATCATCGTGCTCGTCTTGGCAGTTGAGATGGGATGACGTTGGATGGTAGACTCTAAACGCTTTTCAGTAAAGTCTTAGGCCATATCATCCCCTCGTGCAGGAAGTGAACTTGGTCCAACGTCCTCTGTCAAGCCTTCACAGCGGCTGACGGACCTCACATTGCCCAATCCTCCTTTTCTCTGTCCTCCCTTTGACCTCTTCCTGCCTCGACCAATCCAACATTGGCCCCTCCTCCTATCCATCGTTCCTTTAGGTCTCAGTTGCCCATTAGAAAGACCCTCCATCCAACCACGCCCCCTCTTTTCCAATGGCACATGATTCCACCTCCAATCCCAAACAGAAACATAGTAACCCCTATATGCTCCAACAGCCGACAGCCCCCCAATCCCTGCCCCAACGACAATATCCCTCCAATGATGTGCCTCATTAACCTCCAAGGCCCCCATCATCAACCCACACACCAACAGCGGCATGCACACTAACGCCAACCTCCACACCTCTGTGCGTTTGTCACTCCAAGGCTTCAACCTCCCATTCACGAACATAAACAGATAAACATATGATGCTGCCGCGGTAGTGGCATGCCCACTCGGAAAACTGGTCATCGCCGTTTTCATCTCCCACCGATTCGAGTTGGTGCATATTTCGGGGGTGTACATTGCCCCGTCGAAGCCTGACGCTTGCAGGCCAGAGGAGTTACGTAAAGGGGCGAGGGAAGGATCAGGCTGACAAACGGAGAGGAACGAGGGTCTGAGACTGCTGAGGAGTTGTTTCAACGTGACTTGGAAGACGCTGGCTAGGAGGATGGAGGTCGATAGGCCGAGGAGCGTGTTGGTTATATCGAGGGGGGAAGATTTGCCCAGGGGGAGCTGGAAGAGGAGAATTACTAAGATGGTGGGAATCGTGCATAGTATGGCGGCTAAGACGGGGGAGAGGATCCAGCCTCTGTTTGGGTAGGTTAGGGATACCAAAGGGGAGAAGGAGGTCTGACGAGTTGAGGAGTTATGGGGGATGTAGAGGGGGAATGTGCGGGTTGTGGGTGGGGGGAGTTGGTAGATCTGCGTTGGTGTCAACCTCATGGAGTTCGAGCTTGGAGTTGGGAGGTCAAACTTACTCCTGCGGCGAGGATGCCAAGGATTGTGAGGGTCAGGACGTCTTTCCAGTTATCTTGGAGCAAGGAGAATGCTAAACGAAGAAATTTATTGTGAGATTTAGTTAAGGGGATGGGTTTAGCAGTTGGTAGCTGGATTGCGCCGCCATAGCGTCGATGGAACGCGAGCATTTCGGGACACTGGCCTTCAAAAAAACGCAAAGAATGCTGGGAAACTTTTTAGTTGTCAATGAATTCTGGGGTCCTCCCCTCGATTGATTCCTCTGACCAAGGATTTCTAAACCGCACAAATCGAGCATGTTCTCAAGACTTGGTTCCTCTAGGGAAGCTTAACGCGACTCATTCAGTCAGCGTTATGTTGCTTGGAAGTTACAATGACGTCATGAACTCTTCAAACCTGCTTTGGCTCAACCATCAATTGCCCCATGATAAGTTTCCCTTTCTACGTGCCTCCTAAGCAAATCGGAAACATACACGATGCAATCGGGTATGGTGTAGCGGTAACATTTGCGACTCTCAGTTCTGGGTGCTCGCAAGCCCGGGGTTCGACTCCCCGTATCCGAGTTATTTTTCATTCTGTGTCTTTTGGAGTTTTGTGTTCTGTCATTAGTGGAGTCTTTTGTCTTTTTTTCTTCTGGTGGGCCTCGGTCTTGGCACAGGGTCAGCTTCGCGACCCGCCGTTACCAAGGTACAGCAAAAGCTTACCATTGCAAAAGAGTTGACCGGCATCCAAACAATTTGTGATGTTTCGTTTGCCTTCTTTCTTGAAAATCCAGTACATTCATCATCAGGAGGAGGATCAGTGTAAAATTCTGATAGCAGTCTAAATCAGACTACGTATTCGGAGAGCTGTAGTAAGTATCTCACTAACCCTCTGCCCCACGCTTCCCTGACCCTTTAACTGAATCAGGCAAAAGACCGCCAAATAGGAGCAACCTCTTAAGGCTTTTTTTGGGGGGCATCAGCCGCGAATCGAACGAGGGCCTAATCGAACACTCCCTAATGGCAATGGTGAATTACTACTGATGCTCTCGGGGGGGATGGCGCAATTGGAGTGTGTTGCGCCTGGAAATACCTGCTCTAGCCCGGCAGGTCGTCGGCTCGAATCTGGCTCCCTCTCCCTCGCATTCCTCTGGTGTTTGACCAGCTCAACCCCGACTTCTCCCGCTTGGGGCCAGCGAGTACAAGCTGCTCAAATAGTTCTTCGACCAGCTCAACCTTCCACCTCCCTGCTTGGACCAGCTGGACCAGCGGGCACAAGCTACGCACGGTTTTCCCCCGCGTAATGTACTTAGCAACTATTGCTCGCCATCGCCGTGGGCACGACCCGAGTACCTGAATAGAGCAGATAGTGGTCGGGAAAAATACATGCATATGTGTGCATACTAATGCTCTCTTGTTCTACAGCTGAACTATTTGGAGCTGGAGCTTACCTAGCAGGTTCAACCAGACCTGGGCACTTTGCCATCTCTCCTCTTCTGTCTCCTCTCTTCCCTTGTCTCAAGCTTGGGTTAACCTATTGTGTTGTTGTCTTCTGGTCAATCAACTTACTATTGGATAACTACTGCATCAAGTTGAAGAGCCTGTAGCAAATCAATTTTCCATATGCAAAAAATTCCACGATGGCATCAACCCTTGCCCTAACTGTTTTGCAACGAGAATATGCAGTTCATTTAAGACACTGAGTGCTCATGTTCCCTCTATCATGAGTATGTGTTCTTTGCATTGTCACACAGATTGAGGCTCAATGCTGTTTTCGGAGATAATGGGCCGGCTCCTGGATCATTATTTCTCTGAAACATGTCTCTCCTGCAATGTGCACTGCAACTCCGGTATCAGTCTCTCTTATTGATCCAACAAAGGTTGAAACTGCTACCCTTCTTTTCTGTCTGAGACATAATCTTAGTCGATTTATACGCCGCATTTTCTTCTTTTGAGCTCACAACTTCGTGTGCTACCAAGTTGTGGACTTGCATCTCAATGCTTCCAACAAGGCTTCAAAGTCAATCCTTATCATCCCCTTTCGTATTTATCCCCCCCCCCTTCCTCCAGGACATTTTACGAGATTCTCTTCTCAGAATGCTTCATCAAAATCCAATCATCTCCCGATCCCCCCATGGGCTTGACCTGCTCCCGACCGAAAGGGAAACGCTCCTCATCCTCATCCAAGTCCTGTCACCGTCAGTCTGCTTGCAAGAAAAAGAAAGCTTCTAGAAAGTGCTGTTATTTGGATAAGCCTTCGGTCAGATCTATCAAGTCATCTAAAAGCAAGAAAATGAAAGGAAATATGTGTGTTCTTTCTGGACTGCCCTTACCTCTTTTGAAGTAGAGTGATAGCTAACTCCAATCCTCCTCTTCAGATCAGGCATGTCACCCAACACACCCGAAGACCTCTTACTAGCGCATATCAATGCCTGGCTGCGCGAGGACTTGCACTCCCGACAAATCCTCCACATAGAGCGGGAAACTAACACGACCACAACGACCAACCTTGCCTCACATGCCACCAAGGGGGCTGTTGACGCAACTCCTCACCCTAGTTGTGTGAGCGCGACGACAACTATTACCACCACCAAGGCCTCTGCTGCAGACCCTCTCTATACGGGCTCCTCTACCAAGAAGCAAACACCTGAGACTGAGCTCGAAGACGCTGCGCTGGCCCTAGCACTGGACGAGTCCCGTAAACTTGAGGCTCAACGCCAGGCTCTGCTTGAACAACAGCGCATGGAAGTTGAGTTCCTTGAGGTGAAAGAACGCCAGAAACGTGAGGAGTGGGAGCATAAACCAGCTGTTGAAGAGGCCGCCCGTCAGGCTAAAGAGCGTGAAAAGGCTGTCCGCAGAGCAAAGGAGCTCGAAGAAGCTGCCCGACGGGCTAGAGAGGCCGAAGAGGCAAGACAAAAGGAGTTGGAGCGTCAGGCGAGGGAGAGATTCCTACGACAGCGGGAAAAAGAACAAGAACGAGAACGCTTGAGGGAGTTCTTCCGGTCCAGGGAGATCAAAGCCGAGGATCCTCAGCCCTGGGAGCCAACAGTCAACCGCTTTGTCCTCCGCCAAGCGCTCGAATCCCAACTCCTCACTGCATCTCGAAACGAGCGGCACCGCATGGCACGGTCCAAGGCTGCGATCGAAGCCTTACAAACCTCCTCCGAGCTAACCAAATCCGCCTCTTCTCAAACCCAAGCTCCAGTCCAAGCCCTCGTAGTAGCGATCCAAAAAGCGCAGGACCTTAGCTCCCTGGAGGACGCAGCCATCGCAAGGGCAGTGGAAGAATCCATCGTCAGTGAAGCAGCAAGACGCATTGTGGAAGTCAAAGAGAGAGAGGCTGAAGAACAGGTGAGGAGGAGAGAGTTGCTGGAGGAGAGGGCTGGACGGATGCAGTGGGAGAGGCTCTTGGAGCTTGTTGGGAAGGTGAAGAAGGGGTTTTCTGCGGAGAGTACTGTCGATCCTATTGTGGAGGAGATGGTCAAGGTTTGTGGAACAACGTTGAGTGGAGGGTGGGGTGGGAAGAGGGATTGAGGGGTAGTTAGGCCGTTGCTTGTAGGGGAACCGCATAATCAGTGGGAGATATCACCCCAATATCGGATTGTCACCTAGTCCAGGTGCCGCACACAAAAGTTTCCAGGAAAGAAATAAATTACCATTAGCCAAGACCTACCCTGGTTATCATGCTTGAAAGCCATGGCTGGCTCTGTGGGTAACCTGGAGCATGCACGTACCTTTCGGTGATTGTTTTTGTGATACTTTTATGATGATGAGGTTGGAGGTGGCGCTCTAACGCTTACTCTCCTCTCTCTCTGACCTTTTTGCCCCGCCTACGCTGTCCTTATAAACAGTAATCTGTTGTAGAAACACAATACACATCATTGCCAACACAGTTAAAGGTCAGTTCATTGACCATGTCTGAAAACGGGACAGATTCCATTCTGCCATCTTCTGAGTAGCCAAAACAAAGATGACTGACGCTCTTTGTTCGTTAGATGCTATAGATTCAACTCTCAAATCTTAAGTTGCTCTAATCTCGCCAAATTCCCAGCAATCTGACTCCTTTTCAACGCTTCTACCGCCATAAATATCCTCACCATGTCATAACCTCGCCATTCCCCAGGTAACTCTTCAATTATTGCGCCAAAAATGCTACTCCTTCAACAAACCCATCGAATATCGCTTCCCTTACTCCTACAAATTCTCTTCTTCGCCGAAACAGCGTACTCCCACCACAACTTCTCAGCAACCCCCGATGTCTGCGGCTTGTCCCTTCATAAATCCGACTATCCTTTCCCCTTCAAGCTCTCATTCGACTCCGCCCATGTGGAATGGTCCATCCCCCATCTTTACCCGCGACTACCCTTCTTTGGAGGAGGGGAGATGGCCTCAGCTCGGGAGCAACACACGCTCATACCCGATGAGGACGCTGACGAAGAGAATGGGACAGCGCCATTAGCGGGGATAGCACAGGAGTTGGTCATGTGCTGTGGGGATAACTGTCTTCAAGGAAGACTCAGTGCCGGTGTCTGGACATGGTGGAGTGACGAGAGGAGGAGGGCGAAGTCAGAGCTGGTGGTATGGTGGGCGCCTTGGCATGAGCCGGTTAGGATTGAGATGCCTATTAGTGCACGTACGTATTCCCCCTTTCCCAATTCGTTAAAGCAAATGATGAGGAGACCAACTTATTGGTAGAGTTAACGCCAGCGGACATTGTCTGGATAGAGATTATCCGTCTTTCACGCAAGAAAGCTCAAGTGTATGCCCTCCCACCCTAACTCCCGCCACTTATCAAACGCTGAGACTAACAACTGATAGGATATTTAAAAAGTACATAAACCCCTACACCAACTTAACCATCAAACTCCTCCTCGACATCGCAACTGGCACTCGCCAAACAAACATCACCGGCACTATGCTCATCAACAATGGCTTGCGTGCTACACTGTTCTATCCCTCCCCTCATCAAACCGCAGCCCCCTCCCCCTCCATTCTCGCTCATTTTCCCCCGACATCCCTCTTTAACAACCAAGCCACTTCCAACACCTCTAATGAGGCTCAACAAGCAGGCGATAACTCCTCCCGCCACAGCGCCCTTCCCCACACCTCCTCCTCCTCTCCCCCCTTTCCATCGCCCATGCCGGGAGAAATCCCCGGAGGCCAAATATGCACCGACTCCATCCACTGGCTCCTCACCGACCTGACAACCTACTTCCCCCGCTCTCTGCAACACCCGAACTCCACATTCCCCGGATTTACCCCAGTATCGATCACCAGCCACGGCGCAGGGTTTTGGCTTGACATCTCTGATGGTGATGTCAACCCCGACGATGACAACGATTCGGACCTGGGGGAAGATACTTCCTCTGAATCCGTGTCTAACCCCCAGTTTCCTGGGCATGAACACTCCGATGATGAGGAGAATGACGACCATCTTCAAGAGTCGGAGAAGAAGACAAACAAGGGTCCAATCTGGCCACCGGTGAGGCTGTGGCATATTCAGAGGGAGATACCGTACCGCGGGACGGTAGAGCTTTGTCGGGCAAAAGCAGTTGGGCGGGAAGAGGGGTATGAAGAGGATCCGAGGGAGGAAGGGGGGTTCGGTAGAGAGTGGGTCCTGGAAGGAGGGCATCCCTGGGTTTGGAAGAAGAATGTCCCGTCACGTGTTCAGAATTTCTCTGTGGTTCTGTAGTCTTCATCAGCGAGGGATATGAGGCCGCAGTTTTTGGGTAGGTCAGAATGTACCAAATGTTCGTCGCTTGTTCGGTTCAGGGTTGGATCGGAGATCTTGGACCTAGAACTTGGATGATGAGCAGATCCTGGAGTTTTAGTTTTACATTCAGAGTCTGGTATCTTGGAGAGTCGCAGGGCACACAGGGAGGATCACATACGCAGTGGATCATGTCGTTCAAGGGTAGCAATTTGAGCCTGCAGGCAGGCTGAATCTTCGAGCTTTAATGACGTGCTTATTCAGATTTCTCTTGTTGACAGCCGATACTTAGACTTTCTTGTCAATCTATAGCCTCCTTCGAACCGGTTCACTCCTTCGCTAAGACATGTTGCCCCGTCCTCCTCAGTGTGCTACCCCTGTTGTTTACAAATAATGCAAAGCTTTCTCCTGCAAAGTGGATCCTCCGTGATCTGTCATCCTCGATGGTAACACTTAGGCCTCGATGGTGCCCTCGAACGCTAGCTTGCGAATGGTGACGAGGGTTGACTCAACGGCTTGCTTCGCGACCTGGCAAGCAGCGTGTTAGCATTTGATCTGCAGAACATCCTCTCACACCATCGACTTTCACAGCCGCCCGACCACTCCATATCACCTTGGCCCTCCACTCTGCTTCCTCAATGCCACCACTATAAAGCTGGGTGACTCACCGCATGATACCTCTCCTTCAACGAAAGCGGTACCCGTCCCGTCTCATCCACCTCCACAATCCACTGAAACACATACGTCATATACAGCTCCCCATCAGGCCCTTCACTGACATAATTCGCGACCTTTGTCCCATCCGGCTGAAAGAAATCGACCCTGCATGGCGCGTGTAGCACACACCGTTCCCTCACCGTCCGTCCCTTCTCCTCCTCCGCTCTCTCCTCCTCTCCATGCTGCTCCTCATCCACAGCCTTATCCTCCCTAATCTTATTCACCACCGCGGCTGCAGCAGCCTTCAAAACCGGGAACGCCCCCCTCCCCATCCCCGGCACGGGGCTAGTAATATCCGGCGAATTCAACACCAACGGCGTGCCCTCTCTCGGCGTACCGCCTTCGCTCTTCCACCCCTTCTTCCCCGTCACCTCCTCCTCACTCCCCGCGCCACTGTCATCAGACTCGGGTTTTTCCCGGCCAACAGTCCCCTTCCTGAACGTGACCTCGCGCTCCACTACGCGCTGGATGACACCGGCCTTGGTGTCGAGCACCGACGAGTCGGAGAGAACACGACACGAGAGGATGAGGGGGACGAACTCGTGGGCGTGGGTGACTTTGCGCTGCAGGCCGGCCCAGACCATGGACAGGGTAAGGGGGAGGAGGCGGGATTGGGGGTCGGAGGGGTTGACGCGGGAGGTGTAGGCGTAGTTGTATTCGATGCGGGGCATTCTGGTTGTTGATGGATTATTAGATGGCAAATGAGATGTGTCTATGGTGGTTGTTAACTTTAGCAGCGATGGTTGATGATGCTGAGCGATATTGATCGTGTATGTGGATGTTTGTTGATGTTGGGAAAATGCTCAGAGCTCCAAAGGTGAGGATGGCTTTAATGACAAAAGGTCAGCTACGAGACGCAGCTTCCAACATTGATGAAGAAAACGACGGCAGTTACCAGGATAGAGTCTCACCATCAGGGCGACAGTTGAGTTTGAACTTATATGAGCAATTTCCATACCGGAAAGACAGACTGGAAGGGGCGGGTGAGAGTATGTTGTTATGGAGACAGGGCAAGTACTGAGAGGCGTAGTAAGTAAAGAAACCACAGTCACGCCTTGGCATGACATTGGTGGCGGCATTGTGTACTTGCAAGCGTTATTTTGGGATGCACAGCCCGATATCCAAGTCAGTGAGCGTCATTACATACGAACACCGAGATACAACACCAGAGCAAGATCTAAGATAACATTTCCATGAACGCAAGACAGGGGTATATTCTCAACCAAACACAACGCAAACCAAAGTCAAAATGATCATCATGCCGAAATTAGTTCCATGTAACTTCTCCTCATTATCACCTCAAAATCCCCCCCCTCAACTTCCCCCCCATCTCCTCATCATCCGTCATCAGCCCCGTCACGCTGGCCATACTCCTCCCATCTGCATGCTCCTCCGCACTCGACCCATCCGAGACATACTTGGTTGTCACGACATGTACCTCATGCCCAACAACAATATGCCCGGCAACTAACTTCCCCGATCCATTCCCTCCATGCTCAACCGCCACATCCGTGGACCCCATCGCCGCTCCGTAAATCCCCCCGCCATGATGATGGTCAGGAGGGCTGCGCGGGGGAGGATATCCGAACGTACCACCGATGCTGCGTCGTGTACCGCTGCGCATGGCACTGGTAGCGCCCTTGCTGTCCCTGCCGTACGTGCCGGTTCGACCGGAGACGTGGTCCATTTCATAGCGGCCGGATGTGCTGAGAACGTGGGGGAGCATGCGACGGAGCAGGAGACGGAAGGAGGGCAGGCAGGGGCAGATGACGCCGACGTCAAGCTCAATGGCTGACCACAGGCACAGTTGGACAATGTCCTCTGCAAAGTGTGAGCAGGTTGCCAGAACGTGAGATGGGGTTAGCAGGGAGCCTCACTAGTTGGATTAACTGTGCGGGTGAATTGGTTAATCGTCTTGAGGCGAACTAGACTGATAATCATAACCCTGCAGACCGTCAGCCGTTCTTCCTCGTTGTGGTCTTCTGGATTCGCAGGGTACATACGCCACACCGACAAAGAACATCATGCCGCCCATAATCTTCTTCTTCCAATGCAGATTCAGCGCCATCAGCGCCGGGAACGGCAGCGCCAGCAGCCATAGGTCATATGCAATACCCGTAGCCGCAGCAACCCACGCCAGAATGTTGGCGTTGCCGCAGTGGCCGTGGTCGTGCCCCTGCCACTGTGTCCAGAACAGTCCTATCGGCTGGCACTGGAAGAGCACGGCGAAGAAGAAGCTGAGGTTGTAGACGACGTTGAACACGAGCGTCCACTGGATCACGCGGCCGAGCTTGTTGCCCGACTTTGCGGGGAAGACGCGTAGGTAGAAGAGGATGATGGAGCCGCGCACAAAGAAGCGCGTGGCTGTGTAAAGCAGCATTTCGGCAAAGAAGAGCTGATGGTCAGCGTAAGCTTAGGGGAAAGGGGCAAGGGAATGCCTACCCGCATGACCATGGTGACATCGTCAAACGGCACAAACCAGACGTCCTTGCTTTGGCCGAGGATGATGGCTGAACAGTTAGATCTCGCGGGCATAAAAAGCACTCGGGCTGAAGCTTACCCCAAATGTTGACGCCGGTAAATACGGCAGCACCAAACTGAACAGTCAGCAACGAACACCTCTCAGGAGAGCCAGGACGCTTACAAAGCCAAACAGGTTGCTCAAGTCGTCCCACCAGAAATACGCTTTGGTCAAGACACGGGCGAAAAGACGCAAGATGACGGCAATGACCGCCAGACCAATGAACGTCGCGTAGATGGGAATTAGCGAGCTGTCGCTCTTTGGCGTGACACCGCACATGTACGAAGTAATGTTTTTGGTAGCTAGGAGGTCAGCATCGCTCAAAGCAACTCGGAAGAATCCAACATACTAAGAGACTCCTTAATTGTGCATTCGGCCTTGACACAAGCCGTTGCAACACTGTTGAGCGCGCTGCTGGTGCAGATGCAGGACAGGTCGGTCGGATCACATTTCGACTGGACGATGGCAGTTTCAAAACAGCTCAACTGGCTGGGTCAGTTTGTAGCTCAGGTCGTCGTTTGGCCTTCGAGGACATACAGCGCAGGCCGGAAGGACCCGTTGGGCCTCATCCAGAGACAACAGCGATCCGGGGGCATCGACAGCGGCAACGGCATGGAATAATGAGGCAAGAGACAGGCCGATGAGAGCGCATGTTCGGAGGGACGGCATGTTATGTCACCATTCGCCGGTGATTTGCGATCTGGGTCTTCGTTCAGTCTACAACGGCACTGGGCTTGCTGGAGCTCGTCGTGGCCGTGGTGGGGATTAGGTTGGAAACAATAAGACCCAAAAATGTCACCACATGCAGAACGCGCACTGGAAAGAGGGGAGGGGCAGCAGTTTGTATATAGGGGATCTTGAAGGAGCTGGGGGGTGTTCCATCGTATGCTGCCATGCGTCACCCCAGGTTTCGTTTCCATAGTGCCGGAGTGCGTGGGACCGCAGACTCTGCAGGATGTAGACAGTTGCAGATCGCTAACCCAGCGTAGTAGCACAACGGGTAGGTGGAAATTGGGCCTGCCCCAGGAGAGCAGATGCGATGGGCACCGATGGCCCTTGATGATGGGCCACAACGGGGACGTAATGGGGCACTGCTCCTAATTCTGCTATGTGCAACGGTGCAATCTGAGAGTGTCGCTGCTAGATGGGCCAGCCCCAGGCGGGGTGGAGATTCACAAGGACAACGGAGTCCTGCAATGTGAAGAAAGGAGTTCTCACTGGCTACGATGGCCGAGGAGCTGTGGGTGAGGCGGAGTCCTCATGTGAAGAACGCTCTAACGATCTTGAGTTCTAAAGCCGGTGCCGACCCGCAAGCATGTGGATCTTCTGTCCTGACCTTCCAAAGGAGCCGTCTCGCTGGCAAATCGCTCCTTGTTTTTAAGCTTGCAACAACTCTTTTCCATCGCGAATTTTGGTATCTGCCTTATCAAATGCCATGTTGTATCCAACACTCTGGTACGCAACGTCGCGCTGCTATTACCGCTTGGCTAGAATGCTTCGCCCGTGCACTATCCGGCACGTGTTTTTGGTGATGCGACTGCGGCTGGGCGTGCCGGAAACTACCGAGCTGCAAGTCAGCCATCGGCCCATTCTCTCGCCAAGAGCCCTAGTGACTGAAAAAGTTGCTGGCCCGGTACCTGCAGGTCGCTCTCTTGAGAAATCGCCAGTTCGGTGATGTAAGCGGCTAACGCACCCAGTTCTTTGTTGATCTGAGGATGAGGTCGATCGAGTGCAAGCTGTTGGGCTGAAATTTTGCTGATGATCACCATCACAACAACCTGTCAATCACTAACCCCGCATTCTTGGGCACTTGCCCAATTTTCGTGCGATCGATACTTACCTGCTCGCAGAACCGAGCTCCTTGCGCCAACAGCAACAAGCCGGCTGCATCGCATGACGTGAGACTGTGATCCTCGTCGCCGAGACACCAGTAAAGGGTTACTTAGGTACTGCCCGGCGGAAGAATCATTAATCCGCAATCTTTTCCTGGCCCCTCAGCAGAAGCTCGAAACTCGAGTGGCGACAGTTTCAAAGGCCCGATTGCATCTTCCATACAAGTGATGCGCTTAAGACCGACTTTGTGGTAAAGCAGCGGCTCAATGTACGTGCGAGCAAGGCAGCAAGCTGACATGCGAAGCCGGGGAGAAATGGACGGCCCGCCTGCAACCGACTTGTCGCCGTTCCAAAAACGCTTCGCTTGGACGAGGTGTTTGGCCGGGGGGAAGGGGGGGGGGGTGGACCACCTCATCGCAAGCACGATATCCACCCTGGGAGCGGCTCCGGAGCTAAGAGCGTTCTGGGCTCGGCATGCGGTCGGGAGAAAGTCGGCCCGAGCAACTTGCCTGACATCTTGCTGACCGGCCGATTGCACCTCTGACTTCCAGCCCAGGTTACAGCGCTGCCCACAATCTCTCAAGTCAGCAAATCTTGCTTCTTTGTCGCTAACACTCTCTTCACTTCGCTTCTCCGCCAATCGCAGCCGTCGACTCCAGCCTTCATGTAAATCTTTCGCAATGTTGTGTGGATCAACGTTGCTTCGCGTAGGGGTCGACGCCAAGAGTGCTCCTAACCCTGAGCCAGCTAAAACCCTGGACGGTCGCATTGTTAGCGCGATGGTGACTCGTAAGCGTCGGCTCTCGGCCTGCCGTGAGGCTCGAGAAGGAAGGCGACGAAGGATGCACCAGAGCGGGGCCTCATAGCGAATCCGGAAAGTCTTGATAACGTCGACCGTCGTGTTCCCAGACGATGGGACAAGGTGAAACCCACGATGACAGGGCTGGTAGGCGTCTGGAATGTCTAGAAACCCCACTGTATCCACTTCGTGTGCGACGCTATCCGCAAGTCCTCGTGGCGGCAATGCGCATCCTGCGACCCTGATCGGTTTATAGAGCCGAGAACAGCTGTCCACCCGCCTAGGGAGAATGGGAGCAAGGCAGTGGGGATGCCGTCATGGCGTCAGCATCATGGAAAACTGCGGAATATCCGTGTTGACCTTCAAGGGGTTGGCGCTCTGATTCAGCTGTTAACAATAATGCCCTTTGGCCATCATGATGCACGCATCATTTGTGGTTATTTGTTGGCCGATCGATCGTGGGATTTGTGGCGCAGAAGGTGCCGCAACGCTGCATGCACTGGCGCGTGGCCATCGCGTGGCTGTCAAAGCATGCCGCCTGATATCCCCGGCTCCATCATCCGATCGACCCAATCCCACGCGCCGCGTGGCCAGGAGATATGAACGCGCTGGTTGATAAGATCCGATCAGTGTGCTTGGCTGCAGGAAGGATGAGCAGGATTTCGCAGCCGTCAAGCCTGGGGAAAACGTGCAGCGCGGAAGCATCAACCGTTTTGGTATCCTGCAGGAACAGTGAGCTGACATAACGGCATCTTGCAGAAGGAGCCGAGGGAAAGATCAAGAGAGAATGCACCTGCGAGGTGGGTTGACGATCCAAGCACCTCTGCTGTCGAGGAGGTCCATTACGGATTAAGTGGTTAGCTGTGGGCGTAGAGTTTTGTGAGGTATGAGTGTCTTACTTCCCCTCAGGCAGCACCCTTGTAACCTGGCCTTCTCCTAGGAGGCCCTGGAGATCTTAAGTCTCCGGGATCTGAGATCATGAAAGGACCTCCGGAACATGACTTCATTTCAGGGTCAACATGTCCATGGCATATATGGGTGTCAAGGGATGTCTTGATGATGATATTGAGGTCTGTTCTCGGAGAGTTTGCCGAGTTTATTGTGTGTAGTGATCTTTTTTGTTCTACATGAACATTGCCTTAAGATATTTGTGAAGGCCAACCTTGGCCATCATTCTGCTGAAAGCTCACACATCGAACAAGGCTGAGACTCGTGGGAGCCAGTGGGTGCTACGATATTCATGACGATGAAGGATTTTTACTTCAGCTGGACACAGTTTGTGCAGAATGGTATAACGATCAGTCCAGTCCAGAGGACTTGTGATGATGTCAGATATCATAGCCTTTCCCTGTTTATTCCTTTTCCATTTAACTGTCCTGTTAACTCTGTCTTCCAATTGCACAGGAACACAGTAATAGAGCTTTCAATTGGCAGTTCTTTGTACAGCATGAAAGCACATCACCCTGTGCTGTTGCGGTCTATGGACTATGGATGGGAGACAGTTCCTAGTGTTCACCCAACTATCCAAGATGACTGTGGCCAGAGTGACACGAAGATGGTTCCCAACTCACCACCCTCAGTTTAACTGATAGGCTAATTAACCATGCTCAGAGACATTATCTACTTAATTTCCAGTTAAATTGCTCCCTCAGGTGCCTCTGAATGACAACACTTTGCTCACATGACTGCCGGCAGGCAACAATTGGCCCTGTTACTCCAAACCTACGACACTTTCACGTGCTACTACAAGCGCATCGTCTGCTTTTGTGGTTACCAAGACAAAGTTGTCTTAGAGAGGGACCGAAAAAAAACAAAAGGCATGCCAGAGTGTAATTCTCGCCATCTCCACGACCGTATCAACCTCTTCCCCCCACCCCCCGGGCCCAATAAGTGCCAAATGTGTGACATTGAACAGAAGACCAAGCCCGAGAGGGTAATACAGGATCAGGACGAAAGCAAACACATGGCACAGGAGCATGTAACAACTGCCGTTAGGAAGCCTCGCAGCGGTCGGACAAGTCAGCGTGGCCGCCCTGCAAGGAGTAATTACTTCTGGAGAAAATTGGGGCTGATGACAAGGGCCTGATGGAATATGAGGGTCAAGATAAGCCACAAGTACCCCCGGAAGACGAGGGTAACAAAGAGGGGTTGGGCAAACAGAAGGGCCAGAAAAACATGGGTTGGCCTAGACAACGGCTTACTGGGACAGTTACCTCATCAATACAACCTCAGAACCGAGAGCTGAGTAAGATACCCATCGATCTGAACAGGTTTGTCCATAGGCATAAGAACCTATGATCCTCTGAATGAAAAAGCTTGCTTTGAGTTGGTGCAAGAAGGATTCTCATACTGTCGCTTGCCAATCGCATGCGATGAGCCGAGGTCAGTTATGGGAGTTGGAGGGCCAGAGGTGGAGATGAATTGTGAAATGGAAAAGAGGCATCGTCCCAAACACTCACGACTGCTTGTGCCGCATGGAAGTACTGAATTTTACACCAGGATTTACCTTCTACATAACTTGCACCGCTACACTCAAAAAGGTCTTTAACCATATTCGCCATTCGGGCTTATAAGGTGCCGCATTGTGTTCTAAGGCAGACACCTACCCAGAAGCCTAAAGGTCATCCAACTTAGATGGGAAGGTAGTTGATGAATGCCCAAACCAGTTCCATGCCAGCACCTACCAGCTCGCTCAACCACCGTTTGAAAACACCGATATCAGTCCGGGGAGGTCACTTTTACATGAATGCTGTGACCAGTTTGGCTGCTGGTGTTCCCAGTGGGCGCGCTTCAAGAGACAACTGAGATGGACGGTTAAATATTCGTACCATTGCATTGCAGTGACAGCGAAATCATGTCCCAGCATCACACCGAAAACGTCCCATCGACTACCCAAATTCTTCCTTGCCTCCAGAGTACCTCCCCAGAAAGCAACGAAAAAGAAGGGAAAGAAACGCCGGTCAGACGTCCATCGATACCCACCCCGCTCGAGCGCCCGAAGGCAGGACCTCGAGAAAAATCGGGGTACAGATCATCGCCACTCTCTATACAGCCACGGCCTTGAAGAGCAAATGACCGCTACCTTTTGCAGGTAGGGCGAGAGTAATGAAAAAAGGACCTCACTGTACGGGAATCGAGGATTTTCATTCATCAACCCGGGTGGGATCTGTGGCTCCGTTAGGAAACACAAGAGAGGACAAATACTATAGAAATGATTCTCTGAAGTATTGTCGCTTGAAGAAAGAAAAGAAGAAAAGGAAAGCCCAAAGCTGGCAACCGAGCCAGTTTTAAGTACTAAGGCGACGTGGCCTGTGCACGTTGCAAATTTGCAAGTAGGTGCACGTGACTTTTCGGGCTACCAAGCGGGGCTGCAGCTGTCTCGGCGCTGGAAAATGCCGAAATTTGCTGACCCACCATGTTGGCAAGCATCTTCCTGCGATCTTGTGAAATATGAACCCGATGATCCTTGTTGAGAGCAAAAGAGGAAGATTGTTGAGCAGAGCAGTAATTAATGTTCACCCTTGGTGTCTTGTTCACTTTCAAGTCTGTCTAATGTCTCTTACTCAAACTTTATACTATTATCACTCTACAAACAAAGATTTTCGAGGCTTTCTTTGTCCGTCCTTTTCTAACACTTTTCTCTCCACCCTTATCAACAAGTGTTACCTTGTGTCACCGTCTTTGCCATCCAGGCCTGCCCAACTGGCAACAACTCTGGCCAGGTGGATGCTGGGACAAGTTCTTCTTGCCGAGAGACTCTTAATGGAAATTTTATGCAGATCTCAGAACTTAGGCTCACTTCCTTGCCGGTACAGCGATGTGTTCCCGAACTTTCCAGCCTGTTGCCTTGCTTTCACCGTCTCAGGCCTTCCTGATCACCAACTCCTTCTTGCACGACCGCCCATCACGAAAGCCTTGTTCTCACACTCTTTAATTGCAAAGTTCCCTAAATGACTTACTCTTTGCCCTTCACTTCTGCCCGTTCTTCCCTTTTTGATAACTCTCAGCTGCAGAGGTCATCAATGCAGTACCACGGCATTACACGACAAGCTAGCTTTGATGAGTTGACACGGCATTCCCATCTTGGCCAATCGTGTTACACCAGGCTGAAACTGGAGGCGTCAAACGGGTTTCACTGACGATGCTTCAGCTGAGGATGACGTAACCGCCTGGGATGCTCCTCTCTACCAACGCCTGTTGACTGCTGAGACCTTATATTCCGAGCAAGAAGAGCTTCGTTAGCAGCAATCGGCGTATCGGAGACTAGTTCGCAATGCCCAGCTAACTAGTGCAGCATGGCTGAGTGTTTCGGTGTTGGCTTCGACAAGGCCAAAGAGGATGATGCTAGTTTAATCTTCGGATGCTATAAGAGGCAACTAAGACGAGGTCCGAGCTTCTCGCCTCCGTCACCACCCCTCTCGTCTGAGACAGAGGACAGCTCGATCTGTACGTCCTGGCCGTTGCAAGATCGAAGCCACGTAGCTCTCACCTTGATCATTAATCATATCCTGGACCTAGGAGCTCGTTTGATCTGGCTCCTGCAGTCCCTTTTATTGAACGCTCATCTAGTGGATTCAAAATCGCCGTGCAACCACTATTAACCATGAAGGATAACTCGGAGGTCCGGGTGACGACACGAAGGCTCAGTAGAACGTTGAGTGTCCGGTCGACAAACTACCAGCCCGTGAACTGGAGACGGTTGTTCTTTGCCCCAAAGTATCTGGTCTGGTGGATCATCGGCATCATTGTCTTCGTCATAAGCATCTTCCTTACTGTTTACCATCATAAAGTCGTCCATGTGCGTCCCGTCTGCCAATGCTCTCCTTTCACCAGACTTGGAATCTAACCACTCGCAGTACCTTCGTCCATGGTCAGAAAAGGTTCGTGACTTGCCGGCGGGGTGGGTAATACCCATTGTCATTCTCATCATTATATCCTTTCCGCCACTATTCGGTCATGAATTAGTAGCGCTGCTATGTGGCCTAGTGTATGGGCTGTGGATCGGATTTGGGATTGTTGCGGCTGGGACATTTCTCGGGGAACGTACGTGCCCCCATCGAATCACCTCCCATAACAGCTTTGATGTTAACAGCTTTGCTGCCAGTTGGCACTTGGTTCGCCTTCACATACCTCTTCCGTCGACGAGCCATCAAACTTGAGCGAACGAACCTCAACTACGGCGCACTCGCCCGACTAACCCGCGATGGCGGCTTTTGGGTCGGTGCCCCTCCCCCCTCCCCCTCCTCCTACGTCGTTGACATACTTTAGATCATATTCATAATTCGCCTCTCCGCCATCCCCTCCCACTTCTCAACCGCCGTGTTTTCCACCTGCGGCGTGCGCTTCTGGTCCTTTGCCCTCGCCACATTCCTCACTCTCCCGAAACAAATCTTTCTAGTCTACCTCGGTACACTCCTTGTGGAAACTGACCCATCAGGAAACCAAAACAAGAAAGAAGACCCAACCACGACGATAATCAAGGACGTTGTCTTTGGCGTCGTGTTTGTTGTCACTGTCGTCATGGCGGGGTACATTTATGTGCATATGCGACGAGTGAAGAAAGTGTTACTTGCTGAACAGGAAGAGAGGAGAATCAGAAAGGAGGAGGAGGCTTTGGCAAGGGCAGCAGCTGGATCAGAGGTGGTTCTTCCTCTTACGGTGAATGGTGATGACGTGGAAGTTGACATTGAGGCTGCAAGAAGTTCGATGTCAAGCACTAGGACTCCTCAACAGGGTTCGGGCGATCCTGGGGGACTGTTGGTCCAGCTTGGGGGTGGCGGATCAGGCCCGAACGCACGGGATGGGTCGTTATCGGCCGTCGTGGCTTCCATACGCCGGGAGTCGGGGTACGACCCCATTGAGCAGGAGGAAAACAGGCTGGCTGTGGGAGGGAATGCTGTACCGGCGAGCTTAGCCCCGAGCCGAGCAGATCCGTTGACATCGCCGTTTTTGTGGAGGCTGTATGACATTCAGGAGGAGGTTGGGAGGGACAGTCGGTAAAGAGGTTCCTCGGCTCATTATTCGGAGCTTCTGTGGGAAGAGGCGATGGGTTTACAGTTTCTTGACGTGACATTGACACCTCGGGCATGTTTTTGAGAAAGTAACGCCAGGAAAACTAGCCATGGAGTCTAATTTCGGGGTTTTCAGCCCTCAAGCTTAGCCTTCATTCAGCCTACTGTCTTTGCTCAGCCTCCGGAGGTGTGTTGGATCGAGTCCTTCCTTACTCCTCTATGGGAACACTCGACATGGCACATGCCTGTTATCTTGAGACCCGCTAACTCTTCACTAGTTGACACGTAAAGCCACTAAAGATCCCAAGACGCGTTATCTTGGTTTAAAATCAACCATATTTGACTGCTCATTTCCAAAACATCCGAGGATGGCTCGACAAGTCTAGCATCTATGTACTTACTTTTATGTAGGATCATTGGGCCTTGTGATCCAGCTTCCGAATGTTCAGCCCCACGTTCTGTTACCGCGTCTCCTTGAACGTTTCACCGTTCACCAAATAGCAATATTCCAGCCGCTCTTCATGTCGCCGACTATTTGAAAGCACCCAGCTGTTCAACGGTTGAGGAGCATGGCTGGTGGGCTTGAATATTTTCTTTGAATCTCTTATAAAGTTTTTTAACAGCCTCTTTTACAACATCATGGAACAACTCGTATTTAAGAGCTTTGTTGTTCGCTCTTAGATGTTCTAGTCTCAAACGCAACATTGAGATCCCTACAGACTGACTAGGACAGATCACCACTGCACCAAACGTGATCTCTTGCGGGGTTTCCACCTGAAAATCCTCTTGACATGGGCATTTTTGCGTTTTTGAAAACCACATACCACATACCACTTACTATCTCTTGTACTGATATGAGGGACTCACAAGTACACCCAGGGTACCTAGTTTTGGCCTTGGCTGGGCGATCCGCGAAGTATCGAGTTTTTGTACTTTTTGCACGTTTTTATTAGCAGACCGACAATCCCAAGAAAGTAGGAGATTTTGAAAAATGCAACAATCAGGATCAGTGGAGATTGAATGCTAGTAACAGAAACGATCTTGGATTGGAATGAAGCTGAAGTCAATCTGGCCTCGGGGATAGTAGCAGGCATATTTATATGCAGAGACGAAAGGTGCACAGCATATAAGATCTCTTTTCATGCCCTATTGTTGAAGGCTTCCCGTGAATGAAGCCAGCTAACAAGGGTCTTGAATTGATACCCTCCGGTCATCTGACTTAAAGCAGCCTTTGTCACATTCTCTCATAACAATGCATTGTGGCCGTTGAAGCGGCTAACAATAGCGCTAACACGGCGAACAAATAATGAATCCTTTGTGGGAATCCTGGACAATCTAGTGTTTGTCAAAGACATGGCTGCTTTATGCTGCTGATAACACAGTACAGGTCTCCGGTCCGTTTTCTGCTTGGTGCTTTTCACAGCCAACTGTTTGTTGGTTTGATCAGTGTCGTTTATTTACGTTCCTATCATGATTTCCATTATAAATATGAAAAGAAGGCTCTTTATCTTCAGTGCTTCGAACTCATTTATCAACGACTGATGGACGCGGTTGGAAAACATGGCCCTAATCAGGGTATGATTGTATAAATACTAAGCAACTTGAAAAAGCTCTAGGGCACCACTACCTTTCAATGGGATTAAGTAGCAGTAACCCCAGAATCCCGAATTTGTGAGAATGCCATATCAACTGGAGCAAGGAGCCAAAATGGTAGGATGCATCTTTCCCAGGTAATCTAAACGATGAATTCTGATGCCATTAAAGGTGAAGAACTGCTATGGACTCTCCTTGTTAGTTATTCAAATACCTAGCAGGTAGGCTGAATACAGAATGACACATGTACTAAGACCACACCATCCCAAAGCACAAGGCGAACTCATGATCCAAGTTGTAACCAACCAGTTATTGATACTCAGTTTATTATCATTCCATTCAATGTCTATCTAGTCCAGCAGCAATAGCAAAGTTTTACCCTACATTTCCGTCATTTCCCGTTTACTGTGCAAGGAATTGGAAATATGAAAAGCGGTTGAGATCTTTGGCAAGCCTGTCAGGAGTGGAATAGTCCATGCATCTCAATATGTCAATCCTTCAAGCCCTGGATAATTCATTGCTGCATGTAAGCCACATATGGGTTCGCTTCATAGGATGGCCCGGCTTCATATGCCGTTTCTTGATATGATGGCCGGCCTCTTCTATCTCTTCGTCTTGCTGTTCAGCTGGTTGTATCGACATAGCCTGCTGCGCAACCTTCTACAAGTACAATGGACGCTGTTGAGACGGTCCAGCCTGAGTAGATGGCGGCTCTGAAAACAGTGTGGGTTCCCAATGCATGGCCAAGGAGGGAAATATTTGGCCATGCCGGCCTTGGAACAAGATATGACATAGCGACTTCATAGTACAGGTTGGCACAACTCTGCCAGATTTGTAGGCGCTGCGTGCGCCAGTGCTCCACCTAGTGAATCTGCACCTCTTTGTAAAGTTCGTCCCCATTTTGAGAACCGCACCTTGAAGTTTGGATCTCGTATGACTGCACTTTTGAGGAAATTTTGCCACTCCTCCATTAGATAGGGATCGGTGGGTGGCAATGTGTCGAGCGCCTTAATGGCACATAAACAAAAACCAGAAACGTGGATAGATTTTTTTTCCTCTTTTACATCCATGGCTGCTTTTCGGCCACATTCCCTGATGATTTCACGTACGAAATTTGGAAAGCTGATACCTGCCCTATTGCAATTGGACGTGCATATTCTATATCCATTTGTTGTTCCCATATATACAGGGTAAGACCTTAAACACATGATGCTGAGTTCAGCAGGGCTAAGCCAGCCCGATGATGTTGATAGCGTAGGTCTGAGTATTAACAGGACCTTTCCTAAGCTTATTGAAGTGATGATTGTCGTTTCCATATTCACCAACACTCAAATGACTGGCGAGTTTTTAAATCTGCCCTAATATCACTCATTCTTGCTTGCGTAATAGGGTCACGAACCAGTTAGCCATGATGTTGAGCACTCTACAAAGACTAACGTACCTCAGGCAACCAACAGGTCAGGCATCATTCAATCTGGGTTGCTTTGATCACTCCTACGGGCTTAGGAAGTGTAATGGAATGTTTATTGGTAGGCTCTTGAAAAGCAATTATCTACGTATGTGACAGGATCAGTTGGCTCGGGGTTGGTGACACAGGTAAAAAACATGGTCGGAAGGATTACCAGCAACAAGCGTGAGAGCTCAACACTTCTTAGTTGGAATATGGGTCTATGATGCTCTATTGAGATGAGCATTGTAACGCCAATCCGTTCACCAATAAGGCTCAAAGGACTATGTAGACCAGCTGCCACCCCAATATCCCACCCTTGCCATTGACTCTAAATCCAAATCCCTTCAATTTCAATCTTCACTTTCCCAAGTTATTAACCACACTCCCCACCATAACTGCAACCTCCCTATCCCAACTCTTCCCTTTGCCTGCATCCCCCTTAGCCCCTGTCCCCGCTAACCCCAGGGAAGCTGCAAAATTCTTTGGCACCTCCCCTCCCCTCAACACACACTCCCTCAACGCATCCCCGACAACCTGCCGGTTCCCCTTTAGATTTCGTGCCGCCGCGCCCCCTTTGTTTACAATCTCCTGCACTCGAGGCGCCATGTTGGCGGCGAGGGTCCGCCAGAAGTAGCTTTGAAGGGAGCCCGTTTCGAGATGAGTTAAAAGAGGTTGAAGCAGTGTGCCTGAGAAGGCAAGTTTGGTGCTCAAGAGGGGGTGAATAGGGGGTTTGGTTGAGTCGAGAATTGTTTCTAACGCGAGAATATTCTGACAGCGGGCGGAAATTTCAGCAAGGGTGCGGTCTAGATTGGGAAGGTTGGTAAGTGCCCTTGACAGAGAGGCGATGGAAGATTGGAGGGCCGAGCGGAGGTAAGCTTCGAGGGCTGAGAGCATGAAGGTTGGGTTCCACTGTTTGGCGGGGGATAGGGGAATGGGCGAGAGGAGATAGAGAGAGGTGAGGGCGGAAATAGTGCGTGATTTGAGGTCTTCGGATTGGGCGAATGTAGTGGTGCCGACAGAGAATTCGCGGATGATGCGCTCAGCGGTTTCGCGGACGGTTTTTTCGACGGGAGTGAGGATGCTGTCTTTAAGTTGTTTGATCACCGTCACGTTTTCAAGGAGGGCAGCAACCTCCTTGCTGGAACCGCCTGCATCTTTAGTTCCAGCACTTCCATCGAACAACTCCCTGAGGGCCAAAACCGTGTGGACGCATCTCCCCAGAGCACGGTGATCCTCCTTGCCCTTAACGCCTGCATTCAACTCCGCAAACTGCGCTTCCAGCTGCCGTCCCAACACCAGCGCCCTCGAAACAGCCCTCATCAACCTCGTCGCATGCCATAACCGATCCACAACATCCCTCACTTCCTTTGCATGCTCATACCGCTCAATAACTTCCCTCTCTAGCTGCCGATACGAGTCGTTGACCGCCTTAATCTGCGGCTCTAGCGTATCAGCAATCTTTTTGCTCGCGTCAGTCTGGTCGCGGGTGTGAGAGAGTAAAGACCCCGCTGAGCGAGCTGTTAGTGAGTCAATATGTGTGTTAACTTCTTGGATATCGAAAAGAACTTTGGAGAGGGGTGTTGCGAGGTCGAGGGGTGAGTCAGAGGGGTTGTTGGTTGCAAGGACAAGAGTGTTAGCGAAGGAGTGAGGGGAGAATGTAGGGGAGAGGAAGGCCTCGTAGTCGATATAGGAGGGCTCGGAGGAGTTTGTTGGGAGGGTCTTGGTTGTCATTTTTGCTGTTTGGAGTGTCAACTCATGAGTTGGGATTTTTGAACCATTGAAGGTCACACTGAGGATGACATTGGGTAAAGTTAACGTTGTGTTGCCGTTGGGGTACGACGCGGCTGATTGGCTGTGTTCCAAGACAGTGGATTCAGTGGGTCTTGCACCTGCAGCCGTTCTCCGCAGACCACCAACTCCCGTCCGCGCTTGGCACAGTGAGGTCATCACAATACGGACAGTGCGGGCTGGCCTAGCGAGTTCTGGACCCGAGATATGAGGTTGCATGTCGAGATTTCACGAAATTCGAGTCTCAAAAGCCACTTTCTTGGACTAAACAGATCTTTAAGCATTGATCTTGCATTGGATTCAGGGTTGGTTGATTCTGGCATTGTCAATTCCAACTGCAATCCTAGGCTCACTGCGTTAAGCACAGTGTACGCGCAATCGGCCCCACTGCGTAATTAGCGACCTCGTCGCCCTGGCCGGAATTCGCGGCGTATCAATTAAACTCAAACTGTCAACGTCTTCGCTGACTACCCTCCTCCGTTCACATCACCAGCCTTATCGCCGCCACTGCCTCACTCCTCCCAGCTCTCGCTTGCTAAGCATCGCACCATGTCCTAGTGCCGACGTCCGGGCGCCAATCGTCGCTCGGCCATTGCTCAGCTTTCTCTGCTCGACCGCATTATATCGCTAGCTATTATTACCTACTGCTACCCCAATTCCAGTCACAATCGCTACTTTAGCATCATCATTGCTCCAAAATGATGCACCAAGTTCGCGACGTGCTCGCCTTCCCTGGAGGTGACAATTCCTCCGACACCGTCATCGGCGGCGTGCACTTTAACCTCTCGACCCTCGCCTTCTGGAACTACTCGCTCTACACGAATGGCACCGTATCTAACGGATCCAAGTGCTATCTCACCTTCAAACCGTACACGCCTGTATTTCTGTTCCCGAACGGCACATTTCTCAATGCAACGTCGTGTTACTCGCCCGTCTACGGGATCAATATGCGCGCCGGTGTCGGCATCGGATTCGCCTGTCTGTTCGGTCTCGCTCTGGTCTTGACGCTGGTCAATCTCACGAAACATGGCCGGCTGCATCTGCCTGCGGAGAAGCGGTTCTATCCGATTGGCAGGAGATGGCAGTGGTACTGGGGGTCGTTTGTCTGCGCGACGGCGATGATCAGCTTGTTTACCGCAGTTGATGTCGACCGGTACTATCTCCCGCAGCTGCCAATCATCTTAACAAGTTTTTTCTGGTTTCTCATGCAGATGGGCATCATGGCCCTCGTCTGGGAGGCAGTTCGACACTGGGGTAGCTGGATGGAGCGGCAATACGTCGATCCCGACCCGTTCTCCCTCCGGCAAGAAGGCCGTCGCTACTGGGTTGAGTTCTGGCTGCCTCTGATCTTCTACCTATTCCTCTGGCTCGTACGTCGTTCATACTCCCCCTTACACACCCCCACTCAACTAACATTTCTCTACGGCAGAACTTCTTCATGATCGTCCCACGCTCCTGGACACCCATCCAACACCAGCGCTCCCCCGAACAAACCCTTCTCTCCGCCGCGCCCACCGCAACCGATGTCCGCTTCAAAATTGCCTCTTTCTTCCTCTGTGTGTGCTGGCTCCTCACCGTTTTCTCCCTCGCCCACTCCATCAAGCACTATTCCCGCCCACACTCCCTCCTTCAAGCCCTCAAATCCATACCTTTGCGCTTCGTACTGATCCTCCCTCTCGCCGCTGTCGTCCCTGCTTATCAGGCCCTCGTCGCCTTTCATTTTGCTTATTCCCCTTTGAGAGTCGATGGTGACAAGGCGGCTATCTTTGCAGGGGGGTATGCGCCGTCCCTTCTCATTCTCTACATCCAGGCCTTCTTTGGGTTTGTCACGCCCAATGAGGACCTTGAACTACGGCGTCAGCGCCGCGAGCGCGGTGTTGCCCTCGATCAGGAAATGGGCGTCGTGCGCAAGCCGGCGTGGTGGCGGCTTGCAAGTGGGGATGTCCTCAACCCGGGAAGGGCAACTTCCGGGGAGAGCATGCGCGATTGGTTGACCCGGAACGCAAGACAAGTTGTTGGGGAGAGACCACGCACCGATGTTAATGGAACTTCCCCTGATGGGGTGGAACAAGACGCTGGTCGTGCCCCTGTCAACCTAGAAATGTCACCGCTTTCACTGGCAGCTTCACACCCGAATCATCCCCCCCCACAGTACACAGGTCACTCGGAAGCCCGACATCGCGAACGCACGCTGGAACTAGCTGCTGAAGTACTCTTCCCGCATGCACAGGGGATATTGGCAGAAGAGAGGGAGCGCAGGAGGAGGGAGTTAATGGAAGATGGCCCCCCGCCGCCGAGTTACTTGGAGGCAACGAGAGAGGGTGGCAGGTATCAGGACCATCCTTCCGGAGGCGCGGCTGTGGGGAGTGGGAATCCGAGGAGTGGGAGTGTGGGTGGGCAGAGTACAAGGTCGACTGCGGGGCAGCCGATACAAGTTAGGAGTATGTTGGATGTGTAAGGGGCTCAGGGGCCGTCTGCGTGACCGTTGGGAGGGAGGGCTGGATGGTCACCAGCCTTGGTCGCTGCACTGGAGCTAGGCCGAGTGGCTAGGCTTCTTTGTGATTCAATGCGCCGGAGTTTTGGATGTCACCACCCATCGCTAGGATTCAGTTAGGGTGACGAGACGGTCAATGAGGCTTTCGTCCCCCGCGTTTCAGAGCCTTCTGAGCTCTGACTGGCCAAAGCTCGTTCGGTGCCTGTTCAGCACAATCGCGCTGGGGCTTCACTGCTGCCTAGGCTGGTCTTCCTTTTCTCCGAACGCTGCTGACTCAGCCCTATTAAGCTGGAAGTGATTGAGAAACTTCCTTGTCCGATATCATCGGCGTCCCTGGCAGGTACTGAAACTTTTGTGCTTGTTCATTGGCTGCGTTTGTGAGGGCTGCCCTACAGCAGGGCTGGCATTCCAGTTTGGAGGGTTGAGTGCATATGATTGCAACATGGCCAGGGGGTGTCGAATGGTTCCTCGAGCCTTTATCCCTTTTCTCTTTGGTTAGCTTCCCTCCTTTCTGACTTACGTCTCTCCCCGGCAGGCTGGCAGGAACAGAAATCTTCTCATCACGTAACTGCAACTAACGCATTTCCCCTTCACATCAATACTCGGACAAGGCTGCGGCACTTCAGACCAGCTGAAGCCTTTCCTGTACTGACAAACCCCACGCATATATCAGATCAGGTGGCACTTATCATCTTCTGTGTATGGGACTGTACATCTGTATTCTCGGATTTGTCTGCCTATTTCTGTTCGGGTCAAGTAATAGCCACAACTCAATACATTTCATACATTACAGCCAAGCACCATGGCCTTCCCCTGTCAAAAGTGCACAAATCAACACCATGCTTCCGACTTGAGCAGTACACCCTCGGTAAGTACCATCTTTGAGCATTCGCTGTGTGCTTCCGGAGTCTTTTCCCTACCTTGACGTAACACCGGTAGCATCCCTAAGGGCTCCAATCAAGTGGAGCAAAGACACACAAACTTCCAAAAACATACAACACCGAAGGTTCCCCAGTCGTCTCCGACCTGAGTACTAACCCGGCCCTCAGTGGCTTGTCTATGGGAGAGCGGACGGGATCCCGAATGTTCCACTGGGTGTGGTCGTATGTGCTATAGAGTTTCCAACAGCTGCCTAATAAAGCCGTTCGCCCTGCGCAATCCATCACCATGCTCCCTGACCAGTCTGGGATTACAGGAGCTGGTAAAAAGCAACTTTTTCGGCAACTCTTACTGACGGATGGAAGATTTGTAGGAAGAGGAAGTTGTGTAGTGAAAAGTTGCCTCAAGGATTGGAGCGGATGGGTGTCTGCTGGACGACAGCACAGCACGTCGTGTCAGGCAAACCCTAACTTAGAATCCACAACTCTACTGCAAAGGTCAGAACGATAAACGAAAGGAAGACAGCAACAAACTTCGCAATGAACAGTCGTAAATGGTAATGACCAGACACAGAAAACAGTGAGGCATGTTGTGCTGGCATTAAAAATTGTCAAAAAGGAATTTGAGTCCACCTGACCTCCTCAACGTTTGCATCAACCGCGAATCGGACGCGGGGCTCATCGATGGCAACGATGAATTTTACCACTAAACCACTGATGCGTAGATGCCTAGAGCGGGTGGACAATGGGCATGGCATTATGGGTGGGGTAAGGTAAGTAGGGCTGGTCAGAAAACAAAGCCTTGTCTTTGGGTGATAGGTAAAGGTCAACTGTGGAAAGATACAATGCCATTGACCTTGTCTCATCCTGTCGTTACAATTCCAGGCTGTGCATGTTGAGCGCATGGTCAAATGTTCTTTCGTCAACTCATTACATCACCCGACATCTGGTCCAGAAAAACTTGGCAACTTGTCCAATGTAGTCATGCTTATCAACCTACTCGTCCTATCCATACTCATCCAACGGAACGAGTACAGGCGACATCATAAAGTAAAAATGCCAGCAAGCCTATTCCAACAAACAATCGAGAGCGATAGATAGAGAGAGAAAAAGAGAAGGGTATCCAATCCATGACCAATCAATCCATTTGTTCTAGCCCTGTGTCTGCTAAGCATCTCCCCCTCCCAAATCTCTCCTCATTCAATTCAAATAATTCATCGATCGAAGCAATTCATGCTTACCGGCGAGAGTAAGTTCCAAGCCTATCGCAGCCAGCCTAGCCCAATCCATTCCCACACCATCAACATCCCATCCGCATATCATTCATCGTCATCATCAGAGTCTGAGAACCAAGAGAAGAGAGGAGAGCCATGTCGTAGCATCACATATCCAAAAATCCAAACTCAGAATTCCTGTCCCAATAAAACGCTCAAAGAATCAAAAAACGTGCAGACCAATCTAAATAGTTAAGCCATCCAACTCCAAGACGTTACAGACATCACCAGTAGATACCAAGAAATCCAACACTACCTAGATAACGGGAAATGAAATGATTTAGAGAAATAGATAACAGACCATGCCCGCACGTCCGTCCGTTTGTGTAAGCAGCGATCGTCCGGAAAAACTAAACGATATATGTGTCTATAGCGAGTGCATGGGGTATCTCGAATGTAAAAAAACGAACGGCAAGAAGGGGAATGCTGGCTCGATAAAAAGAGCGAGAGTCGTCCAATTCGGCCTTGGGGCTGTCCAGAATCAGATCAAGTATAGTATGCCATCTGAGAATGCGGCTGATCCTAGCATCACAGCATCTCGTTCATCCACGGCGCTGCATTAGCCCATCACGACTATTTCAAGCTCCGCCTCAGTAAGCAGTTCCCTCACTGGTTGCCACAGCCACAAGCGCCTGCAGCCTTTTCATTGACTCAGACGTATTACCTGACTGGTTCGGGGGGCGTTCCGCAGTATACGGATTGGGCTCCATGACAGGCACGGTGTGCTGACGGACGGGAGGAGGCTGCTCCCGTGCAGGGAAGCCCTGGAAATTGCTCAGGTTCGGATGCAGCATGCGGTCCATACGGGGTCTGGTGTCGTACGTCGGCTCCCGAGGCTGCGGAGGAGGCGGGGGAGCAGCAGGAGGGCCGTCATACCAACTCACATGACGTGGCGGTTCACGAACGGGCTCGGGAGCGGGAGCCGCAGTATACTGAGGAGGCCCAGAGGTTGTGTACTGGGGGGGACCCGATGCAGTGGTGTACTGTGGGTGTGGTGGGTAAGGGGTCGTGTAGGTTTGCGGCTTGGGAGGGTCGCGCACAGGCTCGTTGCGCATCATCAAGGCCTGGTTGGTCTCGTGGGCCCAGGCACCGGCACTGTCTCTCGGAGGGGTGTTAAGGTCCAGCCGGTTAATGCCACGATCCAAGCTCGAGTCCCACTGCACGGTCGGCCTGCGGTCTAGGATGGGATCGGGCCGAGGACCAGGTCCGGGCCGGATGGCAAGCTCTGTGTCAACTCTCATAGGCGAAAGAGCACGTCTGGGAGGGGTTGGCGGCCTGATGTTGTCGAAAGATTCGATACCTGGCAGACGGATGGGCTGCGACAGAGGCGGGGGATGATCGGAAATGGTTTCGGGGGCGATCTGTGAAGGCACCATAACTTGGCTGAGCCTGCTTGGATTGAAATCACGGCTGTCTGGATGCCAAGTCCGACGCCGCCAAGTATCATCTGCCACGGTCGACACAGATTCCCTCCTCTGCCATGTCGGCGCTGAACCCGCAGGTGGTGACAGGATGCTGCCCTGAGCCGGCGAGGCGGACTCGCTTCCGGAGGAGCCGATGGCCGAGGGACCAAAGACAGGTCTGGCGCTTGGTCCGCCAGGTGACTGGAATGGGTTGCCGCCAGAGGGAACACTCAGGCGACGTGCAGGAGTGGTCTTCGAGTCGACATACATGCTTTGCGACCGGACATGGCCATGACCCCCATGACCGCCGCTGGGAGCCACGATGGGGTTCCACCGAGGGCTGTTCTGAGCAGTAGAAAATGTAGCTGAGGTCGGTGTGCTGAAGTCGCCAGGCGAGGGAGCACGGTATTGCGGGCCCTCACCAGATGCATAATGCTCAAACGATGGCCGGGCCATGGGATCGTTCACGACCAGCGGTGGTGGCCGCCGACCATTGTCGCCAAGAGTGAAAGCTGAGCCGGTGATTGACGACAAATTGGCGATGTTGGATGTGGACAATGACTTGGCATGGCCACGAACTGGCCCAATGCTCGAAGTTGTCGTCGACCGGACCCTGCCTGTCGTCCTGCCTATCCTGTCTGTCCGAATCTGCCTCTGGTATCGTGTGCCGGTCGCAGCCAAAGAGTCAATCGGAATGTCCTCGTTCAGATGCACCGTCTGTGCATGCTGCCGCAAATTATCGAGTCGTGAGAAGCGACGAGAGCAATGACATTGAAACGGGCGCTCGCCTGTGTGTTTTCTATGTGCATACTGTCAGCGTTGTGTCATGTAAACTAAGGATGAGACATACCTGATATGACGAGCGAGGTGCTCACTCCTGGTAAAGCTGAGGTTGCATGGAGGATAGTCTGTGCAGTAGAAGCGCTGCGACTTCTTCTTCTTCGATTTGTTTCCATCGTTGCTCTCGTCCCCAGAACCGTGACCCTCATCATTGCTTCCCTGTGTCCCAGTCGACCCTGCTGCCCCGCTCGTTCCTCCTCTTGCACCAGCCGCACCTGGCTCTCCTTCTGATTCGTTCATCGCAACATCATCGGATTTCGCTCGACTCGGTTGCTGCGAGTGTTCTCGTTCTCTTTTTTGGCCAGCCGTGGGCGGTGTAGATTCAGGGATCGCTACGGAGTCGGGAAACCGGTCATTCGGGAGGGGCTTCTGTGAGGCTAATGCGCCAGCGCTGAAAACGGCGTCTTGCGCGGGTCTCGGAGTCTGCGAGGGGGCGGTACTCGGACGCGGGGTCATCGTCGGGGTGGCGATGGTGTCCTTACGTTGCTCCGCCGGAAGCGGACTGTTAACTGGACGGAACGTGGCAGCCATGTTGATGGGCTGGGGTGTGTGTGAGAGAGTGAAGGGAAGAGAGGTGTGAAGCAGGGGAAGCAGGGCAGCAGCTGGGGGTACTGAGGGTTGATATGCGTCCAGCCTAGCGAGGCTGAGACGACGAGCCGGCTGCAGGGGCAAGGTGCGGGGGAGGCTGTCTGGGAGCTTGGGAAAGTGTGCAACAAACCGAACGGGAAACAGGACGGAGGCGGGACAGCGCAAGGAGGGGCACCGCGCTAGGTGTGTGGGCGAGTGGGCGAAATGTGTCAGAAAGGAGCCAGGGATGCGGATTAGGGTAGGGATCGCTCGAGCGCGAGGGTTGCTGATGGAGCAATGCAGTGTAGCTCGCAGAGTGCGATGTGTTTGATGGCAGCAAGGCGTCGACAGTGATGCTGGTAGAACTTTGTTACACAGCTCGATGGATCAGTGTGAGCATGTGGTGTCTTGAGGATGATGGGGATGAAGAGGACAGGCACCGGAGGGCAGGCAAAGATGGGGATGGGGGCAGGCCCTGAGCTCAAGGCTCTTCGCTGTTCCGTGTAATCCGCGGTGGGCGGGACCAAAGTGGGGATCCTGGCTGGGTCCGGGAGCGGCACAGGCACAGAGGCACAGGCTGAAGTGGAAGCGAGGGCGATCGCAGCAGACACTGACCTTCTGGCGTTTCTGGGAACCTCTTCCCCGCGAATTGCCGTCGGTGATGCTTTTTCGAGCTCGGTGCTCAGACGTCGAGCAGCACGGTTCTTGACTTACTGTGGCGGACTGGGACCTAGTCTTCGAGGTCCCTGACAGGATAGAAAAACGGGCAGAACCCAGAGCAGCCAAAGAGAGGTGGCCTGGTTCCTTGCTCGCTGCGCAGGGAGACGGACGTGCGAGGGGTGGCAACTGGCACGCCTCTTGCTGCAACTCTGGCTGCACCTTGCACTTTTTGCTGCGATGCTGGCCCTGGCCCAAGATGCTGCCCCACCAGCTGCGGGGCCGTATGTAAGCACGATGGAGAAGCACAGGTTAGGGTTGTGGACAGTGGACACAGCGATACTTCGCTGCTGGTACATTACGATTCCAGTCGACGGTTTGTGGTTACGAGCAGCTCCCAAAAACGTGTGCTGCGTCCTGATCCGGCCTGCTGGTCCTATGCGTCTCTCTCAACCAACCGCGTCGTGCGAACAACGACATCGACGACGAGCCTGCAGCCCTTATTTTCCACAAGTACGATATGCGCAATTCCCAAGGATTTGCTCTCGGCCGGCTCTCGTTGGCCCGTCTGGTCTGTGTTTCTGCTCGCCCTGGGGTGCCGAGGCGCCGGTGGATGGCAACACAACCAACCACCGTCAACCGATGGGCAACAATGACCGCCTGCCCGCTGCAGCCCATGCAACGTACTTCCCGATCAGACCAAATGCAGGGACGAGATGTACTTATGTACCTACGCCGTAAGCACTGCTGAATCAGGCTTCAGGTGAAGACAAGGTCCGGCTCCAGAGTCTTGGATCGACGCACTCCCGTTCGCAGCAGCCCGTTAGCACTTTGGGGTTTTGTGGTCCTGTTTGAGCCAAGGGACGGGATCAGGCCGGTCAACGCGCGGCTTGCACAGCTGCTTGTGTCAAATAGATTTGTTAGTTGATGCTGAGAAACAGCAAACGATGCGGCAGATCAAATGCCCGTTGTCAACAGATCGCGATGGGGAAATATCGAACCCACAATGGATAAGATGCAGCCAACGGTTGGCCAGAAATTAGTGCTGGCCACGATGGACATCGACGATGACAAACAGACGGAAGCATTTTGGTGTGATGTGTGCGCTTCTCACGATGCTGGTGGAGGTGTTGGCACTGGCAGGGCTTGGCAGCAGCAGGGAGAGCCACAAGTGGCCCGAGCACAAAGTCCATCCATGCTTCCAGGGACCAAAGACCAGGCGCCAAGTCACCTGGCCAGGAACCTTTCAGAAGGGGGCAACGCTCAAAGACCGGACGATGAGAGGATGATCGAAGTCACTCTTTCCTCACAGGCTCAGCCAGTCCATGAATAGAAGCTGTCATACGCCGTTGGGAAGGAGGGCAGCTGCCACACTCCCGCAGAAACGAAACCCAGCAGGAGCCGGAGGTCTAAACGGTGTCAAGGTATGAGAACCCTGACGATTATGGGAAACACTAAAAATGGCTAGCCTGGCCCTCTGCGGGAACCCGACCCGCGAGCGCTTCTGTCCTTTTTTCTTCCAGCCACGGATCTTCCTTCCGTGGAGTCATTTTAAACCTGAAGCTGCTATCACAGCTTGAGTATTATAAAATAAAAACGACTTTTAAAGTCTCTGATGTCGTAATTTGTTTCGGCCCTTTTTCGCTGTCTGGCTGAAGAGCTGCCAAGGGGCAAAGCAGACAAACGTCGATGGGATAGTCCCCAACCCCCTCCTCTCCTCACCCATCCCTCTCCCATCGTGATATGTCATCATTGCACAAGTCGCTGACCATCTGACTCGAGGTTGCACCTCGCGCTTGATGAAGGGCATCCTCTTGGCGGCCAGCCCAAGGGTGGAATATCAACCCGAATGCACCACTCTGCGCGTGCTCCCACATTCACCTCTGCTTTGTCCTGCCATTGCCAGCATTTGGCGCAGCTGCCGACTTCGGGTACCTGGTAGCCCGTGGCCCCATCGATGCAGCTGCCCTGCCGGGTACCTGAAAGCAACTCGCCCTTCCATCCATCTGGGCGAAACCCACTACCCAGACGCGACACAACCCACAGCAGACAGTTGCCTCACAGGTCCGTTACCCAGAGCCCCCGTCGCACAGGCACCTTTCAATCGGTCCGGCAGTGGCATTCCACTAGACGCCTTCCACTGCCGCGGATAAGGTTACCATAACGGAAATAACGGGCAAAAGGGAGAAAGCGCCATGGAGCCCTGAGCCCTGATAAGCATGCAAGACTATACTTATTTTGAACAACTGCTGCTGCGAGTAAAATCATGTTTTTACATCTTCGATGTATCATCAGGGGATGTGAGTTGCAAGGCACCCGGTTGGAGCCAAAATTGCTGCAGCGACCTTTGTTGTGCGGGCTCGATTGTGGGGTTCACAGAAGATCCCCGTCAGAGCCCATGTGGGTATTGCGTCATCCTTGCCTTTCCTTGAGCTTGAACCCACCAGGGACGATCCGATTGTGGGGCCCAGGGCTGAGAGCTTTGGCCGCCACCACGCGTGAGCAAAAAGCCAGCCAGCAAGGTGCAATATTGTGTTTGGCCGGACAGATGGGTTGGGTTTTTCACCACCAAAACCTCCAGCTAACGTCTTGAAACCTGTCCATACGTCAGCGCCGAAAGTATCCAAATCCTTCTGGAAATCCCCGCGGCCCAGGACCTGCATAAACGAGGCACCATCGGCACACACTGTCAGCCAAGAACATCGCGCTCCAGGCACAGGTGACCTTGAGCGGACCTGCCTGCGCCCGGCCACACCGAGTTTCCTGCTATGCACAACCAATCATATTGAGCCTCGATCGAACAGGTAACCTTGGAAAATGTCGCTAGACTTCCCATACATGAAATTTACAACGTGGCCGTAGCCTAGACCTCACCCATCAACAGCAAACCTATCAGTCCACAGTTTATTGCTCAAGGTATGACAGGGCGCCGTGACGAGAGTTCAATGGATCTTAGAAGCAGCAGAGTTGCGGTCAAGACAGAATAACGCAGCAAGCTAGGAACAAGCCTGCGGCTTGCACGTCATCGCGGCGGTCTTCTGACCCGATGCCTGTTGCCACATGCCACCTGTCGTGACAAAGCTGGCCTTGCAGCTTCCGGGTTCCTTGCTTCTGAAAGTCCGATAACGTCAGACGATACATAACTAGTCAAGTCTTTGCAGACCCGCACCGCAGGGCGATCCATATTGGCTCATTGATTTACAGGTCTTCTGTTCACCCATCCACGTTTCGAGATCAGGAAAGTCATAGCTCGTCGTGGCTTATCTAGGGTAGCGCTTCTGGAGGAGGCTTGTTGGGAGTTTCGTGGTGGTTGTCCCTAAGATGGGAATCCGAAAGTTCCCACGAAAAGTGTGGGGTTGTATCTCGATCACACGTGCCAGCACGGGATGTAACGGGGCTATCAGAGCCAATTACTAAGCAGGCCCACTCAGAGTTCAGGGCAAAGCAGTTGCCAGGTGCGTTTGTTGCTAGCATGCCGGGGACAGAGTCATCGAGAGTGTGCATTGTAGGGATGCACGAGAAGCAATGCAGCCTCTCGAGGCGTGAGACAGGAACATTGACCTTCCAAACCGGGTTGTTTACTCAAACCTCATATTTCAGGACGTGACAGCGAGATGTTTCTGCTTCAGCTTCACAGCATCCCCTATGTAATGTGTACAGATCATGTCATCAGGCTAGGCGACGGGACCAGCCGTGAGAAGACTCAGATCTCGATCACCGATGTGATGTAGCATCGGCTGGATATCCAGTTCATGGCTAAGGATCCCGATCCAACCATCTGGATGTGGTTAAGCTCAAGTAGTCAGCGCCAATGTTTTGTCAAGACTGAGTCTCAACATCCGCTGAGATTCAAGAACAATCTAACAAAGCTCTAAAACAACCAAACTACCTGACACTTTCTTATTCATAACACTATGCTAGTATTCAATCCAAGCTTACCAAAAGCCAAAACTTTTCACTCACACGGATTTTCATCACCTGTCGCTCTCGATCTAAACACCTTCCCACTCCTCCTCCACGCCCGAATCATCCCCAATATCCTCTTCCTCTCCCCCCTCAACTCATGCATCAACGATTTCGCCTCTCTTTTCGACAAACTATTCTCTTTCGTCTGAGCTTGTGGCCCCTCTCCGCCACTCATAACCTCCAGCACTACATCCGTCTCCCACGTATCCAACCCCAGCTGCATCTCCATGCCTCTTGCCATCACCGCCTTACTCAACGAACTATCAATAATCCCCTTCTCTGTAGGGGTGATCGGCTCATCAACCAGCTTAGATACTGTGCCCTCCAGAAACTTCTCCGGCCCGAGGGCAATCGTATCACAAAGAACCTGCTCGACAGTATACGGATCGTCGTCCAGCCCTAAGGGGTTCGCATTCCTTGCGATGCTCTGCGTCTTGGCGTACACCTTCCAGTAGTTCTCGAAGCCCTTGTTTCCTCCTCGCCGCCATTCTAACGGGTCGGTAAAGTCCAAATACTTCAGCAAAGCATTAACATGATGTCCGTTCACGATAATCCCCCGCACATGAAAAACCAGCAGATTATCCGTCGTCGCGCCCGGCCCCCTCAGCGTCATCGCGTGTAATCGGTGCAGACTCGGGTCCCTCGTGTTGCTGAAGTCTGCCATCGGCGCCGGCTTGTAACCCGCGGCATCATCTAGCGTCATGCCCCACATGAGACTCATTAGCCGCCGGTGACTGACCGAGGGTGTGGTGTACCGAAAGGGTGGGTTGATCTGCATGTTATAGTGGATGCACCAGCGCAGGCCGACGGCGAAGGCGCCGGCCATGAGGACGGTAGTGACGCTTGGGAAGCGGATGGTTACGTAAGAGAAGAGGAGGTCTTGCGGTTCGTAGACAGCATTGGGGTTGGTTGGGTCGAAGGGTGGATGTGGGTTGGTGGATTTGACGATGACGTTGTTAGGATTTGATTCAGTTTCGATGTAGAGGAGTTTGTTGGCCGGGTGGTCGAGGTAGCTTATCTTGATACCGCGGAGGTGCTCATCGAAGAAGCGTGGGGGAGGGCATGGGTTGAGGGGGGTACCGACTAAATAGTACATCAGGACGTGCCAGTCGTGGTGGTTGACGTCGAGGATTTCCATGGAGGTGCCTTGGTTTTGGATCTTCCACTTCCAGACGAGGTTGCTTGTTGTTTTCTTTTTTTTCTTCTTGCCACCGGTCATGGTGCTTGTAGCCGTAGTGGTGATGAGTTTCCCCTCTTCTGGCTGGTCGTCAGATGCCGTGGCCTCGGAGAAGCCGAACCGGAACTTCTAGCCCAGCGCGGAGATCTCGTTCCATATTTGTTCGTCTGTCATGTCTTGTTCTACTCCAGCGGTGACGCCCTCGATATGGTCCGGGTCAACTTTGAGGTAGTTGCTGATGTCGTAACCGTAGGCGAATGCAATAACTGGGCCAGGCCATTGACATATCGAGTCTCCGCTGATTGTGTTCATGTTGGTTGCTCTGTTGACCCAGCGAGGGTGGACCTTTCCCATCGGCTTCATCATGCTTGTTGGGAAGCCTGTTCTCACCAGTTAACGATCAGCGAAGGCAATGAAGGCTCGCATCAACTCACCCAAGATAACCCCGTGCCCCAGCTTATGCATCGCCTGCAAGATCTCCTCCGTTTGCGAAGGCCACAATACCGCCAGCTCCAACCACTCATCCTCCGGTCCTATATCCTCAAAATACTGGTCGAATATCGGATGATCCACCACAATCTTATCCCCCTGCACCTCGATCCAGAATAACTCCCACTCTCCCTTCAACGGATCACAGATAATCGCGCGCCGATGGTTCGGGCTGGGCCGTTGGTGCACATCACGCCGCAAAGATTCGCCCTCGTAAGGGTACATCTTGAACTTCTCGCACAGGTCGATCTTGACCCCGCGCGGCTGCTTCAATAGCTTGCATTTCGTGCTGCAGAAGCGCGCATTCTTGCATGCGCAGCGGATCATAGGCTGGTCAGCTGGGATCTCCTTCATGCAGACTAGGCATACTTCGGCTTGGTTTCGCGGCTTGAGGCCCCAGAGGTGCAGTTGGTGGGTTTCCTCGCTGCTGGCGAGGGCTTGGTCGGAGATGTTGATCTTGAAGGGCATCAGGCCTTTATGATCAGAAATACTGGGGGCACGATAGATGATAGGTGGAGGATTCGAAATGCTTGGCCTGTGTCTCAAGTACCAAATCTATGTGACTTTACCAAATACATATATAGTTGAGCGGATGCAAAATGGTACGTGGTCGGATGATGCATCACAGGTTCCTGGAGCATTGGCATCCAATTCTGAGTGTTCTGATGCAAAGGGAAGTCGAGAGAGCAATGCAGTTGACAAAACACGATGTGGCCTATTGCAGGCAGGTAGTATCTCAGGTAAGCCTTCTTGTTTTCAATTGGTCTCTGATAATGACGTCTTCAAATAGTACTAACAGTGAGCGATTGCAAAACCTTGTCACATTGAAAAAACTTAAAAGTCTAACTCAATTGCAAGCACTTTTCAATGCCTGCAGTCCTCCAAGTAAATCACGAAGTATCATTCATTGTTTCCTCGTCTTCCCCAGTTACAGACTCACTACATGTATCTCATAATGCCGGCTCAACAGAATCACTCTGATATCGTGCCAGAATAAGGCAGAGTATTTTCTGCGCTGCATACAACGTTCACCAGTGAAGAACTTACGCATAATCAAGCATTTGTGAACCTCTCTAATCATATAAGCCTCGGCAGGTGCAAATCCCTCAAGGCCCGATTCTGGGACATTGAGATGTGTCACCTTTCTAAATAAACTTGGTGAATAGAAAAGGAGGTGTAGCTCTAGTGACGAGTTATTGTTGTCCTGTTGTGAAAGCTCGCAGCCAAACCTGGGCTATTGATCATGAACTTGCATTCAGATCTCAAATGTCAAGTTATGCTGATCAGCCCTGGTGATGTAAACAGGGAATTTAAATGCCTTTGTAGAACTGTTTACTGAGAAATGGTATGCCCAAAATCCGTTTGGAACGTCATTGATAACATGATATGAGCCGCAACCTGAATATGCGTCCAAATTTGAAATCGCAAATCGAAAATGAATCGGCTGTTCCGAATCTGATGAGAGTACTAGGTTGTAATGACAGTTAGAGCACGGAGATCAATATATGTATTGACATGGAAATACATGCTCTATACAGGTTCATGGTATCCTGTTTCCGGATATATTTCCTTCCTTTAAAATGTTCGAGATTTGAGCTCATCTGCCGTCAAGAAGCAAAGTTGTTCTCGTTCCCCATGACAGAATGGACGGTATTTTATCGCTTTATGTGTCACAAGTTCTTTGAGATGATCCTCCACAATCTCAATTTAGATGCAGTAGTGTTGAATTCTGCTAACCTGTTCAAAGAAGGCCATAGTGAAAATTTATTACGACGAGGTTATTCATCTCGGATACAAGGAGATATGCTCGTAATTCTCGAGTAGATTTTTGCGATGGAGCCCATTCTTCCGGCTCTATTTCCGTCGGGATCGATAACTGAGGTGGATCGTTATATTAGCTGATTGCTTTGCTCAATGAAGAACATTATTCCGACGGTAGAGAATGACAATGTACATATCAGTCAAATAACGAAGGTTGCGATCTAGGACCGGAGTCATCAACCCCATATCATCGTCGATTCGTTGTTATCCCTCCAAAACTGTAATCAGCCCAAAGAGAAAACGAAAGATCCTTAGACTTTTGATGATCTCCTCCTGCAGTCAATGAAAGGCCCGGCGTCCTTCACCGTAAATCAGTAGCATATGCACGTTAAATATTCCCGATAAACAATATGCTTCGTCTTCCAGTCACTCAGTTTCCCTTTTTCTAAACTACGGCATTCTTTTCGCGATTCTATGGTCTCATAAGTCCCATCCGAGGAGTGCACGCTCCGTGATTTCTGTTGTGTCGTCCAAGTTCTGGAGTAATTGGTGTTTTGTGCCAACGATTGACCAATCCATGGCGTAGGAAACCATTGTGAGAGGCACAATAAGTTTCTGGAGACACCAACCACTTGTGAATCAGTGAGCATTGAGAAAGTCGCATTTTCACTCCCAGGGTGATTGCTCCGAGGAGAGTAATGGCACGTCCTTCAAGACATAACACACCGTTGAATCTCAATGCCAAGAGAACATAGAGTTAATACTCTCCGAGACCTCCGCACTCGAGGTTTTGTTAATGCGACAAGTATTAACCCAGGCCCACATGTACTCATTAGACCTTGCCTCGGAACAAAAGTCTCAAGTTTCACCTATCCTCTCTTGGTATCAGGCTTGGATGATAGAAGTATGAGTTTTTGGAATGATACCTCCCCCCTCCTCCCATGTGGGGGAAAGGATGATGTAGGGGGGACACTGTCGTTTGTCAGAGAAATCTTTGAAGCGTTAGAGTTTTGGTATTAATAAGCCACATGACGCTCTTAACCAAAAAAAAAAAAAACTCAGCGTGGACAGCAAATAAACTTGGACCATCTACACATAAGGATGTCTGAGGGAGAGAAGAGATGGAGTTAAGGTGTCGAACTAATCAGCTTGAATGAGGGGACGATTTTCAGTCCTACTTCTCGGCACCGCCACTCAGCGCTTGCTGAGCAATTGTGGGTAGAGAGCTGTCTTGAATGAGTGTATCAGAAAGAGAAGAGTGCTACTTGAGTTCCTTATAAGGAGTGACTAAGAGTATAGTATACATACATAGGAGAGCAGAGAAGAATGGAGCGTGTTGATCTCCACGTACAGTGAGTCCTATGACTAGGTCCCACCTCAGCGTGACAGGAGAACTATCTATGTGATCTCTATCTGTATGCTATACAGTAGCGGCTGGTTGCTTCTACTCTTTTTCCCTTCGATATCTGGTGCTTTATAGTAACTGGCAGTCTTGCGTCAAATTTCACTTAAGATGGTATATTTTGACTCCTCACTTTATCCGGAGCTGACTCCTACTCTCTATCATTTACCTCTCGAAAAACGTGACGTTTTTAGGTATCGTTTGCAAGTGCAAAGCCAGTCAACCAGATCAAAGTCAAAGCTCAAGGATGCAAGCTAAAACCTAGACAAGTAGTTATACTCCAGGAAGAAATTGTCAAACAATGAGAAGACCTTTCGTTCTTGTGTTGGCATAATTGTTTATGGTAGGGCTCAGGTCGTCCAACACAGAGAGTTCCAGTGCTGGCACGAAGTCCGGCTTTTTTTTATTCCATGGAAGCTATAAGACAACTTCTCCAGGAATGAACTTCCTACCTTCGAAGATAACACTTCTCAACAGCTTGAAGTCTTCAGAATGCCAGGAACCATTAAGCGGATTTTCGAAGACTGGAACCCACCTTATTTCACAAGTTGAGGATTGCATGTTTCACTCTCTGTTTAGTTACAAAAAAGGAAAGCTCAACGCGAGAAGGCAAGAGGTCTCCTTTGTGAGCAGGTTGTTTGCACGAAGACCATAGATTTTACTTCTGTCTTTGTGTTGACATAAGCCAAGAGCCTTCCCGAATCGGATGGTATTGTAGAACATTCTCTGGTCAGCATGCCAGGGTTTTCTCTATCCCTGTTGATGAGCTTCGGACGTTCGAGATTACCAATATTTATCTGGCTACTCAATTTTCTGCGTTGGATTTACTTATCATTTCAGAACAAGCTCCACAGGGAACAGAATGCAGCAATCTATGTGATACTCTCATTGGCTCAGGATGTCGACGCCCAGCTTGAGCTTGCATTAACTACAAGTTGTCTCACCAAATTTTCTAAAGTGCTGTACCAACACTCAGTTGGCCAGAACCATGTTTACACAGCGCTGTTTCCCAAGCTGGACCTTAGGAAGCGGGGGCGTCTGTTCTATTTCTTATGGAAAGCATCTTCCAGAAGCTCCCAGAAGGTGATCAGAAGAAGCTCTCTAGGCAGAGTTGTGATGTATTGATCCCTTTAGTTCATTATGAAGAGCAACTTGCTTGCGAGCTTCTAACGGAGCGCCTCTTCCAACGTAAAAACACTTCCGCTGATGGCACACAGCCCTTCAACCTCAATGAAGCACGGATGTCACTCATTGGGAGCAACCATTACAGCCAGGCTGGACGTCATAATTGATGACCGAAATCATTACTTTATTCGAATCCTCCTCACATTACTGGGTTCTTATCATGACTTTGGTGGAACAGAAGTCATCATGCTGGACAAGGTCGGCAATATGTGCTATAAGGACATTCACAGCCGAGCTCCAGCACTTCAGGCTTTTCAGATGTCGCACTGGTAACGGGTGACTTGGTCTGGTGCAGGCAGGGATCGACAACGAGTCAAATGGGTTACATGATGGCCATTGACGATGTGGGGTGCACAACGAAGTCAATTAATACGTGTAATAATCTTTCTTGGTTCTCAGTGTCCTTGTGTTAAGGAGAGGAAATCAAGAGAAGTCTATCGTATCCGAGTAGCTTCCTTCATGGAATCATCTCAGCCATCCGGTTCATTCTTTCGGTCATGCGGCTTCCAGATATCTCCTGGGATCAACCACGGTCTCGTGCCCCTCACAATCATTCTATCTCCGGTGTCTCTTATGTTCGGCAGTCAGGGATACCAATTTTCCTTGGACTGCCGTGTCCTTGTGGCACGTCTGCAATTGGAAAAAGAAAAGACTGTTTTGGAGAAGAATTGCATTACCTTTATGCCAGATGATCCTTCTGTTTATGACAAAGCGGCAAAAAAATTGCCTGTCGTACGGTTGGTTCAGGCTCAGAAATACAACAGCAGTGTTGATACATGCTGCGTCTCTGACGAGGACAGGAAGCGATAGGCCTTCCAGAACCCACCGTAACTCAGAGAAGACTGATGACCACCTTGAGTCAAAACACTTGGGCAAAGATGGTGCGCCTCATGATGGTACCTGCAAAGAAAGGAGGGTCAGCAGGCCCGACCAAGAAAACAAGGACACAGGGAACAGACATGAAAAATAGTACAGCTCTGCAAAACCCAGCGCCCTCCAAAGCTGGCTCATCAACCACCACAGCAAAATTAAAGAAACCAGCATCATATACAACAGTCCGGATACCCTCCAAGATTACTGTCTAAGAAATGAGCAGCAACTATGCAGATTCAAAGGAAACTCCATCGTTGCTTCGGCGGATGGTCCTGTTAAAGTAGGCTCGAAGAGAGGTTAGCACCATAAAGTTGGCCAATGAAGTACGATTATTAGCATTGATGTTGTGATGAAATTGTCTGACAGTACAGTGGAAAAAAAACTGTTCTTTTAGTCGACAAGCTTTTCTGCAGTGCGAATGCCTCACAGATACAACAATAAGCTTTCTTTTACAGACAATTGACTGTTTACATCCACGAGGGGATTTGTTGCTGCATTATGGAGTGTTCAGAGGGCAGACTGCAACAATATTCTATCTCTGCTTGATTATTACGGTGGAATTTAAGGCCTCAGGGGTAGTACATCAATTCCGAAAGTTCTTTTCGATGCACAAATGGATAAAGGGAATCCTTCTATACAAAGTTATAGATTTGAACAAAACTTTGCTTAATTGCCTACAAACGATGCAGCTTCATAGAGCTACTTTTCTCTCTGTCAAAAGTACCAAAGGAGTATAATATCCAAGACCAGATTCCACAAAATTCAAAAGAATATGCAAACATCTTTGTCTTTCATCAGGATGGAACATGGAGCTGACGGAGTCACAGCAAAATGTTGTTATAAGGAGTAGGGCTCACAGAAGACAAAATGAGATACGGAATAAATGTAAGCTGCTGCAGTAGAACAGAACTTGTTACTTGCATCAACTTATCCACAAAAACATGCATTGGTAGTAAGGTACCTACAAGAGTTAACCGTCATCCGCGTCTCCATGCAATTTGCAGATCAAGCATTTGATTTTTCTTTTTTTTTTGATATCTGAGTTCCATCAAAGTGAAATCCATACAGAAAATGCCATCAAGTACCTTAACGGGACTATAACCGTCTATAATTTCTAGTTTTCACCGAAGAATTTATGGCCCTGTAACTTTCCAACATGTAATGTTCCGCATGGCTAGTATCATGAACACAACCGAGAGGAGAAATGAGAATGCGAAGAAAGTGACAAGAAAGTTGAATGAACGAGCCACAACTCAAGACATTGTCCATTTTTGCCGTTATCTCTGCACCAATGGTCACGTCAAAGAACTGATCTCCGGTGATGTAAGCAGTATCATCGAGATCTGAAGTAGTGATATCATAAAGCGAATCTGGATGTGTTATCTTGGGTTTCATGGCAAGCTCACTATCTCTGCCCTTGCTCTCGGGGAGAAGGTGCACAAAGACCGTGCTTTTTCTAGGCTGTACACAGACCTCATTGTTAAACAACGAAGCAAGTTCGATGTCCACAGTGAGAACTATGCCACTCTTTGGGACTTGATGCACCAAAAACAATTCAGAGTCGTATCTTGTAAGAATAGCGCTGTGTGCCCTGGACTCATGACCCAGCAGTTTGAGTTTGATTTCCTGTGAGCTTATTTGAATCCGGCTAGCCGGTTTATGTGGAGTTGATATGATAAGAACAAGGCTGTTCAATCTTTGGGGAGCGCATATTGGGTTTGGGTAGAAATGTCGCTCAACATCGTGCCAGGCCGTGTAGGAAGTTTGTAAAAACATCTCCTTGATCTCAACGTCGTGAACATCGTCTTCCAAGAAAAAGTGCAGAGAATGGGAGTAATCAAATAGCCGGAGATATACAGCTTGGCCCGGAGAGTCTTGATGGATTAATGGGAGGCAAACATAGGCATTATCTCGCATGAAACCGGTCCAAAGGAACGTTACCTCTTTTTCCCCATATGTTGAAAGTGGGTTATCGACACGAAAGATGGGTAGCTGAACACGAATACCCCGACTTGTCATGTGTGCTGGCTGCAATGAATTGGAAAATTCAAGAAGGTTTGTTCTTTTCTGAAATGCCGTTGAGAAGCTGGTTTGTTTGAGCGAAGAATATAGGTGAGAAGGCCGACTGTGTATGAAAGCATTTGGCCGCCGAGCTAGAACGGGGGTTGGATATATGAGTCGCGGTCTCTCTGAGCTTTGCCATATTGAGTACCAGTGGTCAGGAAAGATCCCAGTATCCATCCATAGTAGCAACGAAAGGTCTTCTGATTGTTTGAGTATTTCCTCCTGTAGGCGATAGAATGCCCGGTAGCCCTCTCCATAAATAAGTGGTATATTAACGTCAAAAATGCCTAGAAGACAGTATGCTTCATCTTCTGGTTTTGTCGTGGTTCTCGGTGCAGCCCAGGACATCTTCTCTGCGACAGTGAAGTTTTTCAGATCTTCACCGTGTATCGCTGATTGTGGAATGCCCGTAATATCGGAGAGTACACCAGACAATTGAGTTTTTGTGCCAACCAATGACCAGTCATTTGCGCAGAACATAACCATAGGCGGCGCGAGTAGCTCTTGCAAGGTCCATCCACGGGTAAACCATCGACACTTTCCCAATCGGAGCAGAGCAGCGCCACTCAAAGACACCGAGGGTCTTTTCTCATTGTCGTTCCAGTCTACTGGTAATTCGGGAATAAGGTCAGCAGGCGGCATGTCTTCCAGGTACACATAGCATATAGTCGAATCCCGATACCAGGCAAACATGCTGTTGATAGCCTCTGAAAGTTCGGCGCTGGAGGTTTTATTGATGCAACAAGTATCAACCCAGCACCATTCAAAGCCATGAGATTTGGCTACCTCACAAAATCGTCGGATTTTCTGAAAACCATCTTTATCCTCGAGGCCTGGAGGCCTAGATAACATCTCCTGGAAGGTTACCTCTTCCGATCCCCATGTATGAGAAAGAATGGCATAGAATGGCCTTGCAGAGTTGTCGAAAAACTCTTTAAATTGCAATGTATTTGTATTGAGCAGTCGCATTGGTTCGAGGTTGCGTTCGGCGAGGAACGGAGGTCAGCGCGGATGATAAAGGATGGTATTATTGAATGAAGTGGACGAGTGTATAGCAACGGAGTACCAGAGAATAACAAGAAGATGGCCCGGGTGGTGTTGATGTTGAGCCGTTTACTTATGCAACCTGGAATTCCCTTATACGTGCCGGTTATGGATTCATAGAAAGCACCATTTGATTTCCCGAAGTTGGGCATCAATCAAGCTAAAAAGATTATGTCCAGTGGGCTGCATAACTGGTAGCATTCACAACGCTTAAATGTGGCTGTGTCTTTCTCCTCAAGTTTTCAGCGATGTCATTGGTCGAGGGGCCATGTATCTGCTTAACCGTGAAAACCCTTTCAGTAGACGCGATCAACAGCGCCTTTAACTTAACGACGACTTTCCAAGCTAGTATATCTAACATATACCTTCAACATACAAGTAAGAATAGCGAGCATCAATAGAGTCACATTACTTGAAAGAGTTATGAACTTTTTTAAATCCTATTTTAAGAAATTTGTAGGAAAAAAATCATTTCTTAATCATAAATGTTAAGGTCGTTGTACCGATTTGTACCTAGGTCTGCAATTCAGAGCAATGATTGGTTAGAGCCCACTGATAGGTTATCTCAAATGTTAAGGAGGTGCTCTCGCAGCTTCCTAGCAATCAAGTTCCACGGCACCAAGTTCCACGGCACCGTGTTGATTCTTCCAACCTGCGGCGTGGCGGACTGACGGAGGGGCCTATATACATAATGGGGCGTCATCATGATATTGCTCCATGGAAATTTATTCTCTCTTTAGTCAACGACTCTGCAATCTGCCTCACGGATAGAATGTCTTAGGCATTGTGATCTTGAGCTTCCTAGCTACCGGGAAGGCTGGGGGAAATTCATTCAACATAATCCTCTCATAAAAACCCAGCAACCCAATCACACCCTCAATATCATAACCTGAATATAAGGCGGCATGTTTAAGTTTTTGAATTCCTCCTTAACCCTTGTACCTCAGATCTTTGTCATTATATTCTAGATCATTCAATTGATGCAGCATAAATTTCTTTGCACTCATCTCATGCTCATTTTTCGTTTTCACCTTCATCATCTCGGCTATCACCCGCTGCAAATTCATATAGTAACGCTCTCCGTCGCGAAAGTTGACACTACACCAAACGAAGTGGTGCTTGTTCCCCTCGATCGTCATTGTGCCTAACCTGACCTTGATACTGAACTTGTCATCCTGCCAGTCTATCCTCATCGCGTTTGCCTGTTTCGCAAATGCAGCCTGCCGTAGTAGTCTGGTTCCAGTCGAATGAGCACGTGATCTTATTGACGGCAGAGCGCAGAAGCAAGGTGAAGTACCTGAAGTAGTTGGAGTGGTCCTTATCTAGATCGGTCTCAACTGTCAATGAAAAGGCACATCCGCCATACTTGAGCTCTTGCTCTGTTATCCGAGTGGTCTTATCGATATACAGAAACTTCCATCGGGGATTTCAATATCTTTGATGAATCCGGTCGGTTGTTATCTCCAGCTATGATTGTCCTCAACCATTTCACATAGAAGACCTTGGTATGTGGCTTGGATAATGTGGATCTTGAACTCTCTCAGCACAGGCTCCCTTAGAAGTGAATTGATCGCATCCTCCCAGGCGAAAAAATCAGTGCAAATATACAACTTGGTAGACTTGGAGTCTTCTAATTCGTCCATACTAACAAAATATGTTTCGGCATACTCTCAATAGACCCACCGGGGCCATCTTTCTTTCCCTTCGAATCCTTGACATTTTATGGGCAGACAGACAGCGTACAAGCCTATCAGAATCAAGATACCAATCCTTCTTTCTATGGCAAAATGCCCCACGAACTATTGGACAATGAGCACAAGAAGGTGACCGCGCAAGGTTGAGGGTCCTATTGTAGCACAAGCGATCCAATGATTTGGAGTTTAAACACAAGGTCTTATATGACAAATCATGCGTTTCAAGAGTGAAGGCAAATGCCCAAAGCAATATCTATCCTCTATATCGGAAATCAAAGTCTATGCAAAACTCTCACATCCAACTCCCTAAACCAGAGCTCAAGTGAATACAGCCAACCAAAACTGAAACCAAAGACGCGATGCGAACCCCAAAGGCCTAAACCTTCTCCCCCATCCCCTCAACCTCCACCTCCGTCGCACTCCCACTCCCCATCGCACTCTCCCCTTCCCGCTCGCTCCCAGTACTTTCTCTACCCCCGCCCCTCCTCCATCTTCTCCCCATCTGGGGGAAGAAATACCCCGGCGGGAACATCGTCAACAAGATACACGCTACAAGCACCATAAATGACTCGAGCACAATAAATGACGGCTCGTCTTGCATGATTTCGTTGCCCCAACCGCCCGCCATCTCTGCAATGCGGTAGATACACCGCACCATGAGCGCCGCGTAGGCGATGGATAGGACGATGAGCCAGACGCGGAACTTGCGATTTGTCCAGAGGAGGGCGCCGGCGCGGTGTTTTTCGTTCGTTGCAGGATCGGAGGAGGGGATAGACGGGAACGAGGTAAAGAAACGGCGAGCGCGCCAGAGGTAGTCGAAGGCAGCGATGCCAAAGAAGGCGAGGACCGCGACCTGGAGTGAGATACCCGCCATGATGAGGTTATTACCGTGCTTCAGGAGAGACCGGGTCTCAGCAGCAGCAGCAATACCACCTCCCACGCCCTGGATAACTAAACAGGAGATGTCGGCCGGGATGAAGAAGGTGGGGTAGATGCGAGGCCGGACGCGAGAGAGGTCGCGGTTGAGGTGGATGACAATGTGGCGGAGGGTGAGGTACAGGCCGATGCAAACGAGAGTCGGGCCGAGGATGATAGCGACAATCTGCATGCGAAAGGCGTCGTAATCCCATGGGTTGATGCCCATGCGAGCGCGGCCGACGTAGCCTTTGACCTGTCAGCACTGATGTTTATGTACGAGGAGCGAGAAGGGAGAACACACCAATCAACTCGAGAAAACATCCCACAGCAACAGCAAGCGAAAACTCCCATGTCTGGTACAATATGCCCAGACCAAGCGTGACAGCACCTAGGACACCATAAGCAGCAGCCAAGAAGATATGTAGCGATTTGATCGGTGCATATCCCAGAGTTGTCGCCTCAACAGGACACCACGGCGACACCTCCGGGCAAGTGTCGTAGGAGGGGTACCACCCTGGTGGCAGGGAGGGGACCGACTCCATGGTGGATGACTTCACAGCGTCAGCAACTGACAGTCAAGTCAAACTAAAGAACCGATGTTGCTCACAGCAGCAGCAGCAACAACGAGCAGTCGTCGACAATTTGTAACAAGAGCTCCGGAGAAGCCGGCGTAGTGGGCCAATGTGGAGCTGACTTGGCAAGGAAGATGGCGTATGACAGATCCTCGCTATTCGGGATGGGAATCTGGCCGGCCGAAAGATTCCAGAAGCTTGGGTCGGATGATTGAAGTGAGCGCGAGCAACAACTCAGCCAAAAGGATGCCGGTGGGGCAAAAGTGAAGAATGCCAGACCACGGTGGGAGTGGTCATGGTGATAGACTTAATGTTCAGGAGGAAACGAGCAAATGCGAAAGGATACATCATTCCTCCTGTGCTGTCTACTGCGTCAAAGAGGGTTCAATCCCTCGCAACTCCAATTCGAGATCGAGCAAAACATGATGAAACTTCTGCAGCGACAGGACGATAGTGCTGGCGAAGGTAAAGAAGCACAGCCCACATCCGGGGTTGAAGCGGAAGTCCCAAGCCTGTGGAAAGCGAATGCGAATAGATTCACGGCGGTGTGGCGCTATGAAAGACAAATTGCGTTACATCATTGGTCAGCCCCTGAGATCAATCTCAACATCACAAGAACGCGACTAAACTCACACCATGAGCGTCATCCATGTCGGATTCTGTGACGTCGCCAAGACCCGATATCAACCCCACAACGGCTCATCGAACGCTCCACGAGGCGAGGAACTGGCCATGGACATGCTAGAGTCCAAGATTGGGCAGAGAGCCCTGCATCAAAGAACTTCCCGTCGCCAATCTGTTGTTCGGCGCTCATATCTCACGCAATTGGCTCCTCGGATATCGCGCACATGATTGTTCCGTGTCCGAGCTACTGTCGAACCTTGAGGGAGGGCAAGATTGCGTAACGCTAAGCACACTGCAGCATTATCTCTCTCCACGAATCGTGACATTGAGAAAGCGTTGACGGCTGGGTATGCGTCCCGCCTGTCACTGAGTTTCTGTTTCAGTAAGTTTGTGCATTTTTGTCTTGTCTACAGGCTGCCTCCAGGAAACTGCATTGTCCAAAACCCAGGCTGCCGTGACGTATCGATGATGACTCTTACTCTGATATCGTGACATCTTTCGTACGGCTGATGCAGCCTGAGTGCAATGCAAGATCCCCTAGCCGACAGCTACTCTTACTGAACAACCCATAGCTGTTTGCATGATCTCATCCAGCAATTGGAACCCTGAAGCTGAACCCTTATCCATAGACTTTCGGAGCATCCCACCCACGGTCCACAACCCTCTGGCCAACCGACCCGCATCGCATCGGCATCCCACCGCGCCATGCTCGATCCGATCCCCGCATCAAGCCATGTGGTAGTGGAGGAAACTCCCGCCAGCACCGAATCGTCCACATCTACCACGCCCGCGCCAACCCCGCCCACGTCTGCAACCCCCGCATCCCTACCCCGACCCCAGGGGTATACAACCTTTGGCCGTCGCTCACATAAGAAGAGCCGCACAGGTTGTGCGGTATGCAAGGCGCGGAAGATTAAGGTGAGTTTCAAGCAAGCCGGGTGCCGCAAGCCTTACCGCGGATGTGCGAGTGAGAGACAGTTAGGCTCACGTTACGTTAGTGCGACGAACACCGCCCCTCTTGCGTGAACTGCATCACACACGGTGTGCGCTGTCCGTTCCTTGACGGTTCGCCTCTGTCATCGTCAACATCATCATGCCGAAAAGCCTCGTCCGCCACTCGGACCCGTCCGCGACTGTCCCGCTCCCGGCCCTCACCCTCATCCTCTCCCTCATCCCAACCTACGCAGACCTCTATCCTCCATCCGACGGAAGATGATCCCCTTCCAACCCTCGAGCTTGAACTCCTCCACAACTTCACCACCCGTACCTACACCACCCTGACCGCAGACTCGAGCCTCTGGACTTTCTGGAGAGATGACATGGTGCAATTGGGGTTCACTTGCGACTATATTATGCGCGCGGTGCTAGCTGTTAGCGCGCTGCACTTGGCATATCATAGGCCGGACAAAAGGGACTGGTATACAGCCCAGGCGATATTGCTTCATCAGAGGGCGAGTCGGTCGGCTATGAAGGTGATGGAGAGGGCCGAGGGTTTGGATAAGGATGAGACAGCATGTTTGTTCTTGTTTAGTATGTTGACTGTCTTCTTCGGTAAGTCAGTGTTTCTATGCGATCGATCTCGTCGCTTTCTTTGTCCTCGCAGCCTGGTATCTGTTTGGTCAGCCTGGCCCAATACCCGAATCCTTATCTGTCTGCCAACATTTGCTCGTTTTATGAGAGACATGCCGATTCTTTTATAAGATGCAGGCAATAGCCATATGCGGATGTGGGCTCTTCAATCTTGTGAAGAGAGTCCCTTCGCTTGCCCTTGGCCTCTAGCTTGAAGCCTTTCACCCCATTTTCCCCTAACTTACTCACAAGGCTCAAATGTATCTTGCCTCAGGTCTCTAGGCTCTGTGTCGTCACAGGCTCCCAGCTCACTCATCCTCTCAGCCCTTCCATCCCCCTCCCAGGAGCTCCCATGCCGGTCATTTCCATCCGATCCCCCTGATCTCCCATGTAATGCCAGCTGAATTTTTCGTCTTTGCTAACCTCAGTCATCGTCCTTTCCTCAGCCCTAGCAACCCCCCGCTCCCCCACGCCATCAGGCACGTTCTTCATAGGCGACTCTGGCATCCCCGACTGGGCCTTCTTGCTAAGCGGCGCAAAATCCATCATGGACGTGCTCGGCTGGGAGAGGCGGCATGAGACCGTTGCAGCACCCTTTTTGTACTATGGAGCGCGTAGATGGGAAGCGCATTGTGCGAAGCTGAAGGCTGTTAAGGAAAAGCTGGGCGCTGGAGCAGCGTCCGGGTCTGGACTGGAGTCTGGCAGTTGTGGGGAGGGGTCGGCTTCGGGTTCAGCTTCGAATCCAGGGTTGGAGTCGAACATAGCCTCAGGCCCAGGATCGATTACCAGCTCAGTTGCATCATCTCTCGCGCCTGGGAGTGCCGCTGAAGGCATCTCTTCCCGCCTGCTACCCCTCACCTCCCTCCGAGAGAAGATATCAGCCACGATTCCTGCATCAGAAACGGACTTGCTCAAAACCTACCTCACGGCCCTTGACCTCCTAGAACCCTCCCTCCTGATCATAACTCATGAACACTCCCTCTCCTTGCACGACTCCCCACACTTCCGACACGACACCAAGGATGTGCTGGATGCCATGGTTTGGCTGTGGCTGGTGTCCGATTCCCTTGTTCCCTTGTTAAGGGAGCCAACAAAACATCAGGAGGCGGTAGTTATTTTCGCTCATTTTTGTGTGTTGCTGAAGCATTATGACAGTCACTGGTGGTTACAGGGGTGGGCAGACCATTTGATGGGGCGGGCGATGGAGATTTTGGATGAGGAACATCGGGCTTGGATTAAGTGGCCTGTGATGGAGATGAGGTGGAAAGGTTGATGGGGTTAACGTCAGCTCGGAAGATGAACCCTGAGGTGGAGGAAGGTACTCACCTGGTTAGGTATTCCACAGAAAAGAGGAATTCTTGCTGGGCGGACCTGTGTGATCATCGGTCTCTATTTCCCTGGAGAGCTCAGGGGCCTTTTAGTCTGGTGGACAGCGATGCTCTGGAAGGGTTGGTAACAAGTATGCACTTTTCTGACACTCCTCGGGTGGTTATGTAGATCACAATCCCCAAGAGGCGCGCAGATGAACTTACCTACTCAGCGCTTGAGAAGTCTTGTGCCCAAGTCTTGGGGAAATTAACGTTAAGCGACTGTTCCAAAACTGAAAATAAAGCCCGATCTTGGTCCGATCTAGTTGCTGATGGAGCGAAGGGTCAAGTAAACAAGTCATCAAAACTGCAAAGCATCCACACTACAAAGTCAAAAGGCCAACCCTGCCCCAATAAATCCATATAATATTACAATTAGTCAAGTCAATCCACAAAGATATCCATATATGCACACACACATATCCTCGAGCATCCCTAACACTCCCAAGGGAGATCAACAGACCAAGAACCAAAACCAAAAAATAAGATGAGACAGCCAAAGCAGCAAAAACGCCTCTATACACCTAGTTTCCCGTCCCGATTAATTCACCCCTTCCTTGCCTTTTCTCGCCAAAAATGACCCATACCAAATCTAAGACCCAGAAACATCCAGAGAAAAAAAACGATGAGAAGCACCACCTGGGTATCCAAAGACCACAACAACTCGAACCAAGATTCCCCCCTCTCATCCAACCGCACCGTCACCCCAAACAGATGTTGACAGACCGATCTTAGAAAGAGCGACTCTCGCTCACCCTGTACCAGCAGCGCATCCTCGCTTCGATCTCGACCTCAACCCCCAAATACATCGAGAGTGTCACTTCCTGGCACCATCCTCCTTAAACCTCTCTCCTATACCCCCCGGCCCCAGGCGTGTTCAACCGCCCACCATACCCCAACCCCTCACAATACCGATACAATATGCCCGCCACAAGCACCGTCAACACCAGGTTGGTAAACATCCCCAATAAGAAAAACACAATCCACTCACACTTGACATTCCCAGCACTCCGCTGGCGGCCCAGGTCCAGCCTAGCAGCCACGCATGCCTTCAATCCAGACTCTCCCTGCCTGTGTCCAGCAAGGCCGCGCCCACGCTGTGGCTCACTCAAAACTCCATCATTGAAGTCCGAGGACGAGGAGCCCGCAATCAATTCCCTAGCCATCACCCTTGCCTCCTCCCTTACGTTCTCATTCAACTGGTTATCCAGTTGCATCGCCTCTTTAAGGCACCGGACACCACGAAGGCTAGACAGAATGGGCTTCTCGTTATCCAGGAACCACTGCGGCTCGGCGGGGTTGCCAAAGGCGACACACATGGGCGGGATATCCCTCTTGACGACGGAGCCTGCGCCGATAACAGCGCCGTCACCTATTGTGACGCCGTCTCTGGTATGAATGTCAGTGACCGTTCTGGCCCGCAATACATTGCCGGTGGGGAATTGCAAGGGGGGGGGTGTGACCAGGTGTACGACATTGCCGACTGTTGTGTAACCAGGCGGCAGCCAATCGGGGAACTAGGGGAGACGGATGCGGCGTTGCGCATGGATGTGATCGCTCTACCGTGCCGCAGGAGATCTAGGATAAAGGGGACCAACCGGCAATACGGCGTCCTTGACAGGAGAGCGATGATGGTACCACCACAGTAAGAAATGTTGAACTTACAGAATCGTCACATTCGCCCCAATAAAGACATTATTCCCAATGGTAATAGGCGCGCCGATGCTATCGCGCTTGAGACGCTCATCAAGCCGCTTTGGATCTGGTGTGGGGGAGGGGGCAATGTGATTAGCTGCTGTGTGTTCTTCCATGGGTTGTCTGACATGCAAAGTGTAAGATGCAGTTGGCGTGCACGACGCAACTAGTGCAATTACCCGCAGATGGTCGCGCCTTTGGTTCGCACGGGAAGCGCACCCGAGAGGGGACGGTGGCGTGACAATGACTGCATCGCTTCCGGAGCATTGTGACTGGGCCCGAAAGATGAGGGGAAAAAAAGGAAATAGGGAAGGACAACTCACGAGTAACACTGACAATGGTGCAGTTGGGCCCGATGTTACAACCCTCGCCAATCACCACATCGGCCACTGGTGTGTCGTGAATCTTGCAGTCGCGGTTAATGAAGGTCGACCCGCCAACCTTGAGCCGGACACCATAGTCTGCCCAAAATGGTGGCTTGACGAAGGGAGTCTTAGCTTGGAGGTTAGGGTTGGCGAAGGTTTGGTCGTGGGTGACAGCAGCTGTGCGATCTTTGCTGCGATCGCGGTCCGGCCGAACAATGCTGCGGGACTACCGTTTAGCGTTGGTCCATGCTACTCGGCTTCAACACCGAGTGGCCATCGCCGGTGGGGCCAAACCATGCTCCGATACTAACGGCCCGGCCCGAAGCTCACCGGGGTTGAATCTAGGAAGGGATACTCACTCAAGCCACTTGCGGGTTCGCACCTCCGGATCCGCGTCTTCTGGCGTGTTGTTGAACTCGCGGCACGCCTTCGCACACCGGTTCCTCACCTCCCGGAAGTCCGGGTTACCGGCGGGAAAGACAATGCTGGTCTTTTTGCGGATGATGTCCATCATCAGCTTGGACTCCTCGTTGTTCGGTGTGCTCTTCATTGTTTCAGCTCGCATATGTTGAGAAATGAGCGTCTCTAGCAGAGCGGCAGACTATTGGCCTCGTACTTGTGGAAAAATAGCTTCCTCGTCGAGGGTAGCAGGCGGCATATCCGGAGGAAACGTGTTGGGCAAGGGAGCGTAAGTCAGCGTTTCGATTTGGAGGTCAGCCCGGCCCGACGGATCGGATGCGATCGCCGGAACGTGGCTCGAGACAGGACAAAGTGCGGAAATCGAGACAAAAGCTTTGCCTAACGAGAAAAGCCGACTAAGTAGGTACAGGTGATGAGACTTGGGCCGTTAGCGGTTGGGTCTTTGTCGCTTCTTTTGGCCCCCAGAACTGTGCGGAAACGGGTCTTGATCGGGAAGAAGGCAATCGGTTTGTCTGGACGAAAACTTGCTTGTCGTGGTAAGCCAACGCTCCGTACTAAGGGCGAAACGGACGACGAGAAGGCGAGAGCGAACGTAGGGGCTGATGTCTGGCAGTCCTGTCGCAAAATGGTGCCGAAAGGGAAATTTTGACGATGGCAACGGTGATCACTGTGCGATGGGAGAGCGCGGAAATATCTCCGAAAGAAATGGTTGGCTGGCGAGATTATGGTCGGTAGTTGACAAAGATTGGGTTATAACGCGAGAGCAATGTTGAGAAGATCTAGGGTTGATATGTATTTGAGAGTTAAGGACGTTGGTCATCAAATTTGGGGCCCGGGTTCTGCTTTTCGTCGCTCGCGGGAGCTGTTCGCTAGCGGCCCTCTAGCGCTATGCTGCCACGGCAGCGTAAGTGGGCCGTCTCGAGGTTTTAAAAAGGAACCAACGTGACAACCACCATAGAGAGTCGCGGCAAGTAACATGAAGACTCTGCCTCAGCTGCTACTCATACGGGTCGAGACTTAACTGGCTTTCGGCGAAGCTTCTCCTCTGTGCACATCAACAGCAGACTGCAAGATCATTCCTGGCGGGTGCGTTTGCGCACCTCCCAGCAGCTCTTCCTGCTGTGCAGCTCAAGAGTTTCGGCCCGTCGTGTGACAGCGCTGGGGATGCCCCAAATCCCCTTCCGGGATGGGCTGGCTGCAGGCGCTACAAACGCCGTGCAGCCCTGGTCTGCATACCAGAACGCCAGGATACCCGGGAGATCCAATGGCTCCCCAGTGCTCACAGTGCTAGGGGGCTTCTGGGGTCCCTGCATGCACCCTTGTCTGCGTCTGCCCTGTCAGCGCCGGCGAGCGCAGTTGCCAATTGGACGGGGAAGACGTCCAGCTGGACCCGGTGCGGCATGGCATTGCCCACAACTCCCCTCTTCTGCAGGTAATATTTGGGACCAGGGAGGCTACGCTGCTGTCGTTTTATACTATCGACTTTTCGGCAGTCAAGCAGCGTCGTTAGAACTCTGGAGGGAAGACGGGAAGAGCGCTGAGGATCAAGAGCTCCCCGATGAATCTCCATTAGCAGCTGGCTATAACAACATCGCCATCCAGGACTTTTTGGACCGCCAAGCCATGATGTTTACCGTCGATGACCTGGTCCTAAGTGTGATTCCGCGGGCCCACACAAATGCTCGACATCGCTTTTAGTGCTCCCCCCACCACCGGACCGGTCGATCCGCCCATTCCGGGCCACCGCGGGAGACTCCCGCAAGAGTCTTGGGTAGGGTTGGGGGCACTGGCTGCCCGCGCGAAGCGGGTAACGCGCCCGCTATCGACCTTGGGGAGGGGCGCATTTCCACAACACCAATTTGGTGATCATGACGCTAGCGTTTGGAAACACGCGCACCAAGACCCCGCAGCAGCGTCCTAACGTTTAGCCCCTCGTTCATTTTTTTCTCAATTTACCTTCCTTCTCTTCCAATTTGTTTGTCTTGTTGCGGATTCTTGTAACACATTTCTGCTGTGCAGAATATCTGGCGCCATGGGCCTTGGCGGACGCTCTTTGTCGATGAAAACTTTTGGCTGGGGCTCGGCTTAGTCCGACCTCTGGCCGTCAACTGCTCAACAAGTCTACCAAGCTTCGTCCATGTCTTCCCACTCACCCTCCCGTCCTGACTTGTCCTTGCGCTCAACAGTATCTCATAACAAGGTTCTTTTGCTTTCCGGCCTTCATCTGTCAAGAACCGCACAGGACGGTACGGGTAGACTTCCCAGCCAGTGATAAGATGTATTGCAGATGGGCACAGATCCTTTGAACGGACGAACGTTTAGCCGGCACAGGGCTGTTTAAGCCCGTTAAAGCAAGAGCAAGATAACCGAGCCGCAGTTCCGCTTGCAACTTGCATCGCCGCCCGCGAGATCTCACACACATCCGTTCCCGATCCCAGCATCAACAAGCAAGACACGCATGATCAGGCGATAAAAAGGGCTGTGGCGCACCGGGCGAATGGCGAGAGGCAGCAAGGCGAATGGCAATAGCTCCCTCTGTGAACACCTACACCTAGCATTAGGCCCAGAGGCTGTTATGCGCATAGCACCTAAGACGTGCATTCCAGCTGCTGCAATGAACGCATGGAGGGCTGCGGCCAGAGGAACTGGTTTCTGTTGCTGCGTGTGCACGTCCTCTCTGGTTGTGAGAGGTTGCACTGTCAGATGGACGCCACAGGCAGGCACGTCGCCGGGGCATCACTGCATCAGCAGCCCCCGTCTGACCCCGGACGACCTTCTCCCGGCAGGCAAACGAAGCTGGAAGGGCAGGGTTTTTGTCGCCGACCTCCCCGACCACAACCATGAGGCCACGGGTCTTGGCCGCAGGGTTCAGATCGATGACGATCACAACGTTCTCTAGTTTCTCGTTCTTGTTCCCGTATTGCAAAACCCCTGCCTCTCCATCGGAGTCGCAGGCCCTGGCTGAGATGCCGCCTGCTACTCTTGTGGGGCAGAAAACGGCGGTGACGATGAGCGTTGCGACTGTTTACTGCAGCGACGGAGCGTCGAGGCATTTTTTGCTACTCGCGACGGAGCTGAGTAGATAAAAAAAACTGCTGGCGGTGAAGCAAATCGGAAGTTGGAATTGTGAAGCTCAATAGGAGATTTTTTTTTTTTTTTGCGTGGTGTTATGGATGAAATCGAGGTCTGTGTTGCGGCGTTGCATCACTGCGGGTGGAGCGACTTGCGAGAGTCGGGACCCAGAAGTTGTAACGAAAGGGCAAGTCGGTGATTGAGGTTAAAACCAGACGTTGAGCATCTTTGTTGGCAACGAAACAATGTGGACGCCCAACGAAACAATGCGGACGCCGAAATGAATTTCGCAAAAACGGTCCGGTTGTAAGCAGCATTTTGGAACGTCCCAATGGAGAGCAAGTCGAGGGTAAAACCCTGATCTCCAGCTTTCTCATCGATGAGCTCTCAAATGGTATCGGGGAAGCCTCTCACGGCAAGTTCCTCTCCTCTCCGTCACATCCAGGCAGCAAAAAAGAAGACAAAAAAAATCTTGCGCAGCTTGCGGACGCAGGACCCTCGATCGGGAAGGCGCCCAAGCCATGACGGGCAGAATGATGAAGCCACCAATACCACAAGCGCAGGTTTGAGGAAGGCGAAACCGCCAGCAGCCACCTACCCAGCGTGTTTAGGCAGCTGCGGAGCAGATGCAGGTCAGTGTCTGTGCTGTGTTTTCCTCTTGTCAGTTGAGGGGAATGTAGGTGATAGCTTCTGTCTTTGAGCACCGCTTGAACCCGAGAGAAACCGATGGGATGTGAAGCCCGAGACATGACCTATCATCAAGACCACACTCAAAGAGGTCGCTTTGCGCATGAGATGGCTGGACTTGATGTCCTCAAGGAGTCTAGTCTCTCTCACACTCACAATACCTGTCTTAAAACGTTTTTGTAAGCTGCACTGTTTGCTCTGGAGAGACAATGATCTTGTCCCAGAGACCTCTGGCAACGAACCCAAGCACAGATAGCCCAGCAGCGACGTGAGAGATCATCACCTTGAACAATTGTGCGCGAGTTCTTACTCAAACTTAGGCATGTCGTACATATCATCCGGGTCTGCCACTTGTTAGCCTCGCTGGAATGACCCTTATCTTCCTCTTTCTCTAAACTCACCTTTCCCATGCTCCCTAATAAACCCCCTCACGCTCTGCTCCTTTCTCTCAATCTGGTTTAACACCCTACCCCCCTCCCCCTCCCCTAAAACACCCCCCTCAACCCCCCTCTTGATCGCCCACTTGACCACATCAAACCGACTGACCCCATTCACAACCATCATCTCAAACGGAGTCGTGGTGCTCCCTTCTTCTCTATACCCTCTCACCCACATCCTGCCCACACCCTCCCTTCGTCCAAAGAGTAGAGCTTGCAGGTCGCTTACATAGCCGTGGTAGTTAAAAAGCACTGGCTTGTCTGCCGTGAATAGCTCTTCAAATTCCCCTAGCGTCAGGGAATGGGAATGGGAGCCCTCCGCGCTCAGTCGCATGAGGTCAACAACGTTGACCACGCGGATCCGGAGGTGGGGAACAAGGGTATGGAGGAGGGAGGCTGCAGCGATAACTTCGAAGGTGAGTTCTGTGCCGATTCCGACTAGGACGATATTGGGGACCACGTCACCGGGGGAGGAGGCGAAGTAGAAGATACCTGCACCTCGGGAGCAATGGAGAGATGCTTCCTCTGGGGAGAGGTAGGTTGGAGCAGGATGTTTGCTGCCGATGAGGAGGTTGACGAGGTTGTTCGACTCCAGGCAGTGATGTAATGTGTAGAGGAAGGTGTTGGCGTCAGGGGGGAAGTAGACCTAGATGGTCAGCTTTGTTTCACATACAAACCAAGCTGTCCAAAGAGGAACTCACTCTTGCAAATTCGGCCTTCATGCTCAACACAGTCCCCACAAACCCCGGATTTTGATGCGAAAACCCATTATGTTCCTGCCTCGTCCACGTACTTGTCTCGATATAATTTAGACTATGCAAATCCCCTCTCCACCTGGTCCTTCTGCTCCCTCCTCCTCCTTGTTTCGCAATCTTAACAAACTTCCCATACTGCACCACCATCGTGCTCACAATTCCTAGGAACGCCTCATAACTGGGGAATATCCCTGTCCTACCTGTTAGTGTGTAGCCTTCCATAAACCCCTGGCAGAGGTGTTCCGATAGGACTTCAATCACGCGACCGTCTTTGGCAAAAGAGTGCTCGTCCCATTGAAAATTGCGTCCTGTGTGGGTGAGGATTGAGCTGAGCTTATTGCTTTCGAGCTCATCTGGGCTGAAAAGGCGAATCGTGTGCGGGTTGGCTTGGAAGACTGCATCGAGGTAATTACCCACGGCTTTCATGGAACTGGCATCTGCTCCCTTGGGAAAGGAGAATGGGTGCCAAGGGACTTCGTTAAGCGGGGTGTATGACTCGTGTGTGAGTCTGAGCCGTCCGAGTCTTTTGGTCTCATTCTGAGGGAGGATGTGCGCCACAATGGGGACTGGATGGCCTTCAGGGTCGAGAAGCTCGTGAATGCGGTAACTTGAAAGCCATTCTTGAAGAGCGGTAAGATGGGCTTTATCAGAGTTGGCTTTGGGGAGGGGGACTTGGTGCGAAGTAAAGGAACCTTCAAGGATTTTCCCGTCGATTTCTTTAGGGCCGGTCCAACCCTAAACAGAGTAAGCCGCTGAAGGCGGGACTGTGGGAGTGCCGAGCACGAACCTTCGGCGTCTTCAACACAATCATCGGCCATCTAGGCTTCAAAATTGGCTTCTCCTCCCTCGCAGCCTGCTGGATGGTGTGGATCTCTGCCAGCGCCCATTCCAGTGCACTGTACAGCTGCTCGTCAATATGCTCCAGATCGTCAACGATGCACACCAGCCATCCGTACCCGCTGAACAGTGCTACCAACTCCTTGTCATCCATCGTCCCGAAAATCGTCCTCTCGCTGATCTTGAACCCATTCACGTGCAGAATCGGGAGAACAGCACCTGACTCCCTGGGATCGATGAATTTGTGTGCATGCCACGCCCTGGTTTGACGTCAACAACAAAGTTTTCTTGCAAGAGTTGGGCCGTAAGAAAGAGACGTACGCCGCCGTCGCCCCCGTCTCAGCCTCCCCATCCCCAACAACACACGCAACAATGACATCCGGCTTATCCATCACCGCCCCAAATGACACTGCTAACGCGTAGCCTAGCTCTCCGCCCTCGTGTATTGCGCCCGGTGTTTCCGCGTTAATGTGACTGTCCCAACATCAGCCAACCTTTCCAACGCTATTCCGGGTAACATCAGGTAACATTTCTCTCCACCCTCTCATGCTGTACTAGAAGAGGAAGGGGATACATACCTAGGAAACCCTCCTGGCACGGCGAATCTCGCAATTAGTCTCCCAAGCCCCTCCCTGTTAACACCATACTCCCCTGGATAGAAATTCTCTAACGACCTTTCAAGCCAAAGACATGCTAGAGCAGCGGGTGCGCCATGACCCGGGCCAATGACATAGATCATGTCAAGATCGTGGTTGCGGATGAGGAGGGAGAGATGGGCGTGGAGGAGGATTAAGCCGGGACAGGTGCCCCAGTGACCTGCGGGAGATTAATAAGCACATTCAGGAAAGCCAAAAGAGGGTGAAGCAATTACCTAGGAGACGAGGTTTGATATCTTCGAATCGAAGAGGTCTTTCGAGGAGGGTGTTATCGCGGAGGAAGATCATTGCTTCATATTGCAACGCACAGTGGGATGTCAGTAAGTTGTAAGGAGTTAAATGAGAACGAGAAAATAGGAAAAGGAGGGAAGCTGACCAGCGGCAATGTACCATGCTGCCCGTTGAAAATGATGAAGGGATTCCTGATCATCTGGAGGGAGAGGGCAAGGTTTCGGCTGAACAAGGAGGGAGTTGATGCTGTCTGGGAGGTTCGAGGGTAGAGTCGGGGGATTCGGAATGGGAGCTTGCTGGCCAGGCATGTTAAAGTTTATTAAGATATTTTGGATGAGGTGAAAATGGTGCTAGTGTATCCAGATCTTTATGAACATTTCCAGCAACTGAGCCGCATATTGCATGGATTGAGGTTCGTGGAGATCCCGGGTGTTAGCACTTGGGAAGTCAAACACTGACGTCATTCATCGTAAGGGTCAACCACCCTTCCAACACATCTAGAACTGTATATATCCTGAAGAGTGACGAACAGCAGGTGAATGGATGACTGTTATCCTATAATAATCCCATCAATTGCGAGTTGGTTTGTTGGCAACGCTTTTTTTTGGTGTGTGGGGGGGGGAAGGGGACTTTACTCTTTAATACTTCCGTTGATCTCTCATATATCATCGAGACTGAAATGCCTTAGTTATCTCGAGGGTACTTAGTGTCAGATGTAAACAGAATTATAAACAGAATTATAGGAGAAATGAGTCATCGACTGTGACAGATTTCTTCTTGTGTTAATCTTCATGTCGCATACCGAGTCCGGAATTTACGCCTAAAGTCATTTATTTGAACCCAGCGTGCTACTTCGATCACTCTTCGCAACCGGAGAAGTTTGATCCGGCCATCCTACACTTCTCCGTAACTTTCTAAGCAGGAGAAAAGCTTGGACCTGCAATCTTTGGACTTCAGCCTAATGCGGACTCCTTGAACAAAAAGTCTGAGGATTCAAACTGCCTTGCCCCGTCTGGTATCTGGTTATTGTTGGCACTCTCTGTTGGGTCCAACCATTATACGGGGACTGACTTCTCTACGTTCAATTTGGAGATTGCCTCACTTCGTTAGTAGGGTCTTGCAAACCATGTCTGCCTTGTATCTTGACGCATTTGTTCTTGTTGATGGTAATGGTTCCTGTTGATTCTACGTATCTTGCAGCTTGTGACTTTATCCCCTCCCTCTTTGATACTGCTTGCTATCAGCGCCCCGCATGTACGTCTTCCTACCAACATCGAATCTATCACCAACGAGCAAATATGAGGCCCCTTTCCTGTGCATGTGGAGTAAATATACGGTGTAGGGCTGAATGCTTGAAACAGTCAAGAATGCCGAGAGAGAGCCCAAGACTAAAGTATGCCTTGGCTGTGCCGCAAGAGGATGCTACATAATTAATCCCGCACTTAGCTGCATCTGAGCGCTTCCATGGAACTTGGTGCTGCATATTAAGTGCAAACTACGGATCAGAATCAAAGCCAATCAGGATAAAAACTGGCTAGTTGTTGCGGACTTGAACTTGACTGCGAGATGAACGCCCTCTTGCTAAGGTATCTTGGTTCTTTAACACACATACGAGAGGTGAAGCTGGACATGCGTTCAGGTGAACATTTGCCGAAAATGCTGGGCAGTCAGGCTTTGATATTTTATTGGTCTTAACACGAGGTCCTGAATGGCTTGAAGTGCTATTTTGTATGTTAATCTCACCGGTTTGTGGCTATGAGATGAGATGACGACGATCAGGAAGTTGGGTCTACGGCTCGGTTGAACTTGAGACTCAAATGACACATTTCTTCAACGTCTTTCCATGCCGACCGGATGTTGCAGAAGGAAATTGGATGTTCTGGGCAGCTTTCGTGTAAAATGGTCGGGGAATGGGAGTTAGCCTTACTGCATTTAGTAGCCGAAACGTTACCTTGACTCTTGGAGTTACGAATGGGCGAATGGGAACCTTACACGTCCTACCTACCTAGAGATGACGTTGGTCGGGCAGTGACGGCACTTGACGGACTCTGCGCCTTGGTGTAACTTAGCGAGGTTGTTCTTGTGTTCTTCAACGATTCTTTGCTTTCTCTCCCCGCCTGCCTTGGAGAATTCTGGAATTTTGACATTTCAGTGTAACTAACATAACACGGGATCTCATGTCTCAGGGTGAGGATTGGAATGATGGTTGCACCCACGTTCCTCTAGCCCGCTGGCTGCCTCCGGTTTAATCTCCCGAAGATTACCCAAGCCAGATATAACATTGCCATCTCCAGTATTTCCCACCGCTCCCCCTACCGGCGTAAGCCAGTCACGTTGACTCTAGGGGCTGCGGGTACAAATTAACCTTATTTTACACCCTGCATTAATGAAAGGCACACAACTGTTCCTGGAACACTTTAAGCTCGGAGGCGGTTTGCAAGGCGTAACTAACTCCTGACATGAGGGCTCATGAGAGGTGATCGCAATGGGCAGAGGTAGGCATGAGGCTGAAACTCTGGATTTCAGCCGTATGAGGATGAGAACGCGGCTAGCGAAGGAGGCTTGACATGCTACGACTCGGTCAGGTGTCCTCCTCACTGCCCGCAGCAGCGATGGAATGGCAGATTTGTTCTCTTGAAAGATCAAGACGATTAGGCCGCAACGGCAGCGCGAGGGCGGTGAATCAGATGCTTGAAAAACAGGTCCAATTGGACCGGATGAATCGACCAAAAGTACGCACTACCAGAGGGCACTGATGCAACCCAGCGGTAAGCCTCCAACGGAAAATTTTGCTGCCGCAACGATGGGCAAACAAGGCGGGAACGGGCGAACATGCGGTTTTAAGGTTGACTGGCACGATGTCATAGATGCAAATTTGGGCACGCAACTCTGCAAAGACCCGTAGTTTGTCCATTGACCATCCAGTCGCTGAGGGGGCGGTGAGGTAGAACCACATGTCAGAGAGCGCGGCGAGAAGCGGACATGGTTGCGTCAGGACGGAGAGAAAACTCCAGAGACCTGGACAACATTGCCCCAATGGGTGCTACTTTGCGTGTTGTTGTACAGGTACCTTGCGCTGCTGTTAGGGTTTCAAACTCAAGTCACACAAGTACCTTACAGCAGCCTTGTGGACCTGTGGTGCAGCAGGCACTGACTGCCAAGCAAGGGATCCACAGCCAGATCTGTATGCCAGCCGGAGTTTTGATCGGGAAACGTTCTTCGCCCAGCCACAACCTCCGGCGTGTTCACAACTCCTTTGTTCTGTTGGCAACCAACTAGGAGATGTCCTTTTGTGGCCCAGGTCACACACTTCCCATGGGCAAAAAATTGCATCCTTAATGAGACAGGATGATGGAGGCAAAGCACCTCTTTATGTTGGTCTGTGGGAGAGCAAACCGAGTGTCAGAATTGCCGCGAGATAGGACCTGTGCGATTCTCAGTAGCGTTCCGTCCGCAAGAAACTGATCGTTTTTGGTTCATGCGACCCTCCTCACCAAACACCAGGGATAGTTCCGTGGTCCCTCATACCTGTTGTTAGAGAGTAACATCCGACATGAGAGGAATTCCAGAATGATTTTGACGGGGCTTTAAGTAATGAAACCATGTGTGCTGAGGAAGCTGAAGTTCACCGCTGAAACAGAAGCATTGGTTCGGAGCTAGCGCTGCACAGGCCAATGTGTCGGCGACAAGTGTAGATCACAAGACGATGGGATATTTCTTGTCAATACCCACAAAGATTACATTGGCCAACTTGCCGCCAAATCAAGACTTGCCTCACTGTCGAACCGCGAGCGGGAGCCAACGAAGGCAGCGCCACGCTCACCCTTTACTTATGACCCAAAATAAACCCATTAGTTGCATTGCAGCCAAGCGCTGGGGGCCAGTAGAGTAGCGTGCTGGGGCACGACCGGGGACTATTACATACATACCAGTTTTGTCCACCTGGTTGGAACCGAGGAGATGGCTTTGTTCCACTCTTTTCAATTTGATCCTTTCACTTGCTCGTGAGTAGGCGTTTTTCTACTCTCTGAGGCATCCTCTCCACTGATCGTCATATACCATCGATGCATTGCCACAAGTTGTAAACATACTTAAGAGTCTCACCGAAGTCGTTTTGACCATTGGACCACTCACTACACCTGTCCTCACCGAAGACCCCTTTCCTTACGTTGAGTTCCTGACTCTGCGGCTCGATTGAGCAATTGAGAACGTACCGATGCCATCAGGCTCTGAGGTAGGTTCCAAATTGCCACATACGTCAGGTTCCACTATTGCGTCCATAGCAACTTCCCCAGACGCGACTCCGCACCCCACACATTCCCCAACCTCCTCTTCAATTCCAAATTCCCTGCTTCAAAAATTGTAACTTTGTTGCCCAGGAGCAATAAGCTAACAGCTAACAGGCTTTAACCTCCCTGACCACAGCGCAACCGCAGTCCAACAATGCGTCTGAGAGGATACATGCCAGCGCTCACCCTCATGGGCCGAGCTTTAGGCTCAATCCAGATGACGCCTTAACGCCCGACCAAACCAACGAGGACATGTTTTATAACGAAGACGACAGATTTGCTTTTAGTCCAGGTCAATTGGCCAAGCTCCTCAACCCTAAAAGTCTTGATGCTTTTTATGCCCTCGGCGGTCTGCGAGGTCTAGAAAAAGGCCTACGGACAAATCGCCACACTGGTCTCAGCGTTGACGAGACCGATCTCGAGGGGAGAATTGCGTTTGAGGACGTCGCTCCTCCCAAAGTTCCTAAGTATGGCGCGTATGGCAACAGTTTACCACCGCCAAAGGATAGGCTCGTTGGTAAACATGCATCCCCAGCGCCGACATACCCTGCTGGCAGCCAATACGCCGACAGGAAACGGGTCTTTGGCATCAACAAATTACCCGAGAAGAAGAGCAGAAGCTTATTGGAACTGGCATGGATAACGTATAACGACAAAATCTTAATCCTATTAACCATCGCAGCCGTGGTGTCCTTGGCATTGGGTCTCTACCAGACCTTTGGAGTTAAGCACGAAGATGGCGGCGCTAAGGTGGAATGGGTCGAGGGCGTGGCCGTCATAGCGGCCATTCTCATCGTAGTTATCGCAGGCACGCTTAATGACTGGCAGATGGAGCGCTCGTTCAACAAGCTGAACAAGACGCGCGGCGAGCGTAACGTCAAGGTTATTCGCGACGGAAAATCGGTCGAGATCTCGGTCTACGATGTCATGGTTGGCGATGTGATGCACCTGTTCCAGGGTGATATCGTTCCCGCGGACGGTATCTTCATCGACGGTCATGGCGTCAAGTGCGACGAGTCTTCAGCTACTGGCGAGAGTGACCTGCTGAAGAAAGTTCCAGCTGATGAGGTTTTCGAGGTTCTGGAGAGGATTGCCAAGGGTGAACCGGCGCCGGAAAGTATTGAGAAGCTGGATCCGTTCATCATCTCGGGCAGTCAGGTTAATGAGGGTACTGGCACGTTCCTGGTGACTGCGGTTGGCGTCAACTCGAGTTACGGTCGCATCATGATGTCGATGCAGACTGAGCAGGAAGACACGCCGCTGCAAAAGAAACTGAACGTGCTGGCTGACTGGATCGCCAGGTTCGGTGGTACTGCCGCACTGATTCTGTTCTTCGTTCTACTTATCAAGTTCTGCGCGGAGCTTCCCGGTCACAAGGGTACGCCGGCGGAGAAGGGCCAGGACTTTTTGAAGCTGTTTATTACCGCTGTCACGGTTGTTGTGGTCGCCGTCCCGGAGGGTTTGCCTCTGGCTGTCACCCTTGCCCTGGCCTTCGCGACAACAAGGATGATGAAGGATAACAATTTGGTTCGCGTTCTGCGCGCCTGCGAGACCATGGGTAACGCTACGACCGTCTGTTCCGACAAGACGGGCACGCTCACGCAAAACAAGATGACCGTTGTGGCCATGACACTCGGCAGGATGATGAGCTTTGGCGGTACTGACCCCCCTCTCGACGACGATACCAAGGAGAAGTCTGCTCCGGTCCCGATCACGATCCCCAACCTCCCGAGCGCTGAATTCATGAAGCGGCTAAGCACCCCGGTCAAGAAGTTCCTGATCCAGTCTAATGCTGTCAACTCGACTGCTTTTGAGGGCGATGGTGATGATGGCGAGAAGACGTTTATTGGGTCCAAGACCGAGGTCGCCCTGCTCACCCTGTGCCGTGATCACCTCGGTGCTGGTCCTGTTGCAGAGGAGCGCGCCAATGCCAATGTTGTACAGGTTATTCCGTTCGACTCGGCCGTCAAGTACATGGCGACGGTCGTCAAGCTCCCGAACGGTACTTACCGCGCCTATGTTAAAGGTGCCTCGGAAATTCTTCTTTCCAAATGCTCTCGCGTCGTTGAAGACTCCAGTGGTGATGAGTTTGCCACGGCCGAGATGACCCCCTCAATCCGGAGCGAGCTCGAGCAGACAATCACCTCCTACGCCGGCCAGACCCTGCGCACCATCGGCTCCTCCTACCGCGACTTCACTTCCTGGCCTCCCCGTGAGCTGGAGGGTGTCGAGGAGATCAATGCGGCAGCGTTCGACAAGATTCACAAGGACATGACACTGGTCGCGATCTACGGCATTAAGGATCCTCTGCGCCCCCAGGTCATTGAGGCAATTCAGGATTGCAGGCGTGCTGGTGTCAAGGTACGCATGGTTACTGGCGATAACATTTTGACTGCTCGCGCGATTGCCAAGGAGTGTGGTATCCTTTCCAAGGATGGTATTGCTATGGAGGGCCCTAAATTCCGCCGCTTGCCAGAGTCAGAGCTGCGAGACATTGTACCGAAGCTGGAGGTGCTAGCCAGGTCGAGCCCTGAGGACAAGAGAATTTTGGTTCGGACGCTGAAGGATCTGGGCGAGACTGTTGCTGTTACTGGCGACGGTACCAACGATGCACCTGCGTTGAAGATGGCTGATATTGGTTTCGCTATGGGTATTGCGGGTACCGAGGTCGCCAAGGAGGCTGCGGCGATTATCTTGATGGATGATAATTTTGCATCCATCGTCAAGGGTATTGCTTGGGGTCGTGCGGTCAACGATGCTGTGAAGAAGTTCCTTCAGGTAAGAAATGGCCCTCATTTTTGGGCTTGATAGAGAGATGTGCTAACTTGGACAGTTTCAACTCACCGTCAACGTCACGGCTGTCGTCCTAACCTTCGTTTCATCTGTCGCCAGTGCTAGGGAAGAGTCCGTTCTCAAGGCCGTCCAGCTCCTTTGGGTCAACCTGATCATGGACACGCTTGCAGCCCTCGCTCTCGCAACCGACCCTCCCTCAAAATCCATCCTCGACCGTAAGCCCGACAAAAAGTCCGATTCCCTCATCACGACTGGCATGGCCAAGATGATCATCGGCCAAGCCATCTGCCAGCTAGCCATCACCCTTGTCCTCAACTTCGCCGGTGCCAAGCTTCTCGGCTACGACACCTCGATCAAGCACGAAGCAACCCGTCTCAACACTCTCATATTCAATACCTTTGTCTGGCTCCAGATCTTCAACGAACTCAACAACCGCCGTCTCGATAGCAATCCCAACATCTTCGAGGGCATAACCCGCAATATGTGGTTCATTTGCATCAACCTGATCATGATCGGCGGCCAAATCCTCATCATCTTTGTCGGTGGCCGCGCCTTCCAGATTGTCCGGCTTAATGGTAAGGAATGGGGCCTTTCCGTCGGCCTGGGAGCCATCTCCCTGCCCTGGGGTGCACTCATCCGTCTGTTCCCCGATGAATGGGCGCGCAAGCTTGTGCCCCCCATGCCGGCTTTCATCAAGAAGTGGCAGGAGAAGCGCCAGGAGAAGAAGCTCCTCAAGCTTAAGCAGCGTGCGGTTACTGATCTCGAGGCTGGCGCTACTGCTACCACTGCTACGTCGACAGACCATGAGCGCGAGAAGCCTGAACCTATCGCCCCGGTTGCCTACACCGGTACCGGCGCAGGCTCACGACCAGTTCTCCGCTCAAGCGGGACGTTCCAGTCCCTGCCAGAAGAGTATCTGAGACCGCAGCGGTCGCTGACTGTGTCACTTATCCGTGGCAAGAGAGCTGAAACACATATCTCGGACCATTTGCGTGGGCGTAGGAGTTTCAGACGGTATGTGAGGGATCAGAGGGATCGAGTTAGGGAATGGAGACGGCCCTGGAGTGGGAAGTCGAGAAAAGAAGAGGTGGTAAAAATATAAGTAAGCATGGATTTGGAGGGAAACAGTTTTCCTGTAGGAACGTTTGACTCGTCGATCATTATTTACGTTAACGCTTTCTTGTAGTTTTGACTTAAGGAGGGATGGACGTTTAAACGATAATACATGATAAAGTTCTCTTTAGTCTAATGCAGATTGTGTTTGGACATGCTTGGGTGTTTTGATGAGAATGCAGTGGTGCCCATGAAGTCAATGCTGGGCCTCAACAAACAGGCATAGAGGAATGTATAGAAATGAGCGAACTGTGTTATAAATAATCCAGGAAAGAGGTCTAGATGGTAGGCTTCATGTACGGTTGGAGACGAGAGGAGAGGAGTTGTCAGGTGACCTGGAACGGGACAACCTTGACGACCAGTTTGACAGGGGAGAGGCCCAGTGTTGGGACAATATCTCAACTGTGATTTTACACCGTATTGTTGTTGAAAACATTCACCGTCATCCCAAGAGAGTGAAAATCCGAGGATTGCCACTTGGCACGAAGCTCGAACTCTCTGGGATCGGCCATGACATCCTTCTCGTGCCTTCGCTGATGACACTAAACTTAGGTCGGTCGCGTGAGATTGTAGGGTTGCGCAACGAGCAGATGATCTGTATAGAGTTTGAATATGAAGCCTAACAAACATTAGAGAGTAAGGAAATGCACTGCATTAGCTTTGGCCATGCCACTGGAGTGGGCCATTGGGGCCGCTGGTTGTCAAATATGGGTCCCGGTCTTTGGGACGTATGCCTGGCGTTGAGGTGAGGTGCCAGGATTCCCGCCGGCGCTGACACCGCCGAGGGCCAAGCCATGCCATCCAGGCACGCTTGTTGTGTGGCCGAGACGTCCCTTCAACTTTTATGTACTTTAGGGAAATGCAGAGCATCGGTCAAGTTATGGTGAAACCCTTAATTCGCAGCTAATGAGCTGCCTTAAAGGATCTCAGATCAAGGGGTTAGGTCAGGTACGATGGAATCATCAACATGACAAATTATTCATGGGCTTTTCCGAGAAACTTTGAAGTAAGTTGAGGTGAAACAAGCCACAGCATGTTGGTACGTGGTGGAGAAATGAACCGAGGTTACACAGTTGCTAGTGTAGGCTTTTTTTCCCTTGGGGCTTATGCATAATCTAGGCGAGGGTGCCACCAACGAAGATACACGAGTCGGAGCCCGTTGGTTAGAGAAAGTTCTTTTGCTTCATAACTCCATGCCCTAGGCCTTTGGTTTATGAATCCAATGTCCAACCTTTATGCTGACGGTTTAGAAACAGTGGGAGCAGGAAATCGATTGACAGAAAAGGAAGGTACAGAAGGGCAAAGTGCCAACAGCTGCATTCCGTCTCGTAGCCTTTACGCTGAGATGCAACAAGTCACATAAGACAAAGCAAACATGTCAATATGCAACTTGTGTGAAAGGACCGAGGTGAGGTTGATCGGAGGACAAATGTGCCATTGCCTGCCCGTTTAAGTGCAAGCAAACAAAGCTGTTGGCAGCTGTCGGTCAAGACAATGAACTTTTAGTTCAATTGCAATAGTTATGATTAAGATATTGTCTCAAACCCTTCTCAGTCCACCAAATGCGTGATTTCTCTCGTTATTGTTGGTTAGCATTACACATTTCTGAATTTGAAACGTCATGGGATCCCTCACGGTTTGTCATCTCAGACATTTATCAAACCATAGGGTCCAGTTCTCAGATTCCAGCAACACTCAGAAACTGCATATGTGCCAGGTCGTCTGTCTCCGATATTCCATGTTGCTTTTCGAATTGCGAGGTACCAGATATGAACCTATGTCTTGGATATGACTTTTCTCACCCTAATGGTTATATGTCCGCCTAAGCTCGAGAAAGATACTCAAAAAAAGGAGTATTGGCGCTTGTACTATCACTTTCGATCGTGCACTCCAGATAACCCGAAACGTAACTGTCCTCCAATAAAATTATAAATGCGTCGCTTTACATACCAATACATTGCCGGGATCATTTTCATGACTTTATCGGAATGAAAACCGGTGACTGCCGGGACTTTTTCTTCACTGTAGTCCCTGTTCAAGAGTTGAACAATGCATGACGATTTATATCTTGGCTCACTCGGTTGGTCAGTGACTTGTATAGAGCAAAGAAGTACTTGTTCATATAAAAGGGTTGAGGAGGCATATGAAACTGCAATCGGACCACTTGGCGGTGTATCAGTGAATGACAGAGATCCTGGGGACTGAGACTCTGAGGATGATGATGGAGTTCCTTAGGTCAACAACCTGAGGACGCGAAAATCTTCCCAGAGAATCCGCTCGACGTGGAGAAGGTCAAGGTATGGTATCAGGAATAGTTCGGCGCAGCAAGACCAAGCCACATATTGCCAAACGGAATGATCAATTCCAAGGAACAGTGTTATGAACTCTACCTGAGCTGACAGCTTGGAGTATTTGTCAGCGTGATCCAATCTTTCATCTGGTTTCAAAGCCACGTCAGCAGCAAAGGTCTCCGAAATGCTCAGAGACAAGCCGAGCCTCAACACATGCCTTCTCTTGGGTGGGATAAAAAAACAATGAAAATCACGGCAAAGAGTATATGGACTTGCTCAATCCCCACGCTGAGAATCACAAAAGATGTCGTCAAAGCATTGATAAGTCGACTGTAACGGGTGACTTGGTCTGGTGCAGACAGGGATCGATAATGGTTCAAATGGATTAGATGATGGCTACTGACCATGTGGGGTGCACAGCAAAGTCAATCACTGCGTGTAATAATCTTTCTTGGTCCTCAGTGTCCTTGTGTTGGGGAGAGGAAAGCCTAAGAGAAATCCTTCATCGTGTCCAAGCAGCCCCCCCTATAAAATCCCTTTACCTTTGTGAGTACCTCGCGGTCTCCTGCAATCTTCAGGGGTTCTCCTCAGCATGGCAAGGCTATCTAACTCGTTCTTGCCACCCCCTCATGTTTTCCAGGCTCTACCAATCAGATATGCCTTTGCCCTTTTCAGCTCTTGTGTCACTGGTGTTATATGTCGACTGTCAAGGATATTTCTTCTCGTTGGACTGCTGTGTCCATGTGACATCAACACCACAATGATCGCAAACGGTACAGTCCCATCGCAGGCGGGTTTCTGTCAAAGTGGCACGATCACTCGTTCGTTCCGGGGAGCAGATATGCTGAGGGCGACCAGCTTGCGACGAAAATACCGGTCGATGTATCCCAAACCGAGAGTTTTGCGGGAGCTGGACGAGTGGAATCGAATTTTGAAAAAGAAAAGGGGTTTCGCGGTGGGAATTGATGTATCGCTGGATTGTGTACCACTCGAAGCAGTGTGCTGAGTTTGGGGGTGCGACGATTGTGGGAGCGCGAAGCCAGGAACAGTTGAGGGCGACTGTGAAGGGGTTAAGGGGTTCTAATTGAACGAGAAGGCTGTAAGAAGGATTAAGGAGATGTGGGAGGGGATTAGGGAGGATGCGCCGTTGGACAATCCGGATCTTTATCGAGCTGGTGTTCACTGGCACGACATGTCAATGTCAAACTTAGAATTTGCACCACACATTTCTTGACTGAGGAATGAATATGCTGGCGCTAATCAAATGGTGGTCTGGTGTTGTTCAACTTCACTTATCTACATTTGTTCGGCCTTTGGGAAAGGCCTGTGTCCAAATGGAAGACAGGCTGGACTGAGGGACACGTGTTGCTATCCAGGTGAATATGACATACCTCCTTTACCTACTTTTAAGGACGCTGCTCCAGTCAAATAACTGCATATCAACAAAGGTAGCCCGGGCCCTTAACGTCAAAACTCCAGATGTTTCCAAACAAAGCAGTCACCAGAGTTTACCACATCGCCATCAGGGGTTCAACTGCAAAAGATCGCACGGCCGTTCTCTTACAGACGGACCTTCAAATCTCAGATATACTAGGCGCAGCCAATAAGCCCGAGCGCATATTGATGCACAAGATGACGCACGAAATTTTCGTGATTCAGCTAAAGATATCTCTTCTAGACAGAGCTCGAGCTCAAGATAGAGAAAGCCACAACAGATCCATCAATGCCATGGTGTACCTGGAAGGAAATGTTGTTAGACCTAAAGAAGCAGGGCTATTGGGTCAAACTTGAGGAAGTCAGGTAGGGGAAGTGTAGATTCGTCCCTAAATGGCCGCCTTATCCATTCGAGTCCGATTATTACAGGGAGATGATGAATGCTTGAGGATATGGAAACAGCAGCAGGCGGGGTTAGGAGAGGAAGGCGACAGCGAATCCTGAGGTTGAGATGGCATCTCAGTTAAAGGGCATCTTGGGCTGTTGGGTGGTAGAGACGGCGGGATGATGCAGCGGTATGCTGGTTGTTAACCTTGTTGAGGACAAGTTAGTGACTAAGAATCTCATTCTATGATTGGGATTTGAATGTGATTTGCCGAAATTCACTTTGATATTGCTTTCAGTGCCACATAGTCAACACTTCTTCCAACTTTAAATTCAGTGGCATCACTTCTAGTACTTATAAAATCTAAATTTGCAAGACTTGTATTTCTAGTTGCCTAGTTTTGATTCCTTAAAATAAGAGTTCGTTGTTTTAACAAAGACAGTGTGATAAACTACGTTGAAGACAAATTTGTCATAAACCTCTAGTGTATTGCAAGTTGAGTTAATGAGAACTTTGGGATGACAGGCAGGATAGGCAGGTATACTGACGATACACTCTGGTTATGCTTCTAATCACTTACTATCGAGTCTAAAGTCCATAATTAAAACGCAAGACACCCCACAGTCACCCTATCCAACAGCTGAAGCATGAGCCTCCAACCCGCCCGATTCCCAGCAGACTCATACCCAAACTCCCGCTTATACTCCTTCACCTCCATCCTCCTTATCACTATCTCCAACACTTTCCTCGCCACCGCGATCTTCCATGCCACCCCGCACGGTCGCCACGGCATACGGCAGTTTTTGCCCATGACATCGCGCTGTACACACAACGCGTGTCCCGGCGGAGCAAACCCCTCAGGCACCGGATCGTAGCTTTCATAACATGCGGTGGACCCTGAGAAAATATATCCGTTAGAACTGACCACAAAGTGACCCAGAAAGAGCTCATCCGCATAACCCCCGGCCGTATCAATTTCACAAGTACGCACGCCCACAATCCACCAACCTCCTTACATCTACTTCCCCCTCAAAATCCTCTCCATATCTCTTCGTCGCCGATGCGATTAATCAAGGCAGATCCATCACTCCCGCTTCAAAAGCCTTGCTAAACACATCATGAAAAATCCCCAGCGTAAACCCCGCCAGCGTTTCCCCTGCTTCCCTTCCTCAAGCACCATCCTCGCCGGCACAGGCACCCACCTAACCTGATTTGCCCTATCCGGTACCTGCCCATAAAAAGAGTAAATGATGCCAGCTTGGGCAATGGCTCCCGCATCAATAAAATCAAACGCTTCTCATCGTAGCCCACAGCACCAGGGTTCGCCAGCTCAAGCACAGTTACACACAGAACTCCTTCGGCTCCCCTTCTACGTCCACATCTCGGGCTTAATCGGCATCTGGTACTCAGCCTTCTACTTCGAGCTGACCGTTAGCTTGACATTTCAGTTTATACAGTATTGGGATGCAAGAAACCGTGGAGATCGTCAACAGCCACGACGTAAGGAATCCATAGAGCAAGACTTAATCAAGGGGAAGTTGTACTATCCTCCGGCAATTGCTGACAAAGGTGGAAGTACGATTCGGACTCCGCTTCAGCAAATACGGCAAGCTGGTAATCGTTTGTTGGTCTCTGTTATGTGAGTTGAAACTCAGGAGAGCTCTCTTTATGCTATAGGATAAGAAGTTTTAATTATAGGCTTAGCTAGTATTAGAGCGTTATGGGATTGGATGTTAAAGTTGGCATGACACAACCGCATGTGTTCTGTATGCGTACTAGCTGACTTTGTAGTGTCAATTCTGAGTTTGTTCCATAACATTATTGCACATGTAGGGCGGGAATGATACACAGGATGTGTAATCTGATCGTCGTGAAAAACCTCTTAACACTTATCCTCTATCTCGGTCTCGCTAGTCAGGTACTACTACCACGTCTGAACTCAGGTAATTTGTAGATAAGATAGCACTTTGTAAATAGAACGTTATGACCGTTGCTATCACTACACGTTGTGTAATGGTTGGGTGCGCTGTTTGCTGGCACTTGACTTTCCTAGGAGTGAAGGCTATATAGCTTCTATGAGATAGAATAATCTTGAGAGAAATAAGCTGACCTATATATTTTATCTACCCTTAACAATGACCAACTGCATGATTCCCGAAGGATGTTAATAAATGTTGACTAAGATAGAGGTTGCGCAGGTCATGTGATCATGGCGGGGTCCAAGTACCCCATTTCGGCCCTCAGTGCGGAATTTGCTGACAGACCTACCTACCGAGGATCTGTATGGCTCTTGCTTGACGTCCATGTACTAGTGATGTGATGTGCCCTCCGAACCTCAAAACTAGGAATATGAGAAACAGCTGTTACTGTAATCAACATGCTGAGGGGCTTAGGATAATGAGATTATGTCGTGACAAAGTACTAGAGGATAATATTTTGCATTGGAGTAAGTGATTTAATTGGATGTTGCCCATAAGAGATCTCATCTTTCAATATAGAACCGCTGTGGCATGCAACATTTTCTTCATTGGAGATCGCTTATCATAGTTTGGGCCTCCCGAGGACTAGCTGTACTCATTTAATCAATTGCTAGCTGATCACCGGTAGATATGAGCAAGGAGAGACTTCGGAATAATCGGAGGAACGCTTAAGTATCTTCCTCACGAGTGGGGTACGTATGCTGAAGTAGAGCCAAGCTGAGTCTTCGTCTCACTATTCGGTGGACGTTACACGAAGAACCCAAGAAGAGGTCTACTGAAGAGAGCAACCATGTGATGATCATGTTTCGTCGAGAGCGTGCTTCATCAACAGGGCGATAAGTGATCTGCATTCTCCAGGAGACGTTTTCAGGTTATTTAAGACCCTCGTGGCTCTGCGGACCGATCCCCCCTCCCGAGTCAAGTTGGCAGCGTAAGGGCAGAAACATTGTTTGGGTGGATCATACTCATTATTAAGATACTTAGGGTTGTTGGAGGACATGAGGAAAGCGCGGAAGCGCAAAAACATGGGAGACTTCAAACACAAGCCCTCGTTGACTTCAAAATTCAGGGCTGCGCCTTTAAGCCAGCAATTTCTCATCGACCAGTCTAGAAACCGATTCGAAGCTAGGATGGCAGCTGAAAGAATCCACCAAGCGTTTCGGCCGGCGTGAGACTTGGCAGGGGATCGCATGAAAACGTCACATTGGGCAGGGTCCAAGATAGAGCGAAGGTGGCCTGTGCTCAAGTTGCTCGCGATCGCGAACGCGGGGCTTATCGAGAAGCGATTGGAGCGAAGAAGCGCTGTGTCATCCAATTGTCGAGCTCGCGCCCACAGTAGCACATGCAATTCGATGCTGCCGGCATAGACTATCAAGTGTGAAGAAAATTGAGGGCAGAATGACGACAGCGAAAGAAAGGAAGACACTCTTGAAAGGATTTCGCTGCTGGCGACATTCACTCTGCTGTATCGACAATGGTGCGATGCGTGTAGTGGAAGGGCAGAGATTCCATCGGACGAGCCATACCCCATCGGTGCTCGGCTGCTGCATGGCGCACGCGCCAAACGAGGCGCTAGCGTCTCGGCCACAAGGAGTCCCTGTCATGCCCCCCACTTTGGCTGCGCTCGCGCAGAAAGGCCATCTGCGATCCCCAGGGGAAAGCACAAGGTAGCAGGCCCCCAAAAGCGCCAAGCTGCCTAAAAGGCAGGAGCGCGCCATCGACGCTCTTCGAGGGACCGGTTCCTCGGGAAAGAATAGCCCGCTTTGCTGCACGAGGTTGAAGTGGGGTCTTCTCCCGCATCGACCAACCGGGAGGTCGTTTGGTATACCGACTCCACCACTTCTAGCTCGTCCGGGAATGGTGCTTGAAAGTGGAGACATGGGGCTAGCAGTGGGCTCCTCCCCTTCAAAGGTCACATCGTCTCTCGTTTCGCTTCTCTTTTCCACCACCACCTACCACCTCCTCTTCTTTTCTCCTCTCCCAACCTGCTCGCTGTCGCATTTGACGCAAGCCGTGCAACGCAACCCTACGATCGCTTCTCAGATATCTGGGCCGATACGCCGCTGTCGTTATCGACCCTGTGCCGCTCCTTTCCCTCTGTCATCGCCTTGTCATTGACCCGATCATTCCGCTCCTTTTTTTTGCCCCTCGGCGCCGACGTCACAATAGACAAAGAGCACCGCCCGAGCTCTGCAATCAACGTCGATCCCGCATTGTCTCTCCGTTCTCTTTGAAACATTTCACCCATTTTCTCGGCAAGATCGCCGACGACTGTCCGGCTCCAAGTCTCGATTTGGAAACCATAATCAACGGGATAACCCCAACAAGCTCCGACCACAGACAACAACGGAAACCTCCGTCAAAACACTCCTATCGCTCCTTATAACTTGGGGACAACGCTTCTATACACGCCAACGTGAGCTCTTTGATACCCAATCCCTGATAACCACATCAAAAATGGGCCTCAACATCATCGACCGCATCCAAGCCAAGCTGGAACTCCTGCGCCTTGAGAAGCGCTACACCCGTAGCCGCCACCGCCGCTCGACTTTTGTCTCCAATGCCATTTATGTTGACGGCGAATACATCTACCAGTCGCCCAATACGACCGGCTCGTCCTTTAGCAGCTCCAAGACCTCGAGCACAGCGGCGTCATCATACGCATCGAACAGCCTGCCCCAGAAGAAGCTGAACCGATGGTCGAGCATGCCCGGATTCGGGTCAGCTGATGTCAAGCCTGAGCCGAGGGTTGTTGGGCGGATGCCAAGCATTAATGAGGAAGCATGGAGGAAGAAGAGGGTGAGCTTTAATGGTGACGGCAGATGGTGAATTTTAAATACATCTTTGGGAGTTTTGGTTTGTTCATTGGGTGAATGGGCGGACACGAACTGCTGGATCCCGAGATCAGGGGACTCTTAAGTTCGATCTGGCGGTCTAGAAGCATCCTCTTTGTAAGAGGTTACTACCCAATGGTGTGACTGACGTGGAATGCGTTCACCGTTGGACAGTCACCACGGTAGCGTACATGCGGTACCATGCTTGTACGTGGCCGTCTGGCCATGACTGATCACTCCCGTTCTCCCATCCATTCGTGTTCTTTATTCTTTTATGACGACACAAGAGTTCTTCTGCTCATTGGCTGGCATCGGCATCAAAAAGGAGCATTTCATGACAACGGCCATGACTCGGCGGCATTGTCTTCTCTAAACGTTTTTTTGACTTTTTTGTTACTGGATACTTCGGCGCATGTTTTTTTTTTGGTATGTATGTCATGCTACCACTAGGTTATGATGGCGAGGAGGAAAGGCTGGGTTCGGTGCTACGGCAGTTAACCGTTGAGAATGGATGAGATGCTGGATTGACTCTAATGGAACGCCGTTTGTAATACCTATCACAGGGGAGGCTTGCTGCTAGGCTACTAGAAAAGCACTGGACTCTGCCAACGGATAGACGGCTGGACACGTAGATAGAAGTCAATGATGAGTCTTGTTCCGTGCGCGTCCTGCTCGGCTGGACAGTAAAAAGATGGTTTTCTGACAGCGTTGCATTATTGACGATAGATGATAGCGTAACGGCAAATGGAAAGTTCAGTCACACGAACTAAACGAGCAGATGTCAAGGAGCGAAGACTGGACCCTCAACAGAGCTGACGAACGACGGGAAGACAACGAATGACCCAAACAAGCACATCGCACACAAGACGATCTCAGCACCCCCCAGCCCTCAGTATCTTCAAGCTTGCCCACTTCAAAGCTTCTCTGGGTCCTGACCGGGGAGGTACTTGAGCCCTGCGACATGTCAGCGTCATCCTCAACCCCAGCCCTCTTCAGATTCCCAGGAAACTCACAGCTATCAATATCCTCGCCCACAAAATCCTTCACCCGACAAGCATTCATCTGCGCTACGCTCTGACTCTTTAATGGCCGTCCATTCTCACATCCCTGGAACATACAATCACTATCCATCGCCCTCTGCAGCGCATCCCCCTTCCAGCCAAACACGTAGTCCGCGTGGGTCCCGTAACCCAAGCTGTCGCCTCCATCGCCGTAGGAGAGTACGAAAGGTTGGGAACCGTCTTCCGGCCACCATTGGTTGAATTCGGTTGTGTCCCAGAGGGTTTCGAATGCGAGCTGGGGGACGCGGACGGGGTGTGAGGCAGGGCAGGGACCTGCAGGGGTGAAGGCCTCGCGGACTGTGTTGTACATGTGCGATTGGTGATCGGGTGAGTCGAGGTTTTTGCCGTCCCAGCAGCTGGGAGGGTGCAAAGGGTTAGGTAAGGTTTTGGTTGGGTTAAAGAAAAAAAAGGAAGGGGGGGGTTGGTAGAGAAGCTTACGCAGGGAAGTGATGGACTGTCATGATACCACCACGGCAGGGCCGGCTGGGGAAGGTTGCGAGCTCGGGGAAGCGTGTGCCCTTGTTCTCGAGGCAGACGAAACGCAGACCGGGATTGCCGCGCCCGCCGGGCTGGACGTTGTAGGTCGGGCTGCCGACCGTCATCCGGAAGCCCTGTTCTTAGTGAGTACCTGCTCATCATCTCTCACAGCACAAAATCCTCATGACTGACCGGCCTAAAAGCAGTAATCTTCTCCTTCCCATTTGACACAAAGTCATGCTGCGTATAATAGATCGTCATGCCCCCGTTAATCCCATTCGGCAGAGCCGTGTTTTGCATGATCGGCACCCGCTTGTACGTGCCGTTGGGGTGCTTGAAGAACATCACGGCCGTCCAGTAGTTGGAGAAGTTTTCTGAGAAGGTGCACGTCGTGCACGTCGCCTTCTCCGCGATGTCCCCTTCCATAGTCGCGTTGAAAGCATTGCCACCTACGATCTGGTGCAGGTGTGCCGAGGGGATGCGGCCGGGCTCGACAAGCGGGTCCAGACGCTGGATGGAGACGGTCGCACAGCCAAAGCGGAGGGCTGCGTGCGCTGGAGTTGTGAAGGCTAGAGCTAGTGGGAGGTACTTCATTTTGCGGAATCGGTCGGTTAGTGCCTGGTAACTCTGGGGAGATGGGGAGCAGGAGGGAGGTTTACGACAAGGTTGGGAGGAGTGATGGGAGATTATATCAGAGGGCTGCTTAGCACTCTCTACCGTGGGAGTTGCCATTATCCGTCTGCAATGGCCATTGCAGATATTGGTGGGCGTGAAATATCTGGGAGATCTCCGAATCTCTTGTTTGCCGTCCTCCTTTTCTTTAACGCCTGCACACAACAGCATTGGCTAGGTTATTCACAGCGCAATATGGAGCTTCTCTTGACCCAAACCTAGTATATCTGTGCGACATATGGGTTGGCATGGACCAATTGTGTTGGGGCTTGACTTCTGTCTCGTTAGTGAGCCGGGTCCTTGGCTCTTCTTTTTGTTGCCTGCCATTTATACCATGGCCGCGTACGCTTCATATGGAGCGTCTAAGAACCGTTTCATGCAACTCTCCAAAGGACCGTTGCTGCGCTCAATGTATCTGCCGGCAGTCTTGCTCCATCTGCCGAGATTATCGGCAGAGCCTCTGCCGTGTTTGTTGTCGGGCCATTAGCCGGTAACTCGCTGAATGCCGGGCGGGAAAAAAAAAAGGGGGGGGGGCTCTTCTCAAAAGGCATCGAAACCTGGAGGTAGCTTGCCTTCCACGAGTCCGGTTCTATATCAGCGTCCTGACGGTTCACATCATACTGCAGCTTCACACTACATACATGGCAGATTTATGTCAATAGATATAAAACGACATCACTTAATACAATTGAAGAGGACTTGCATCAAACTAAGGGTCCCATGGATCGAGGGCGATGTAGCTATTGCATTAGATTTGAAGTATTAAACAAACAAAATTGTTACTCTTAGTTTGAACAATCCCGAGGTACAATCTCATCCCTTTTCTCATGATGAACGCACGTTCGAGCCTAATTCTACGATACATGTCATCAAACAAGATCGTGAAATATCCAAACTTCCCCCAGTGTTAGCTGCAAGTGACCACGGTGTGGTTACCACTGACCTACCTCAGTCAGCCCCGGCTCCACTGAGGTCAGGTGTATACTTGACCTTATATAAGAACCATGCTCATCCACCCTCACGCGTGTGTAGTTTAGAAGGCAGAGCGTTGTTATTCTGCGGCACCCATTGTGCTTGACAGATTTCCTCAGGGCCGCGTTTCCTGCAGGTAACGCCCAAGTACATACTCCCATCCACATCACCATTTTCTTATACATCCAACACCCAGCGCTCATTGGACACCATGCCCTCTGTTGGAACAATCCGTTCACGCTAAGACGTCGATGTGCAAGACATACCGACGCACCTTTTCATCAGGCTTGCACTTGACTGCAGTTCGGAGGACTCTGCCGGATGTTTTGCTCTGCATAGTCGTAACCTCCAAGTTTCTTTCCGGATGTGGTTTAAGCTCGTGGAGCCAATCCAGCGTACGAATTCGTATCCGGCCAGGCGCCAAATCATTCTTTTGTGAACTAATAACATTTATCTCTTCCTCAATGTGACAGATAGCTGTTCACTCAACCACATCCACAGTAACTTTGAAGGCAGATTTTCAGGGTCCCGATACCTTGCTTGATGATGTCTGTGAGCTGATCCAGATCAATAGCATGGAAAATACGTCATTGTTTCCACATGAAATATTTTGAAAATGACCTTATGGAGGTTGGTGTTGTTTCCTGTAGCTCTGTGCTGTTGTGTTTGATGTCCTGGATTCGGTTTACGGGAACCCGGAGTAAATGCGACGTTTGTGTTGTCAAGTCCGGATAGAACGACAAACAATGTTGACTTCTTGGGAAAAGCGATCTTTGGACGAAGACATCCGCTGTATATTGGTGTTCCAATATTCTATGCGCTCCATCAAGAGATATATTTTCTGAAATGGGATCCTGCGCCCTATTTTCTTGGTATCGACGAGAGAAAGAACAGTTGGAACGTTAGAGCTCGCAAGCCTCCCGTAACAGCGATCTCCCATGGCGCCATAAGGCTCTTTGATCAGCCGAATGGAGACGGCATACTCGAAAGGCAAGTCCCAGCTTCTGTCAGAGAAATTGGCGTGACCCTGTTGTACGCACACCCAATCCAAAGGAACAACTGCCTGCATACTTGTATCGGCGTCGTACTAGCCATCTATCGTACAAGTTGGTAAACTGACTCTCAGTTCAGCGCTCGTCATTTGTGGCGGATAATAATTAGCCATCTCGCTCTTTTGAGTCTTTTCAAACCAATGATATTTGGACAGACACCCCTCGCCCTTGGACACATGCCAAACTCGCGCATAACTGGTAATTATGACATCTTAGGGAGAAGAAACCAAGAGAGTTCCGTTGTGTCCGACTAGCTTCCTTTATAGAATTTTCTCGGCCATCCAGTTCGCTCTTTTCGGTCATGGGCTACCAGATATCTCCTGGGGTCAACCACAGGTTTGTGCCGCTCACAATCATTTTATCTCCGGTGTCCCTTGTGTTTGGCAGTCAGGCAGACCCATTTTCCTTGGACTGCCGTGTTCGTGTGACAGTCCGTGTGCCAACCTGGCACTTCCTTCTTGCTGCTGGCTCTAACACTCCATCTGTGTTCGCGAGGGAGAGTTGGACGTTGGCCGAGATGACCTTTAGGGAGCTAGCATATGTCTAATATCCCACAACAATGGTGTATCCGACTTGGGTTGGCGAAAGGTCCGGAGTTCGTATGGGACCTCCCACAGAGGAGGGGGCGACGGGGATGATAGTGGAGTGAACATCGCACCCGGGGTGAGGTGGGTTGTCCGTTGAGTGTCTGGAGATGGCCCTCACCCTAGCAGGGCGCCGGTTAACTGGTCCTCTGCGGATACGTTGACACTCGTTAAGGATGGCACTGTCTTCAGGAGAGTTCCGAGAGAGCTGAGTACCAATGGGGCAATCATCTATCGATACTGGAGCCCTGCCAAAGACAAGGGAATCACTGAGGTCCCTGGCGTTATATATGGAGAGCAAGCGAAAGTGGCTACATGACTTTGCCGATGCTGACGATTCCGGCGATGATCAGTCATTACATTCAGAACTTGACCATCTTTTGAACAGGATGAATCATGTCATGATTAAAATCCTCCGAGTCCCTGGACGTCCAGCAGGTAATAATACCGAGTATAAGCCAAGGAGGAAGTTCGAAACACGCTGCAAGCGGCTCCTCAAAGCAAGCCATGCACGGTTACGCCCCCTCCACAAGGAACAGTTCCAGCTTTTGGAAAGCGGAGAGTTCATCACCGAGCTGGCGAAGCTCGTGGCATGCATGCCCAGAACCCCCGTACTGTTCCCGACCAACTACGAGCGGAGGGTTATAGGGCGCGAGAAGCACACGGACCTGGCAAATTCGTGGTGTCCTGGCTTTCCAGGGCATATGGCTGGGACGAGATCGAGCTCATTTGGGTGACGGGCTAGGTCGACGTTGAGATAGCCTGCGTGCGCCCGCTATCCGAGCTCCCGATGCATTGTACCGTGCCGGCATTCGTCTCGAAACCCTCGAAATCGGTATCATGCCCATATACACTAACTTCGCCATGCTCTCTCCCCAGCTCCCACCACCAGACGACAAACCTCCTACCCCCACCTCTCCATTTCCCCTTCCCAAACCCTCTGGCCCGACCTAACCACTGCCTGCGCCTCTCTCATCACGTTCCACGTTCTCCCTCCCTGCTGCAATTGCGTCAGCAACCTCTGGCCATGCTCCCTCAACTCCGACGTCTGGCCCGTGACCCGCAACATCCAGCTCCGTGCCCGCCAGGCCCAGCTCCAGGCCCACTTCACCTTTATCCTGCACGTCTCCACTTCATATTCCCTCCGCTCCCTGCGCCTTTCCCTCGCCCGCTTCTACGCCTTCGTCCCGACACACTCGCCACAGTTTCGAGACCGTGACAGCATCCTCCCCCCCCCCCCCCGGGGGGCGCCTCTAGATCCACGGTCGGCGCATGCCCTGGAGGGGGAGGGCGATTTCTATGCCAAGGGGTACGACGTGAGCTTGTTACTTGCCTCCCTGCCGCGGTTAGTAAAAGTAAAGGAATTCGGGTTCTCAGGCGTGTCTGTCCTCACGCGGGGCGTGCTGGGGCAGTTCGTCCAAGATGCGATGATGGATGTATAAGAAAGTGGTGAATGTGAATGGGAGAATTTACTTGGGCGTTGCTCTGCAGAACACCCGGGCCTGAGAGAATCTGTCAAGCACAATGGGTGCCGCAGAATAACAACGCTCTACCTTCTAAACTACACATGTGTGAGGGTGGATGAGAATGGCTCTTATATGAGGTCAAGTATGCACCTGACCTCAGTGGAGCCGGGGCTGACCGAGATAGGTCAACGGTGACCACACCGTGGTCACTTGCAGCTAACATGCGATATCTGACCGCAGTCTGTAGCGCGTAGGGTTGGACCAGGTCGAGGTGGAACCGGGAAATATGTGGGCGGACGTGTTAGAGCGGTTGAGAAGATTGAGCTAGAGGGGGTGACGAGGATGTAAAGTTATCGATTGAGGTGGGTTGGGAAGCTGATTGGGCGGTTCGACGGCGGGGAGGACTTTGCGGGACAGGGGCGCAGGCCGAGAAATTGGGAGGCTTTTGTGGAGAGAGTGAGGATGTTTTTTGTGATGGGGGAGGACGGAGGTGAATCCGTGAACAATGTTTTTGGATGGGATGGAGGAGGAAAGAGGAAAGTAAGGGGAGTGCGTCGTCTGAAGAGATTTAAGAATTGGATGCTGGGGAATAGGGTTTTGGTTTTGGATAATTGGTGGCGGTGGGGTTTTCCCCCGTCGGCTGGCCCCAACATCCTCAACGCGGTCGCCACCCCCTTGCTCCTGTATGGCATAGTTCAGTTAACACGGGCATAATGAAGGCCGGGTTTGGCGGCCGTCTAGTCCCCTCTAGGTTCATGTCGGTCTGATCGTCCGTCAATTAAATCGCAAACGCGGCATTGAGAGAGATATTTCCAGTGTGGAGGACGATACAAACCCCACGGCTCTGG